AAATAATACATCGATCAATCAATCGGTCATTCACTCACTGACTCAATCAATCAATCAATCAATCAATCAATCAATCAATCAATCAATCAATCAAAACAGAAAGTGACTGAGACAAAAAGAACATGACGACATTCCATAAGCACATCTGTTCAAAACAAACACCAATACTCCTTCAACTACAACCGAGCTTTCATAAGACATTTTCTGGAAATAGGTTAAGAAAACTGTAAGTATGTATGTTTCTCAGATTAACTAATATCAATTATACTACATGTAAAGTATCTATTTTGTATATACCTTTGCATTGTGTTATGAAATATGTTGTTTAGAAATAAAATGTGATGTTATTTTTAACTTGATTGTAAATTGTCATGTAATTCAGCTGAGGCTGCGAAATGATAATAATAAAAAACAAACTGAACCAAACTGAACTGTTTTTACCTAAAATTCTTTAATATCAAAATGCATGTTCTGTACAGTACAATAAGTCATGTTTTTATACAATATTGAATTTTCTTGTACATTATTTCATCAAAGAACATAGTATGCCCTTCTCTTGGCACAGTGAGGTTTGATAATTCTGAATATTCTCATCTCTCACATCATAAAACTATACTATATTATGTTGCGCAATTCAGTTGATCAAAATCATAATTACAACAAATTATCAACTTCATATTGGACTTGGTATTCCAATAAAAATCAATTAATGTAATTCATTTAGTATTCTCTATTTACTACATACATTGATGGCTAATCCCTTATATAAAACAAGAAATCTTGGTCTATCAAAATGCATGTAATTTAGCAAAGACTAGGCCATGAATGTAAACATTGTTTTTTCTTCCCGATTTTATAGCCTCCATTTTCCATACAAGCATTTTAGACACAGAGACATGCAGATTTAAAAGCCTGTGCTCCACTGTCAATTCCCTCAACGAACTGAATTTTTAACTTCATCCCTTGACGAAGCACAACAGGTAACTCTAAACCTTATCTATTTACTTATTTATTTTCATTTCTTATTTAGTCTCTTTTTTCTACCAGGGAGGCGACATTGATTTGGACACTGTTTGCAATGATTGCAAACACAACCTTACAGCTTTTTGAGAGACAAAAAGATTGATTTAGTAATGACTGGTATTGAATAAAAAGCAAGTCTATTTAAACCATGTCAATGTTCAATGAATTGGATATAGGCTAGCTTTAAAGCCAATCTGCACCAGTTTGGCCAGGAGGGATTAGACCTCCCTGCATGGTCACTGACAGGTGGTTATCTCATCAAATCAGCTCTCACTTAACATAAGAAAAAGGGGCTCATCGGGTACCGCTTAGGCATTGTTTAATATATAGAGGGTGTAAGAAGCTACAAGTAGTGCAGTCCTGTTTTAAGGTGTACTAATTGACGATGCTTATAAATATAAAACATATGAACATAACATGTAGCAAAGAAAACTCTCAAGATTAGTAAAACAAATCACTCCTCGTTGCATTGACATAAGTGAACAGAGATTGAGAAACCTATTTACATTTTCCACAACTAAGCAAAATTCGAATTCTGAGCAACAGGATTCTAAAGTGTATAAAAATAATATCTACAAAATAATACAAGCAAAGTGCTTCATTGATCTTGTCATACTAGCATTCATAAAGTTTCAGTGGTTTAAACTTTCACATCCTCAAAGTTACAATCAATAATTTGACAAACTCACTCAGTAATTTTACAAAGATTTCAGGTAAAACGTAATACTCAACAATATTTGCTCGTTGAAAACAGATTGATACTTCTATGTCCATGGAATGCATGTGTTGTAAAGTTGGATGTGATACTCAAAATACTTGATGATTACATAGAAAATGTAAGCAATTTTCCACTTTTAAAATTGGGAAATCATTCTTCCTCTTACTCAGTCTCTTTGATTTTTATCCTGAGTGTCAGATTACTATGACAACAAAGTAAACATTTACATTATTTGTAAAAGCAACGAAAACACAATGCAAAATAATCACAAAACCATACAATCTTTCGATACAATGTGATGTTTCACCAATACTCAGTACTCATAAATATGAATCCATATTGAGTAGCAATAGAAAGCACACAATATTACATTTGTGAAATTTGAAACACATCCAAGGCATTGAATTCTACAGAAGCACCATCTTCTACCCATCATGCCCATATGAAATACAGAAACAAAGTTTATTTCATTGATTTATATAATTCATTATCATGCGAGTTTGAAAGTTTTTTGAAGCGGGAGCAGGAACTTGACACAGAAGCTGATGCAAAATAACTAGGAAATACTACCTTAGTCACAATGCCAAAGCAAACTGCGAAACTCAAAAACGTCACTGGAAATGACAGACTCTTGGCTATTCAGGGTCATGTCAATTGTTTAAATTGGTCCTATGTCAGTCAGGGGCCCATTTCATACAACTTGTTATCTGTAACAACTGCTAAATTTCTAAGACAAATTTGCTCTCAGCCAATCAGATGCCTTGATTTCAGTAGCTTATAACAGTAGCTTGTAACTTGTTATTAATATCAATTTTCATGAAACAGGGGCCTGGTGTCTGTCTTGTTGGTGCGACCATGGTGAAGAGCACATAAGAATTTGGCAGCCAATGACTTAAAGACGAATACAAAGAATTTGATTTTTCTCTCCTGGAATTTTACGATGAATGGTATCCATTTTTATCAGCATAGAGTGGGCTTCTCTCTGGAGACCTGTAATTGTAAATAAGGGAGAGGAGGGAATAACAAAAGTAGAAAATAGAATAAAAGTATTATTAGATTGTGATGTAAGGTTCATAACATTCATAAGGTTCATCTTTATCGTCCATGCTATTAACAATGGACATATGTGATATTTACTTAGATATTCTAGTTACATAAATAGTCAAATACATACATGTACATTCATACACAAGGGGAAAATATTATTCATATTTCATCTTTCAATAACAGAAATATAAACAATCAAATAGTGATGCATAAGGTTTTAGAATGAATCTGAAAGAGGTGATTCTTGTAAAACATCAATATTGGGAAATTTAGCAGTGATTATTAACAAACCAAGAACAAGAGCAACAACAACAACAACAACACAAAATCAGAAACAAAAAGAAACAAACGCAACCTATGATATGAATATCTTATGTTTAATCATAAATTGTTCAGGAATTAATTTAAATTTCAGAATTCATTCATAACACCACATGACTTGGGGGAAGAAACACAGGGGAAAAAACCTCTCCTCGCTGTCGGAATGCTGCATACTAATTTTTTTTCTCCTTCAAAAGATGAGAATGGGAACCGTCGAATGTGTATTACATTCATATTCTATGCGCCGATGGTAGTTTACTCAACAAACAACGACGGTTGACCGACTCAAGAGCCTTCATACTGCAGGGCTATATGAGCATAACTAATGCAAGCACACAATTGGATTTAGTTCTCTCCCATGCACGACTTCCACTAATGGAAAAGTGTTAGAGGGAGAGAGGGACAAAGGGAGACAAAGAGAGAGAGAGAGAGAGAGAAAGGGAGAGAGAGAGAGAGGGAGGGAGGGAGGGAGAAAGGGAGGGAGATAAGGAAAGAGAGAGGGAGGGAGATGGAGCGGTGAGAAAGAAAGGGTGGACGGGAGAGAATGAAGGAGTGACAGAAAAGAGGAAGAGATAGAGGTGCAGAGAGAGATAGAAAGATGAAATCAAAAGAGAGAGAGAGATAACTAGACGGAGGTGAGGGTGACCAAAGGAGGGATAGAATGAAAGGAAGGCAAGAGAGAGAGGAAGGAGAAAGATAAAGAAGAAAATAAAAGTTAGAATAGTGAGACAGAGAGGGATACATGTAGAGATGTCAGACTGAAAGAAGGGAGAGAGAGAGAAGGGAGAGAGAGAGAGGGACAGAGACAGAGAGGGACAGAGACAGAGAGAGAGAGGGGGAGGGGGAGAAAACCAAGAAAAAATGAGAGTAAGAGAGCAAAAGCTCAGAGAAAAAGAAGATAGAAAGAGACAGACAGAAAAACAGGAAAAACAAGAACATTGAGAAATGAAGATAAGAAAATAAAAATGGAGAGGGAGAGAGGCAGTCGATAGTGTAGGAAAAGGGGAGAATGGAGTAAGAAAGTGGCAATTGAAAAAAAAGGAGGAAAGATCATGACCACAGTACACAAAATCTCTTTGTAATTCTCATAAAGATGAAAACGTTACATAAAAACCCTACCAAACAGTAGACCTAATGGTTTTATCATTCAATATGAGAGTGTTTTTATGTAAAGTACATCTGCAGGTTGGTTGCTACATGTACATTGGAAAGGGTGTGCCCCACAGTAGGTACATGATGATATCAAAACAATACATATGTTTATAAGTATTGATTATGACAAATAGCGTCAGCCGTCAGCTGTTTGGATATTGTTCAAAATTAGACTGCACAATGCTATTATTAAACCTATACACTTGTTTATAAGTATTGATTGGGAGGAATACCGTCAGCTGTTAGGCTATTGTTCAAAATAAGACAAGGCATTTAATAAGGTAAAAACAAAAATGGGCAACATGCCAGAATAGGCACCAACATTTGTACATATGAGACACCATGATGAATTCAAAGCATGTTCCGGTCTATTTGCAATTTTCCCAGTCAAATTAAGTTGGCTTGTATATTTCTGCTTCATATTTCAATAATATTTTTATTTTTCAATACTATAACTTGTGTCTAATTTTGTTTCTATATTCTATTTCATTTATTATTACTATTATTACTTTAAATCATTAATCAATTCATTAATTAGTTCATTCATTCATTCATCCATCCATCCATTTTCATCATTTTAATCTTTATTTTTTTATCTATTCATTTTTTTTTCTCATGGGTGGGGGGGGGGGTCTGTTAAAGATAAAGTTGAGCTCTAGTCATGCGATTGCATTGTGAAAGAAACGTTGTGGAATCAATCAGAAAAAATTGATCATCTAGCATATAAGTATTTGTGTGTACTGCAAGGTTCTGGAATCATCAAAATGATAAGAAATTTGGCCCAGTTTTCGTAAAGTTACAAGCACTGTACGCAGAAAGATGTATATGGAACTATGCGCACTTGCGTGACACGTGCGTTTATCTCTCACATACCAATAGATAAACTAATTTACCAAATATATCAATTAGTAGGCGGTTTCCAGGCAAATTTTTTATCATCATGTACAGGGTGTGTATTAGTCAAAACATATTCTTTCACATGATTGGTAATAAGAGGTTCCATTTCATTTTTTTAAATTGGGGCATTTCCAATACTGGTCTTTACCTTTAACATTTTCATATTTTTGCCTGCAAATAGGACATAGTTCCTTTAAAGGTGCCCTTTTCATCGGCAACCCCTTTTAATACATGAAGTACATTGAATTCACATAACCTTGAATAATACATGTACACACCCACTATCCTACAACATTGGAGCATACCTAATGAGAAATCCACAAACCGAATAGATGAAAAGCAATCTTATTAATGGAATAAGTCACCCAAAAAAGGTAAGCTTAGATTAATCATGATATTAATGTTCGACCCACAGTGGTTTGAAGTCAAGCATATAGTCATTATAATCACCCGGGGGAAAAGGCATGATTTGTACCATAATCTTCCGCAGGATTTAACGATGAGAAATATACAGCGATACAGCTTAGGTATTTGATAAGTTATCAATTCCTACGCACTGGTTGTCTAATGCATCTAAAGGAATGAGAAAGAAAATCATATATTTTTCTTTCTTTAAGTCTTTGAATCTTTTGACGTAATTCATCAAGATCAGGGCAGCGTTTCATGAAACCGTCATAAGTACAAGTTCACCGACATCCCATTGAAACGTGTGTTAAACTTAATACACGCATTTCAATGGGATGTCGGTGAACTTGTACTTTCGTGAGACGCTGCCCAGGTATACTATTACAGAGGTCACATGACCTTTTGTGACCTAATATAAAAATGGTGAATTTTTAAATTTTGTATACAAAAGAAAATAAGAAACTGTATTACCGGTATTTAACATTTTTAAATTTAAGGTTAGGTACTTGATTTTAAAAAAGCCTCCAATATATAACTAAACACAATGGAATACATACAAAAATTAAAACATACTAAATTCACTTAAATACACAATGGAAAAAGATTTAAAAATGTACATGTCACTTAAAATTCAAAGGACATTTGTACTAAAACCTATACCTTTTTTTTTTCTTTTCTATTTTATATAAAAATATACAGAAAAATGACAATGTTAAAGGCACCATGACTAAAAGTTTTTACATCAGTTTTTAATACTTTATTTACATACAATACTATCTCAAGGATTGTACGTAAATATCAATCTCTTCAGATCAATGATGACACATAGGGGGTCTTTACATGAGTATCTCACTCTTTAATTTCATTAAATTCTCTCTCTTCAACAAACAAACAAAACAAAGCAAACAGAGCAAGACAAAACAAAAAAACAAACAATAATGTCATAATTATATTTCTTTGCTGCAAGCGTGCACCATTTCAACCTACCTGTACTAAATTACGATGATAGACTTGATAAAGCACTTATTACAACATTTTATGTACTTAAATGGTTCAAAAATTCAATACTGCTATATTTATCACGTGCAGTAATGTTCCATGAAACTATTGCTCACGAAATGCCCTCATACAAAACAAATCACAATAATTCAAAACTTTGGACAAATTTTTCTCTCCATCTGATGAGTAGTCTCCCATGTTCCCTTAGTTGTGTCCAGTGCCATTTCACTGTTTGTGATGCTCAACTAGGCGTCTTCAATAAATACACCGTTCAACATGCAGACATTGACACTTGCATGTACAATACTCAACTTTAACCCTTTCAGAACAGGATTTATTTTCAGGGCCAAATTAATCACACATTCTTCTTCAAATTGGCAACAATAATTGGCCAAGAAAGATTACAGATAGTCCTTTTCAGGACTCCTCAATCCTCTCTCTCTCTCTCACATGGTGCACCCGCAAGCCTACTGTATAACAATAATTTTGTTTTGTTTTTTGTACAGAGTTAAAATAAAATGTATTGTCTCTGAAATGGATAAAGATGGGCGAAAATGTTGTCGAAAAGTTGAACAAAATTAAATTCCCAATTTTTATTGAAAAACAATGGTTTTGAATCTTTCAACATGTTGCCAATTAAAGGATTTTAAATCTTATTTTTCCTTCTTTTTAAATTCCTGGCATCAAATGCAATACAGTCGTGAAACAAAAATGGATGCAGTGTGTGCACAAATTTTTGCCTTTTCTAATCATGTTTCTGGCATATTTTTGAGGACTATGGAATACAAACTTATTCAGCCAGACCCAAAAACGTGGAATGGTTGTCGCGAAAGGGTTAACTACGCATTGAAGGATGGATTTACATTGTATGCCAGGCCTTCTCAACTAGTTTATTAGAAGTGCCAAAACGAAAAGAATTTGTAGTTGAAGTGCCACCCTGTATGGTTGACTGTGCTGCGAGGGAGCATAGCGACCTAGTCGAAAATGGGTGAGGTCCAGGGGCAAAGCCTTAACGGGGGGTAGCAGGGGGCAGAGCCCCCTGAAGCTGGTGGATTTAGGGCTTTCTAAAGACCAAAATGGGGCAGTTTTAGCACCATTTCATTCCACAATATAATCAATCATAATTTCATATTGATGTGAAAAAATTAGTACAATTCCTGGGTACAATTACACTGGAGGTACATTTACATGTAGTTTTTTGTGTGCTATAAACACGGGAAATGTCAAAATAAAGTGAAAATCAAACAAACAAAAACAAGATGTTTCCAGAGATTGGCAATATTAAAATTGGTATCCCATCGTAAGCTAATTGTTGTTCAGACCTTAGGTTTAGATTCGTATAAAATGGTAAAAAATGATAAATTCCCCTTTCTTCCTGTTTGTTAAGCAGGCATTTCAGCCTCAAATTTGACTGCAACTTCTTGATTTAGCTGAGTATTTAATTCTAAAATATATATTTTCTTCCTTTCTGTTTTGTTGTTTTGTTGTTGCAACAGTCGCGTGCCAATTCAACTGACCCGGGACACAAGTGGGGCGCGCCGCCAGTTGAGAAGGCCTGTTGTATGCCCTTTCGGCTGTCAGCAGACTAAACATTAATGGCAGTACAGTGGAACCTCATTATATAAAGAGCTCTTTTATAACAAGGTGATTGTGCTGGTCCCAGCTCTTGATATCTGTTTGTTTTTTAAACTGATATAACAAGGTAATTTCCATTGTCCCAGGGAGATGGGCCGGTATTCAATTCAATACTATGACTAAGTAAGAAATTTATTAAGTAAATGGTTAAGCTAAGAAGTTTACTTATCTCGTATTCAAACCGCATTTTAGACTTTTACTGACCTGAGACAAAATCTAGGTAAAATACTGACTGATAAGCATTGTGACGTCACACTGTCAGTCAAAAGTAATGTGCAATTAATGCAGTGCATTAAATGCGTGCTGATATAATTGTGGGCAGGTTAAAATACTGCATAAGAAAACCATATTCCTGCCAATCAAGGCTTCCAAATAATTGGCTTAAGTCTGGTAGGGAGCTGTCTTAAATATAGGGTAAAATACTTAGCCAAAAATTTGAATTGAATACCGAAATTGGCTAAGTATTTTCTCAAAGCCAAATACTAAGTAAAAAGCTTAAATTTTATACTTAAGTATTGAATTGAACACAGGTCTTGGTTGTAATGAGGTTCCAATGTACTTACGTGTTGGAATCAAGCGAGTCAAACTGAACATAGAAGACTAAAATTTGCTTACCATCATTACATTACAGCCATGGATGCCAGGCAGGATCCATACGACACAGGTTATCAGGACTGTTAGCTGCTGCCACCAACGTACTCACTTTACTCTCACCGCCCTCAAACTGAGCAAGATCTATGAACGAATGGAAAGAGAGAGTTGTATAGAGAATAATTTGTACCTCGAAAAACCAAACGATATGATTCAGAATTGAGTAAATAGAGAGAGAGAGAGAGAGAGAGAGAGAGAGAGAGAAGAAAAGGGGGGGGGGGGGAGTAACAGGAAAAAAATGGAAACAATCCCCCTTAAGTAGAAGATGAAAGCTGATTTCTATATTCATAGGCATGTACATGAAAGTCACAGATAAACATGTGAATCTAGAGTCAATTCACAGCTGTGGAGAAATGCACAAAACACAAATCACCATTGACTTTCTGATAACCTGTGATGATCCAAACTCAGGGGATATAGGGGTGGGAAGGGGGGAGTATGAAAAAATATCTGGTAAGAGTGAAAAAGAGTGGGGGCAGAATAACATAACTTGGAGGGGGGGGGGGGGACTTTTTGGGAGGGATGAAATACCCACCCCCCCCCCCCTTCCCCCACTCCCAATTCCATTACAAGAACTCTAAGTTGTTGTTTAAAAGTTGTTTGTAATTGTTTTTATACAGGGCCTTCAATAGAAGAGGAAACGCTGTTTAAATAAAACTGAAATTAAAAAATAAATAAGTGAAATAAAATTTTCCCCATACAATGAGAAGAAAAAAATCAGGGTGACACAATAAATGAAAGAATGACTTACTCTGTAGTCTCGTCATGATAGCGTTGATAGCCTTGGTAACCAAGGTGATAAGAAGCTCACTCTCTGAGGGAGTCTGTTGGCTTGACGATGTAGAAGCGGTAGAGCTGCTTGAGGAGGACGACGAGCTTGACGTGTCCTCTTGTTTCTGGAAATGAAGTATAATGAAATAAATGAATATATTGGCAGAGGAATCAAATAAATGAATAAAAATAAAGAATCATTGAAAGTTTTAAAATTATATTGTTGCAAAATTAAAATAAGTAATGAAATTAATCAATATATTGGCAGAGGAATCTAATGAAAGAATGAAAATAAAGAAATATTGAATTCTTAAAATGATTTATTTGCAAAATAAAAATAGGTAATAAAATTATTTTACATAATATATCATATTATATTATTCTACAAATTTAGTTTTAAAGTTTTAAAGAATTAAGCCTCAAAATTATATATTTGCAAAGAATATGAAAAAAAATTAAGATTGGCTTCTCTGCTGATTCATGTTATTTTTCTCATGTTCATCCCTGACTGGTAAAAAAGGGAACTCATTTCCACTTCTCCCCTGATTTCCAGATTAGTTGGAAAACATGTTTAATTCTGTGAGCATGTTAAAGCTAATCTGTACTAGTTTATTGGAGGGATTAAACCACTCTGCAAGGTCACTGGACAGGTGGTTGTCTCATCAACTCAGCTCTCACTTAACATAAGAAAAAGAGGATCATGGGGGACCAATGGTCACCGATTAGGCATTGTTTTCTATATAGAGGAAGCAAGGAGCTACAAGTAGGACAGTGTGGCTTTAAGAGTCGTACCTTTTTACTCCATGCTATCATCTCGTCTCGGAGCACAGCTTTGAGGATGGCCGGTAGCTGGAAGGATGGCTGCACGAGGCATCTAGCGATGGATATCATACAGGCATTCAGCATCCCGTTCACTCCGACCGTGGTCAGGAACTCGGCGATGTTTGGCGTCAAGCGGAACGGTACAGGTCGGTTTGCATCAAGCTCTCCTGTGTAGTGAAGACAGACATTTAATTGTTTAAGATTGTGATTTTACTTGAGGGGCGATAATAACGACAAGGGAATGCAACAGGCAAGTCAACATAGTGAAAACCTTGCCCTCAATGTAGAAAGGTACAGTCAAACCTGTTTCAGTAACCACCTGTCTACAAAGACCATATATTTTGTGTTTCCCTTGAAATTGGTTTCTCATTGAATCCTGTTCTACAGGAACCTGCACTTTAAGACCACCTGCCTATAAAGACCACTTTTCTTGTTTCCCTAGGGTGATCTTCATAGACAGGTTTCACTGTACTAGTGTTCTAGAATATGATTTGATACATAGATGTCTATTTCTATGCAAAACATTTTTCATCTTGACAAATACTACCAAAATGAAAAATTTTCAGTTGCAATGATTTCTTGTTCATACAGTTTAACTATCAACTCACATTTTATGAACCACACATTTTTTCAGCTTTGACATGCACCAACTGACTTTTTTTCTCTATTTTTTTCCCTCTTAAGTACAGTTGCAATATCTAAATGTTCTGTTCGATGAAGAATGTGAATATTCTGATAAACAACTGTACAAGCATTCAAATATACTGTTTACCTTATAATTCACTCAAATGCATATATTGATGTTTTAAAGCCCATCTGTACTACTTGTAGCTACTTGCTCCCTCTATATAGAAAACAATGTCTACCTGGTAATCTGTGACCATTGGTCCCCCATGATCCTCTTTTTCTTATGTTAATTGAGAGCTGAGTTGATGAGATAGCCACCTGTCAGTGAACACCCTTGGTGGTCTAAACCCTCCTAGCTAACTAGTACAGACGGCTTTTAAAACACAATGATAGAACAAAATATGGACATACCACTTGTTTCATCCAGGTCAAATCTGAAGTAGAAGACGGAGAGGAGTCCCGAGTTTCTCTCGATCTGAATGATCTCAGGGTTGAGTCGGGTCAAGTGAAGAACAAACTCAGCCAGACCTAGCAAGGCCAACTGACCACACATCTGAAACAGAACAGAGAGATTGAGAAATAATGATATATATACAGGTAGGTATGCAAAAGAAGACAGACACAGAGATATTTATTAAAGGGATCCGGTAACTTTGTCTCTGATTCTGAAACAATATCCTGGATTTAGCTCATGCTGCAATGATAAGTATAAACCTTTAGGCCAGTCAGGAACCCCATGACTTTTACAAGCCGATCGCCTGTCTGATTGTCAAGATATTTATGATTGGAAATCAGAACCGAATTTTGCGTTTTCCTAAAGTTTTCATAACACTACAGTCTATTTGGGAAAACAAGTATGGTAAAACCAGTCACTCAAAGATTTTTACTTTTTTGAGGCACTTTATTACACCATATCACAGACACTGATAACACGTAGGGCCGTGCATCTCAGATTTAACATTGTTAAACGATGCCTTTAATCCTTTATAGTAAAGATTTCAAGAAATATTAAATGTGTGACATCCCAGAGAAATGATTTAAAAGAACTGAAGCAATGCTGCACGTTGAAAGTGTACACTGACATATCTGTTACTCTGGTTAGAACCATTGTCTGGGATATTTTCCCCTTGGAATAATTTACCTCAAGTCCCCCATCCCTAGCACTAGCATCAAGGGTGTTAGGCATACTACACAAATCCTGAGTAGATGCTTGTTTCAACATACCATTTTGTTGGCATCATTAATGATGACGCAAATAGTTGAAGTATACCACAATCCATTAAGTTACTCCGCAGATAAAAACATTTGAATATTTACAGAAGGAAATTCAGCTAAAACAAAATGCAGAATATAGCACCTGAAACTGTCCAATGAAATTGTGAACAACAGAAGAGATTCTGACAAACTTATTCTTGCAATAAAATAGAATGTAAAAGAAGAAGAAGAGGATTTCTAAAAAAGATTTCTGAAGATGAAGAGGAATGAAGGACGCAGAAGAGGAAGAGGAAGAAGAAGTGTTGCAAAAGGAGCAAAGCCTACCCCCAAATAACTTTCTACAAGACGCATGCAATTTAAAGGCACTTATCAATGATTTCTACCCACCATTTTTCTGAAGGCAAAGTAGTCTGTTGAAGTTGGGAACGTATCCAGCGCCCACTCTTTGAGAAGCGTCCTGGGAACCATGTTGGTTTGGACCTCCTTCAGAATGTCCCGCAGGACTTGATGACTCGCCTGCGAGCCTCGGAGCTGGACCACGGCTAGACGTTCATAGTATCGGTTGATCGGTGGGTCCGTTTCCACCTGCTGCTTGGAACACCACTGTGAACAAGAAGAAAATCACGATCAATTATGTTTTTCTGATGGAATCGGTTGATTGGAGGAGGGGGTGGGTCCGTTTCTACCTGCTTTTTCGAACACCACAAAATCACCTTCTTTTAAAACCTGCTTGCAAAAATTACATTGATGTGCAGCAGAACAAATAAAACAAGAAATCATTTCTTTATTTCCAAGCTAAATGTTAAACACTGGCGGGACTCTTTCTGAAATCCAAAATAACGGGTGTTAGAATATCTTTATTAAGCTCAGTTTTATACCATTCAAAAGAATTTTTGTGTACAACATCAAAATTTGATGATATAAAGGCATATTTGATAAAACACCCCTAAAAACATCAACATACTAAATGATTATCCTCATTTTCCCCCAATTTTCATGAAAATAAATTTGCATTTCCCCCTTTTTGTGTACATACCCAAGTACTACTCTGTCATGAACCCTGTATATTATACTTGAATGTTACCTTCTTGCAATTGTCTAGCAAGGATATTGAATAGTGACTCTCTCATAGCAGTCTCATTTGAATGGTAAATACCATATCTTTTCATTACCTTCTTATATATGTCCAGTAAAGAGAGCGATGAGGGACTATCTTCTACCAGTCTCATCTGAGGGGACACAGCTACGACTCGTGGCACTGTGAATTGCAGTTGTCTCTTTGCAGTTTCCTGTAACAGAAATGATAAAGAAACTGAGCATTCAAATACTCCATAAACAATCTTTTACAATTATACAATATGTGCAGTTGAATCTTATCACACAAAACCAAAGGCACAATTTTGGTCTGTTGGTAAAAATCACGTTTTTTGAAGTACATGTAAAAAAAATGTAAATATACTTGCAAATATAAATATAGATCATTCCATTTACACATTGTTATTTCATTTCCATTTTGCATTGAGATGGATGGGTCATGTGTTGAAAAGGGAAGACGATGAACCTTTGAAAACAGCTCATAGCTGCCAACATTTGGAATTTTCAATTAGTAACATTTAAGTAAAACTGAATATCATGTTGGTGAAGCGCATATCTATGTCAGACCTGCCAAACTCTGGAGTTCAAAAACTGTATTCTATAATCCCCAAAGTTGTATTTTACTGACAAAAATTGTATTAAAAAACAAAACATGGATCAATGCCTCTTACAGTTCCTACATACAGGACAATTTTTTTTAAATTGATCATTGGTAGAATATGCACGATTTCGTCATAACTCAGAGATGCCAACTTTTGGAAAACATAAATAGGGAGGATTTGTAACGGACACCAAATAATGTGCGCGTAGCGCACATCTCGAGCGCGTAGCGCCCGACCCATGCGGCCGGGGTCCAGGGCCCGCCTTAGGGCCCTGGAAGCTCTGGGGTTCTAGATGCTCTCTGGTGCAATCTGAGCCTTATTTTGCAGCATTTTACATGTGTATTTAGTTCAATAATTCCCACTTTTTTTTAAAATAACATACAAATTGTACAAAATGCATGATGAATTCCTTTCATATATATGATACAGTGTTCGGTCTTATACTTCTGATACCATTTCTTGGTCTTCTTTAGCTGATTTTCCGCCATTTGGATTCTGTGTCAATATCCACGCATTGGTTACGGCGATCCATATGCTGAAACAATCTTTCGCTACTCTTAATTTGTCTTTTAATATAGTGGATTTACTACATGCTAAAGTTAACAGACGATATTTCTCATTCAATTCACAGATATATATACTGATAAGCGCCAAAAAAAAAAAAAAAAAAAAAAAAAAAAAAAAAAATCATTTTTTTAATTTTTTATAATAAATCGGGAGGATAAGGATGGTGATCGTAAGGTCGGGAGTTGGGGTGAATTATCGGGAGCCTCCCGATGAAATCGGGAGGGTTGGCATCTCTGATAACTGGTGTGTTCGATGAATCAATGAATATCCCTACACTTTACAGGACAGAATGGGCATTTTGCCGTTGAAAATGGCACACACACACTCAAAATACAATTATCATTTTTTTGAAATTCGTAATAATAGAAGGGGTATTTGTAATTTTGTAACGAGGGCGGGAAATTCGTAACAATTAAGATTTTTTTTTCGTAACAGTTGGCAGCTATGACAGTGTGGGAGCTAGAAGTGGATGGCAAATAAAGAGGGAAAGGAAGACTGAAAAAGAAAAAGCAATATGGTTGGTCTAAATGAGGAGGATGCTCGAGACAAGAAGAAATAGTGGGAGGGCATGTCAAGAACAGGGTGAGAAAAGAGTGCATCGTCTTACCTTCCTCTTGCCCAGATAATGGTTGAGCATCCTCAGCACCTGCAGAACCCTCTCTTCTCGTCTTGATTCAGCCATGCTTGCATCGTTCACAACAAGGTATGGGTAGATCTGAGGAACAAAATGAATATCAAACGTAACACAGTGAAACCTTTTTAGAAAGATTGCTTTAAATATAAAGGTGACAAGAAAAGTGTTCTTTATAGGCAGGTTGTATTTTATCATAGAGAGGGAGGTGCTCCTTTAAACATGGCTTAATGTGAAAACAATTTTGAAGGGAAACAGATAATGAGATCTTCAAAGGCATGTGGTCTTTCTATACCAGCTATCGCTGCTATAAGAAGTTTTACTCTACATGTAACGCTTGATGGGTTTATGTCCTATAAACTTATACTGATTACCAAGGCATAAATATGATATTACTATTATATCATAAATGTTGAGCTAACACAGAATGCGTACACCATCATCATTATCTAGGGACTATTACCCCTCCATGTGTGTTATGTTCAAATGCACATACACATAACTATAGAGCAATGTCCATTGGCAATGACAGTGGTTTTCTTCACTACTTTTTCATATTTTCCTGGGTACCAATGTCTTGCAAAACAATGTCACTGAAGTATTGGGATATTCTGGACTATTACATGTATATGCTGCATATAAAACTCAAATTCTTGAGTTGAATCAAATTGAATTGTATCAACAGTACCTTTTATTCACGCACATTTTTGCATAATTCATGCTATTCATTTAAATAATCAACGAATGGCAATATTTTCCTGCCCATAACACAGAAGGGATTGCGCTATATTTGTAATTCAAAGCGAATACACCACATACCTTTCCATTGCTCCCCCTGATATAGAGTCTCCTGGCGGCCGTGTTGTGTTTGTGCGTGATCTCTACGTGAGGCATGAAGCGGGCGATGCGTATGGTGTAGTGACTGTGCTTGGGGGTGAGGAACTCTCCGGGTAACTCGACGTCGGCGGTCGCTGACGAGAAGTGGCTCAAAAACCGACACCTCTCCTCAATCAGGAAGGACCTAACAATTAGAAGGGGAAAAAGATTTTTATAATGGTCCGTCTGAATGAAAATTATAATAAAGTAAGAAATAAGCAATTTTTTCCAGAAAAATAATATGCAGTTGTACTCTTTATCATATATGTGTAAAAATCCATGCAAAATTTTTGCATTAATTGGACCTTCTGTGGCCGAGTTCTGAAAAGGGGTGGGGTAAAGAAGAACTTGCTCTCAAAAAGTCTGGTCGGAATAGGATTAAAGGAATGTGATAATCCATGCTTCAACATACGGTTGAGTATTCCTGATGTGATTAACTGTCTGGCAGTTATTCTAAGTGGTTATGTACATACTACATTAAAAATAATTGTGTAACATGTTTTGGAAATATCATAAATCTTGCTTAAAGTCAAATACATGTTACATGCATAATGAAAACCACCACTCACAGATATGAATATGAGAGACTCCACAAACATGTGGCATCAAAATGTGGTCAAACGTTGATTGCTATCTATTGTTATACTCGGAACATGTGGGCATTTTAATCAATACGTAAAAGTAGATACCCATAGAAGAGAGAATGGAAGTGCGAAATATGCAGAGCTGACAACCTTGTGCGAACAAAAAAGGAACCATGATGGCAAAAAAGAGGTAGTCATTAAAACGAAACTAGCAACCACGTGTGACACACTTCCAATGCAGAAATGTCCATTCCTCATGCTGTTTTTTCCAAATTAGGACCTATAGTTTATTTACAAGTACATGTAGGTATTTTTTTGGTGTCATTTTGGTATTATCAGCGTTTCATTCTTATTGAGAATATTTTTCTCTTCAAGTATGTTTTACACTTAGTTTTCGATTGAATTTGTGATCAAATCAACATTTTAGGGCAGTTGTTTGACGTTCGGTATGTCAACAAAAACAAAAAACGTACTACCTTAATTTGGAGGGAAAAAAACAGAATTCTGGGAAAAACGTAATACATGTAGATGGCAGCTCTAAATATGAGATAAGCAAAATGAGAAAACACAAATCGGCGGAGCAATTTCTCACTTTGGTAGTAGCTTGGTCCTTGTCTCGATGATCTTGATCCACTTCTTGAGCATGGCAATGAGATTCCGCAGCTTGGTGGCCCCAGGCTGGGAGAAGTCAAAGTCGATCTTGAACTGATTCTTGAGCTTCTGGAAGATGGGGTCCTGCGCTGTGGCCTGCGCCCGTCTCACGAGGAGCTCCGAGGCCGCGCTGGACAGGGTCTGGGTCACGCTGCTCACGTTCTCGATGCCCACACCGCCGAAGGTGTTCACGAGCTTCTTTACGAAGCTCAGCGTGTGTGGTGTCACCTTTGCTTCGACAACTGGGAAGAAAAAAAAACAATAAGAGAATTAAACCCCTTTCGTGCTATCACATGTGTGGACACAATGGTCATGCAGGTTAAATGAAACAGCAATTCTTTCCTTATTGAAAATGCTACGATTCATTGATCAATACGGCATGAAACATCGTCCATGGATATACATTTAAATTTTACAATGAGGATCTCATTCTACCATACAAAGCTTTCCAAAAACATATTAATTTTCCACTGATTGTGAACAAATGTGATTTTCAAATGAGGATACTTGTTTCTGTTTCTGGAAGAAAAATGTAGACATTCTTAGCCTAAACAAAGTCTCTTTTGAAAATACAGGTTGTAAAAATCAGTCCAAAAGTTCACAGAAAGCTAAGTTTTAAAAAACACATATGTATTAAAGCAGACAATGGTAAGGAATTCCTTTGAAATTGCTCTTCTACTTTAAGAAGAGACACATACCTTTTAAGTAAAACATGATGAATAGAATGCTTTCATACTGCAAATCAAACAAATTTGCTTCCTTTTTCATTCAATATCAGACATTGATAATTTTTCTACAAATTCCATTCTAAGACAAATTGGTAAATAATACACGGTCATTTAGCATTTTTTTGTTTTCTCACCTGCTCCTCTGTTTTCAAAAGCCACAGCTTGGCATTTTGCCAACGCCAGTCGAAGATGACGTAAGACCTCCTCATACCAATTTTCCCTGAACCATACCATCTAAACACATCATAAACATGAAGAAATGTTCATACTAAATATAATAATAATTACTAAAATAAATTTCACATATACAACAAAACAAGGCACAATGTAAAGAAAACATACAGCAATAATAATACATAATTCTAATAATAACAATTACAGATAACTAGTAGCTTAATTCAATCAAAATGTTGATTCAAATCAGTCATATTTTCTATTATCAAAGAGATTTCATGTTCTTGATGTGGAATTAATAAAAAATCTAAAATACTTGATTTTGCACTTATGAATATATTTTATTTTAAGGCTACAAATGGCTCTCCATAATTTTTAAAGTCCAACTTAGAGTTAAGTTCAACTTAGGATCTTTGTGAAACACCCCCCTGATAGCAAAGTCAAAAGCATCTCACTCACCTGATCCACAATGCCTTCCAGTGAAGAAAGCAGAATAGGATGCAGATCTCTCTGGACCCCCATGATCTTGGAGCATCGCACCATGGGTACCGAAGCCCGGATGGGACCAGGGTTGGTCACACTGGCCCCTAACCCAGGGGCAGGGGTACTGGTGGAGGGCGTGGTAGTGGTAGTGGTGGTGGATGTGCTGTCTGACGTTGTTGATGTTGTTGATGGAGTGGTAGTGGAGGTGGTGGCATCTGTGGTGACCAGAAAGAAATTGATGAAAATTAATAACGCAGAAAATAAGCACAGATAGGATAAGGGCTAGTCACACTGGTCCCTAACCCAGGGGTAGGGGTACTGGTAGTAGATGTGGTATCAGATATTGATGTTGTAGATGTGGTCACGTTTCGTCATGTTTTGTGTTCATACTATCTCTTTCTCTATCACTATTATTGCAACATTGATCATAACAAAAATCTCATTATCTACATGTATGTCACTACTACCATCATCATCATTTCCACTTTACAAAATGTAATCATCATCATTTCCACTTTACAAATGCAATCATCATCATTTCCACTTTACAAATGCAATCATCATCATTTCCACTTTACAAATGCATTCATCATCATTTCCACTTAACAAATACAATCATCATCATTTCCACTTTACACATGCAATCATCATCATTTCCACTTTACAAATGCAATCATCATTTCCACTTTACAAATACAATCATCATCGTTTCCACTTTACAAATGCAATCATCATCATTTCCACTTTACAAATGCAATCATCATCATTTCCACTTAACAAATGCAATCATCATTTCCAATTTACACATGCAATTATCATCATTTCCACTTAACAAATGCAATCATCATTTCTACTTTACAAATGCAATCATCATCGTTTCCACTTTACAAATGCAATCATCATCATTTCTACTTTACAAATGCAACCATCATCATTTCTACTTTACAAATGCAATCATCAACATTTCCACTTTACAAATGCAATCTTCAACATACTACAACGACTCTCACCTCCACCTGCTGCAGTTGTAGCGGCAGTGGTGGTGGTGGTGGAACTCGTCTCTTTCTTGGCATCGATATCTTCTTTGGTATCTTCCTTGGATACCGTTGCGGTGTTGCTAGGCGTGGCATCACTGGGCGTGGTCGTATCCGCGGCAGTCAAGGTCTTGGTTGGTATAACTGTGGAAGACAGACGACGGCGGCCAGCCGAAGCATCACCACTCTTGACTGTTTGAATAAAAAACAAGAAACAAATTCTTGAATGAAAGGTATTGTAAGTACAGGTAGAGTAGTTATCAATATGTATTTATTGCTGGAAGAATTTTCTTAAAGATGGCATTAAAAAAGAATCTACAGTCATTGTGTGCAAGGCAAAAGGATATGGATGGATGGATGTGTAGCTGTCCAACCGATCAAAAATTTCCAGAAAACTGCATTCAAAGTTCTTACATTCTTTAGACAAGGATCCTAAATCACAAATATTATTGTTGAAACAATCACCATTATTACTATTAATTACTAACAATATACAGTTAACAACTAAACTAATCATTCCCTTTAATACCAAGTTTTGTCATTTCAAAGTATGTGAAAAATGTATTTGTCCTAAATTATGTTTCTTGAGAATGTGACATATTAAAGTTCACATCTAAAAGTACTCTACAAAGGCCGTATTCCAACTAGTCCACCTATCATTCTTGAGTTACGAAAATACAAAAAAAATATTACAAGAGGTATGAATAATCTAGATAATCACAGTAAATTTGACTTGCAAACATATCTCAACTTGCTTTCATTATAAATCTTCACATAAACTCACATTTCTCTCTATGTTCTATTTTGTGCGTGAGGTAGAGGGTTCTAATCGGGAAGTAGAGCGCTTGCGGATAGACTCGTCCGACCTGCATCAAGATGTTGATGATCAGATCTCCTTCATTACCCACCAGACACGTCAACAGTTGAGGTATCCTGAAATATTAATTATATCATTAGAAAAGTCCAAAGTATTCATTACTTTGCTGTCCAATATATTACAAGGAATGTACATAAATGTTAATAAATTTTCAGTTTCTTCATTATTATTTATGACGGAATAGATTTTTTCCATACAGGGTTTGTATAGAAACATATTTGCAATATTTAGGGTGCATGTATGATAATTGATTTTAAAATTGCTGATTTTTTAGAAAGGAGCAAATGGGAGAGGACCTTGCATGATATGTCATAGAGTTGCCAATTTGTGCTTGATTGATCGCAACTTCAAAAATTCATAACTTTCTTAATTTTTATCAGAATTTGCTCAAAATGTCACTGACCTGTTTCTCTCATTTTTCTGCTTCTAATAAAACCAACTAAATATCAGAGTGGACTTCCCCTTTAACTTGCTTTATTATATCCATCAAATTGGCAAAAAAGACAAACACTTTCAACAATACATTCTTCTAGCAAGTTATCTTACACCAATGACTGAATCTGGATAAATAAATATATTACAACTGGGTTTCCAAACAGATTTAGAAAATGATTTTCAAATTTTCTCACTTAATGCTTGATGCAAATTGGTTATATTCCTACTAAAATATAAATGATTTAAACTGATTTTGCTCCTTGTAAATGTAATATTTTAATATAAGACAGTAACTTTACAACAGCTGTAAAAAAAAAAAATTAAATCATCACAAACATAGAGAAATAATTTCAATCCACTCTACGACCTATTAAGACATGAAAAAAATAAAATTAAGGTGAAAAAGTGATATATTACCATGGCAACCACTGAATGGGCGGAACACCAACTGAATACTTGTCGACGGCCTTAGCCAATGGATGATCAGCCTTCTCATCATCGTATGTGATCAGCCACAGAACCTTGGCAAGGTATTTACGTGACTTGCTCTCGTTCTGATGGCGACACGCATGCAGGAAGCAGGTGATGGCCGACTCTCCTAAAGACATTTGTCTGCGAAAGAAGATTAAAAAGAAGGGGTCGTGCTCTTATTACTGGGGGGAGGATCATTTGCGAGCTTCCTCATTTTCATTCTAATTAAATATCATCATACCCATGTCATGCCAATTGAATGGGATTTCTCTTGAAAAACCCTCTTTTTCCAAATATAATGCAACAAGACATCATGGAAGTTGAAAACTTTGGACAGAAATTTGATGGTACATGCGTGCGTAATCCTGTATACTTTAATTTACCAATATAAAGCCTGTTTCACTTTGTGCAGTTTCAACATGATTTGGTCATCTCTATTTTTCTTTCTTCAATATTTGCACAAGTGATAAATAATTAGATAGGCTTTTTTCATTCTTTTTATACCTATTTAGAAGAATATCATAAAAGCAATATCAGATAAAAAGGATTTCTCTCAAAAGGCACTCAAATTTCACATGTAACTAGAAATAGTTGACAACTTTGGACAGGATTTTTTAATACCCACATACATGTATGTGTTCAAAGCTTTCCACTATATGCGATTTTCAGCAAGATTTAGTACATTTCTCATAATTTCAAAGATTCTAAAAAGCACACAATACTCACAGTATTCTTATTAAAACTATAATTTCAAGGTATACAGTTAATAACTAAATCATTCATACTTTACCAAGATTTGTAATTTTTAAAGTATATGAAATATTGATTCCTCCAAATTTATGTTTCTTGAGAATATGGCTTATCCAAAGTTATGTTTACAAGTTTTTAACAAAGGCCCTCATTCAACCAGTTGAGTTGAGTTATGTAAACACCAAAAATAAAAAAAATTACAAGGGTTGTGAATAATTCAATTAAACTGTTTAATCAAATTACTAGACAGAGAAGATTAAGAAAAGATGCATGAACAGCGAAAGGAAGGTTATTTCTCTAAACAACCTGGAAGCAAATTTAAAGAAGACAGTTTGGTGTACCTCAATTATCAACAATAGACTATGTAATTCTGTGAATTAGTGGATGAAAAACAAGTCAGAAAATATCATCTTTAAATCATCTTACTTGTCCTTGCAGAAGATCTGTTCTAGGTAGTCACCCCATAGAGCCCACGCCTTGACTAAGGTATCGTGCATCTGAACAGCAGCAGAGAAGGTCTTGTTCGCTTCATCAGACCTGAAATCATTACAATTGAAATTAAATATTCAAAAGGAATTAATGATAACAACAATGCTCAAGGCGTCTGCAGAGTACTAGTATTAGATTGGCAATTTTAAAGTCCTCAGTTCAGTTCAGTTCAGTTTATTGATATCATCATTTCGCAGCCTCGGCTGAATTGCATGATAATTTAAAATTAAAAACATACAGGTATCATATTTCTTTCACAATTGTTTCAAATAATACTAGTTAAAATACAATATAATTAACAAAGACAATGAATTGTCATCAATACTTAGTCCACTTTCCAGTGACAATTCACAATATTAGCAATACGAATAATTCAATATATATATATTTATACAACAAAAAATATTCCTATTAATAATGTTGTGCTGGAGGCAGTCAAGGAATTCCTTGGTACCTGGTATCCATCTACTACACCTGGGTAGAGAGTGGCAAATATAGCCTGACATTTTGCCAAAAAAACATTTCAGTGCCATGGCTGAAACTCAAATCACAAACCATTTGATCCATAGTCCAGCAACGCATCCGGTTGACCACAACACTTCAACATTTTAATATGTGAATATGAACATTATGAATCATATCATAAATTAGGTATGGGAAAACCAATTATTAAATATCTTTTGAATTCATGAAGGGTCACCGCCATGTAAATAGGCATCAGTTTTACAGAGGGACATCTAACCTTATTTCATGTTTTCTTGTATTTTACTGTAAATATTACAATATCAGTCTACATACTCTTGTCATGTTATTTTATTTTTTTTTTACAATAAAACCGAAATTGATTTAATTTGATATCCCTTGACTCTCATTATAATGATCAGATCTAGGCCGTCGTGCATACAAAGTTGCATCTAAACAAAACTTAAAGAACTAAAAACATGTCGCAAACTTGCAATCCTCACTGGTCGAAAATCGAGTTGCTTTTAAACACTACTTTCATGCAAGAGGCCCAGGTTCTCCTAAGTCTAGAGAATTTCAAAAAAAGGAAGCAGACTGTTTGACTGACCTTCCGACCTGTGCTAGAAACATTCCCTTGAGAGCATAGAACTCGGCCGTCATCTCCCGGCTGAAGTATTTGAGGTTTGTGGATTCAATGACCTCTAACCCCTCCTGTAGTTCCTGTTTACCCATGGTCCCGGCCATCTGGAGGTAACATTTGACCTGCTGACGGATCTTCTGAAAGCAGTCGACGACAGGGACGCTCGGGATGGTGTGGATTCTGAGGAGGAAATGATGTTTTGGGAAGTGAGTAGATTAAAGATAAACTTGAGTTCTGGTAAAAAAAAAAGAAAATGCATTCTCACAGAATCAAACAAAACTTACACAGAATATTCAAGATTACAAATAAATGTCATTTGCCAAACAATTTTGGTAGAAAATGTATACTGGCTGAGAAATGAGCATAGAAAGATAAAGAAATCAAGGTAAGTAGGCCTGACAGCATTTGTGTAGTCACATATACATTTTTCTGTCTACAGTGCTTGTTGCTTTACCAAGACTGGGCCAAATTTATTATGATTTTGATGACTCCCGAACCTTGCAGTACACACCAATACTTACATGCTACATGATCAACTTTTTATGATCCATTCCACACTTTTTCTTTCACAATGCAATCGCATGACCAGAACTCAACTTTATCTTTAACATTGACTGTATTCCACAAGCATATTTCAAAATCATCAAAACTACTAACATCGCCATCATCAACATCTTAACATTGTCGTCGTTACCATCATAATCTTCATTATCGTCATCATCATCATAATCATCATCATCATCATCATCATCATCATCACCATCCTCATCCTCCTCATCATCATCCTCATCCTCATCATTGGACCCTCACCTGCTAAGTGAGTCTAGGGCAGGACCAATCAGGCTGTGTTTCCTGGCTACCTTGCCATAGTTGATGATAGACTGTGCAGACGCGTGAACACCCAACATTGTGTGGTTGTGCTGTTGCTGCAAGATTAAATAATGCATACATACTACATAAATGAATAGTTCAAAGCATTGCATACAGCTCCTAAGCAAAAGGGGAACATAAACTATACTCTTGAGGTTATTTAATGTGCTATCATCCTCCTTTAAAAGAAGAAACCTTTTCTTTCAACATGTTTTGGTTTTTTTTAAAAGCAATTAAAAAGAAATTCCATTTTTTGTCAAGATATTCTCCCCTCTATTAAATGTTCTACCTTCCAAGAGGAAATGGGTTTGTGCACACGAATGGCCAAAGAAATCCTCTGTATTTGGTTTGCATAAGTCTTGAAAAAAAAATTCTGCTAATAGTCCCACTTACATTGTCTTGTGTTGTGCTTGAGGAGTTGTCGTAGGCTTGTACGATAGCTTGGTAATGATGCTGCCTCCACATAAAGATGTCGCTCCAATGACTCAGATCATCGGACACCATCGGGAGACGATTCCTGAAAAACAAAACATGAAAAACATTTTGTAAAGCATCATACAGCTTCTGATTACTAAAGTAGAACTTCTTTACTGCATTGGATCAAAATCAAAATTTAGAATGCTCTTCTTCCAAATTTCATCATCTCTAACCCAATAGCTGGCTTCAAAACAGAAATGCAGAACTGTGCAGACGCTGCCCTAGGATTTTACAGTCATAGGTTCTGAAAGTTCTAAGTAAGAAACGAAAATATAGTGCTGTTTTTATATTGCCTCAGCGGGAGCTATTCTCAAATAAACAGCTATAACGGTCAAATTATTTTCAAATTAGGATACAAATAATTTACGAGTCAAGAAAATAAATATCTGGAATTAAACATTCAAAATTTATTTGTTGAAAGCCATTTTCCATTTGTTTTCATTTGATGGGAGGTTCCTAATAATAGACCTCTTCCACTGGATTCATTGAATTCAGGAATTTTGGTTTTTAGGTCTGCAAAAGGAACAACCATTTTAAAGGTTAAGGTTAGCTACAGTATTTGCTTCATGGCAAAAGCTCGCAATTTGGTTAGTTAAAGATATTGACAACAGAGCAGTAATGTCAAAGAAAAATGAGGACAACTGAAAGCAACAGAGCAAAATTTTGTAAGTAGACTTTAATACCTCCATGTTTTGACAATGGCCTTCATGTCATGGAGACTCTGGTTGCGTCCTAGGTTGGTTGGTTGTAGACCATGATGCACCTGGGAAGCTTCCTGTAACTCCATGATACGCTGGGACGCCTGGAGGAGGGGGGTGTGGGCCTGGGTCACATAGTGGGGGAGACGTCTCCATTCCTCCAAAGCCTGCTTGCTCGACATCTCAACAAGTCTCTCAATCTATTAACATCATTAAACATTGATTAAAGCAAATTCATATATGTATCACACAGACTCTACATAGTTTGATTACATGAATTATTTCTACCATTGTTATTTATCACTTTGTATTCTATTTGTATTTGAAATCCAACCTTTTAATTTAATAAATAAATAACAACATACATAAATGAGTATATACATAAATAAATGTTTACAAATAAAATATGAATAATAATAAATAAATGCAGTATTTGTAGAGAACCTTCATTTCATGAAAACATATATAAAATCATGGTGAATTTTTATCATGTAAGAATGACATTCTGTGGTAGAGTTTGGACAAACAAAATGTCAACAAACTAGTAATAGGTAACTGGAAACTGCATACCTAAAATTGACAGGCACAACGAGTAAACATTGAGTGACATTGCAGGCCCACAACTTAAAGGGCCTGGACATAATTCAAGGAGTACCACATTTGTTTTTCTTATAACTCTGTCATTACACATTTTCTATCAGAATAAGTCCAACAGATCTTCTTCACTTTTACATGCAACTATGTGGTGATGATTGTTTTGTCTTGGATTCTGTTAAAACTTATTTTGTTTATCTTCATCAAAACTTTAAAGAAAGCTCTCTTAAAGTACAGAGGTGACATGATTTGCTTACCAGTGTTAGGTTCTTTTCATCGGGATGGCAGATAGCAATGAAACCTCGATAGAGATTCACTTTCCAGTTCATCTCACGGGGGCAGCTCTGCTCAACCTGAAAACAGACGGGATTGAAGCTTACAAAGTTAATCAAACATGGAGAAAGTCTTGGCTTTATTAAAATAAAATATGAAGGTAGCTGTCTTTGGTCTCTACATTATTGAAAAGGGATTAACAGCCCATTTTCAAGATGACAAGATGCCAATCGAGACACAGTATCCTATCAAATTTTTTATCTCAACTGATAGTTTACCTGATTGAACATTTACATTTAACATTGTGTCATGAGAGACCAAATTTTATGCATATTTCTCCTCAAATACTTTTAATTTCTGAGTTGTTTTTTTTCCCTTGTCATATACTCTCAAAATTGGCAGACATCTTCCTATCAACAGAGGAATAAGCGGGCTTAGATTAGATGAAACATATAGCATATATAAAATCGATAAAAAGTCTGAATTGAAAAAAGGAACAAGGGCCACGTCTTATAAACAGTTTATATAAATTACAGCTTTGCAATTGATATCAATTGCAACTATGTCCATGAGAGAAAGGAGACTGCAAACTTGTGATTAGTTTGGATAAATTGCAACCCTTTATAAGGCAGGGCCCTGATTCAATTTAATGGAGATGTGAGTTGGTCTAGCGGCACATTCACTTGGTCAGCTCTCTGTCTTCGCCTACAAACTGAGTCACTTCTTTTGGATGGTGATATTAAAGGCCGGTCCCCAGACGTAAATAATCAGACCAGATACAGATATTCTAAATCCTGAGAGGCTATGACAGAGTGAATCCCTCAAATTTCTTCCAACTAGCCACTGGCTCAACAACAAGAGGCCATAATTTCAAGATTGTCAAACAACATTTCAATACAAGACTTAGGCAGTATAGTTTCTCAATAAGGAGTGTAAACAATTGGAATCCCCTGCCTAAGGAAGTATTCAATGCTGCCACCATTAACTAATTCAAGTCATTCCTAGAGAGGTTTTGGAGAAACAATCCAATTAAGTTTGAACCATACTTGAGACGGGATGCAACAGTAAAGAGGTACAAATACGCTAAGCTTCCAGTCTCTACACCCAAGTATACCCAAGTATACAAGTAAGTAAGTATATCTGATTGATACACGTCTGTAAAAACCCAATTACACACACACGCACACAATGCTCACCTGTGCGAGTGCCTCTTTCATGGCGCCCCAGTTGGGGACCCTCCACGCACTCTCCAGGACCAGCTGGGGGTTGGTGTGGCCCTTGGTGTTCCCGTACTCCATCAGGATATCCCACTGGCTGAGTTCCTTGCAGCATCGGACCCAGTGACTCTCCCACAGGTGGTACTCGGGGAACAGCATGTTACTCGCTGGACCCGAGTTGTGCTCGGATCTCGCCTTCGCTAATGCCTGCATCAAACAATTTTTTGAGTGGATGTTAGAGAGGAATATGACCGGACTTTGGTGGGACCCGAGTTATGCTTAGACCATATCTTTGCCAAACCACAAAATGTGGATTGATTGTCATGAAAGGAACCATTCATAATTTTCTCTAGAAAGAAGTATAGATGATTTTCTTAGAACAATTGCTCAACCCTAACCACTCGAGATTTTGCTACCATTAAAGGTTACCTAACATCTAAGAAGAAACAATTTACATACAGATACTACTATATGTTTCAATCAACAACAGCAACAACAAAAAAACAAAAACTGTATCTGGCTTTCTATATTTTAAGGAGTAGGAGTATAAATAAAATCAAGAATAACATACAGACACTATCCAAGAAAATCCCAAGTTGGACTTTGGTTCTAAGAGTTTAAAGGGATCCGGTAACTTTGTCTCAGATTCTGAAACAAAATTTTGGATTTAGCTCATGATGCAATGATAATTATAAACCTTTAGGTAAGTCAGGAACCCCATGATTTTTACAAGCCGCTCGCCTGTCTGATTATCAAGATATTTATGATTGGAATTACAAATTTTGAAAACCGTTCGCCTGACGGTTTTCATAACACTACAGTCTATTGGGGAAAACGAGTATGGTAAAACCGGTCACTCAAAGATTTTTACTTTTTTGAGGCACTTCTTGATTATTTTGAAGCGCAATTTTTTTAGGGCTTCAATATTACACCATGTCACAGGCACTGATAACATGTAGGGCCGTGTATCTCAGATTTAACATTGTTAAACGATCCCTTTAAATGTGCAATATCTATTTCTCTTCACAGAAGTAATATTTGAAGCTGATATTTTCAATGTAGTACAGTAGCATGGAACCCCCAACATACAGAGCAAAGTATTTTGGGAGATTTTATCCATTTAAATTGCTTTGTTTTTGTCATAAAGTTTTAATATGCATAATGTTATACACTTAATATGTAAATGTTTCTATGAACCGATCATTAAAGGCAGTGCCAATGTAGACTGACCTGTTCATAAGTAGTCTGCGCCTGTTCAAAGAATCCTTGCTGTTCGTAGGAGAGAGCCGTAGCAGTTTCAGGGAACTTGCATCTTCTCTGCCATAGTCCTGCCCATAGATCCTCTTCTTCTAATCTCTCATACAACTCTGACAGGGAATCCAATGTCTCCTGTACATGGACAAACAAACAAAGAAGAAGCAACTTTGACAACCAGAATTCAAGTCAATTTTTGATACTGGTGTTCATAGTGAAAACATTCTGAAGTCATTATGAATTGCTCTGATGTGACCAGTTCAAAGTGGAGTATAGTTATAGGCCAGCTGAATGTCAAAAAATACAATGATATAAAAACTTGCTAAAAAATGCATATCCTGAAAATCACAAACACAAATATGTATACATGGGGCAGAACATAATCTTGCTACCAGTATTCTCTCAGCAGTTCTCTGAAAGGCTGTTTATTCTGTTTATCAGTCAAAAATACACATTTACATTCCTGAATCATTTGGCAGATGCTCCCCATTTGAAATTTATATATATTGATGTTTTGTGATAATTCAATTCAATTCAATTCAATTTCGGTTTTATTACGAATATACCAAATAAAAAGTCCAAAGACTAACAACAATTGGCTCACAATGTATCATATAAAAATGCATTTAAAACAGTTGATTTAATAATTGAACTGGATTCCAATGAAATATTTTTCTGATAATTATCCTCACTCAAGACGATCTATAAATGAAAATAGATCAATTAACATGCACTGACCTGTTGCATAGCAGCTGTATTATCAGGTTCAAAGAAGTCATAGACGCTGGTTGTTCGAGGTCGATGGTGGCTGCTGAAACCGCTCGTGATGGCATTCTGTTCTAGCATCAGGATACAGCGGTGCCATAGATTGTGACTCTTACCTAGGTACTGTAAAAGAAAGAAAGAAAGAAATACTGGTTATTATCTACAATGATACATTTATCTCATATTTTATTACCAAAATGGAGAATCATGCCCCAAATGAACAACTTTGAAGAATTCAAATTTTAAGAAGAATTCAGAGCACAAGATTTCAAGAAAGAAGAATTTAAAGAAGAAGAAGAATTAGAATTAGAAGAATAAAAAGAAGAAGAATAATTTGAATTAGAAGAATAAAAAGAAGAAGAAGAAAAAGAAGAAGAAGAAAAAGTAGAAGAATTCAAAGAAGAAGAAAAAGTAAAAGAATTCAAAGAAGAAAAAGAGTTCAAAGAAGAAGAATTTGAAGAAGGAGAAGAATTTAAAGAAAAAGAACAACAACAAAATGAAGAAGAAGAAGGATAAGGAGCTGATTTTATCCTGTATAAAAAACAATCCTTTGCCAAAAGAACTTACCTTAAGAACGCAAGGTCTGATGGTGATGGGAGGACTACATCTCGACACTGCTTCAACAAACGTGTGTATGGTACTCATAGGAGCATCTTTCTGATAGTGGTGACTGCCGCTACACAGGAATGGACTCACTTCTTGAGAAAGGGTCTAAATAGAGAGAGAGAGAGAGAAAAATAATAATAATTGTATTGTATACAATGATAACTATCTGTTTCTGAATAGAACAAATAGAAGACAGTAATAAGGAATCTCTATGTTTTGAGAGGGTCTAACAGAGAACAAGATGGTAATAACAGCTTGTATGGCATGCAATAATGACTTTCTCTTTCTGAATAGAAAAAAATACTTATAAACCTTAGATTCTGATACTGATACTGCTACTTAGGAATGGACTCACCTCTTGGGAGAGAGTCTATTACAGAAAGTGGTAGTGATATAAACAATTTCTAATGTATAAATGATTTAAAAAATTAAAAAATTGTTCCCAAATATCACACAATAATTTCAATGGTCTAGTGGATAAGCTCCCACACTAAGGATCCTATGGCACAGGGTTCCAATCCCTGCAACGGCACTCTCCTTTTGCAAGGCGCTAATCTGCATTTGACACTCTTCATCCGAGTAAAGTTAACAGTTCCCCCGAAGGAAGAAATTCTTTGAATGCTTGAGCAACTTATGGTAGCTTGGCTAAAGCAAGGTAATAATAGTATTCAGCACATTGAATCCTTAGGCAAAAGCGACTTATGAATTTGACTACAATTTGGAAATAAACTTAAAACCACAGAATTTTAGGCTTTCTGGGAGAAGTTTCAATTGTTGTAAAGAATGTTTGGCTTGCACCCGGTATATAAAGATCACATGCTCGATATTGTACTTGAAGACAAGTCAGAAAAAAACTTGGAGCCAGCTGGACTTGAACCTGCCATCTACTGCTTGCCGGGCAGTGACTCAACCACCGGGCCATCACTGGTACATGGCACAGTCACTATAAACTTGAAACAAATACCTCAACTCTCCTGACTTATTCTGACTTATTAATAATAGGTCGACTGAACGTTAGAAGTGATTATTTGAGGAGAGGATTGATTAGAAAGTGGATTTTTCTCACCGTTTGTTCCTTTTCGCTGAGAATCTTCCAGACTTTAGGGAACAGGTGGACCCAGAATGAATGGGTTAAATCTGTATCACTGTGGCACAGCTGCGAGACTGCGTGTAGGAAGGTGAACGTCTGTCAAATAAAAAAAATATCTCATAAATATGAATATTTAATGAGACAGAAAACATACATACATGCAAACATACATCTGGCTATTCATTGTCGCCTATGTTTGCTCCAGTGATCTCAATGTAGCAGACAGCAAAAAACTGTGTGAATTAGTACTTTGCTTGAGAAAAAATTCAAAGGGGTGAACGAAAGCTTGCCTTTTAAATGTAATCAAATCACTTTGCTTCGTTTCCCTTTCCCTTAGGATGTATATATCCTAAATTTTATATAAATATTTTAAAAGGTAAATAAGCTTTATAAACCTTAAATTGGCAACACGTTGAGATATTCAAAGTCATTGTTTTTCTTTCAAAATTTTCAAATTTTCAAATTTTCAACAACATTCTTGCCATATATATTGTTTTCAGAGATTATTATTATATTATTATTAGAATATTAGAAAAATGTAGCAATAACAAATATCATTGTTGTCAACTTGAAGAACAGCGTCTCGTACACACGAGCGGAGCTGCTGTCCTACCGCCCCACGGGTGCGGGTAGCAAGCCCAGCGGATATGAAAACTTTCCGCGGGAAGTCAAGCCACACAAGAGAGGAAAGCCCGGCGGTCTGCGACGAAGACTAAGAAAGCGCAGACACAATACCCCGCTTCCATCAATTGTGTTTGGGAATGTACGCTCACTACAGAACAAAATGGATGAATTACGTGCGAATGCTCGGTATTTATACGAGTACAGAGAAGCAAACCTGCTTTGTTTCACAGAGACTTGGCTTCACCCTGCAGTTCCAGATAGTGCAATAGAGATCACAGACTTCGAACTTGCCAGAAGTGACAGAACTGCAAGCTCCGGTAAGACCCGTGGTGGTGGTGTATGTTTGTTTATGAACAAGTCATGGTGCAATAACTGGTCGATTAAAGAGAAGATATGTACTGTTGATTATGAGTTGCTGATTGTTGGACTCCGCCCATTCTACCTGCCAAGGGAGTTCGGCCAAATATTTGTGTTTGTGGTTTATGTTCCACCACAAGCAAATGTTAAAGTGGCTAGTGAAAACATAGCAGCAAAAGTAAATGATATTGAGAATGGTTCTCCAGATTCAGCTAAGGTCATTTTGGGGGACTTCAATCAATGTAGTTTGCATTCTACACTGCCATCATATAAGCAATATGTTACCCAGAATACCCGTGATAATGCCAAACTGGATCTTTGCTACAGCAATGTACCAAATGCATATGTTTCTTCTCTGTGCCCTCAGCTCGGTAAACTCCGATCACTGCAACATTCGTCTACGCCCAAAGTACCGCCAGCAGCTTAAATCTCGCAAGCCAGTCACCGGTGAGAAACAGATCTGGGGCTCAGAGGAAGTGGAGGTGCTGCGTGCTAGTTTGGAGTGCACTGATTGGGAGGTTCTTGTCGACTCAGCAGAATCTGCGGATGATACTGTATCCATCGTTAACCAGTATATCCTTTTTTGCGTACAGTCTTCAATACCAGTTAGGAAATTCAAAATATATCCTAACAATAAACCATGGATCACCAAAGAATTGAAGGGGCTTCTGAAGCAGAAACAAGATGCCTTTTCGAAAGGCGAGAAGGATCGTTTGAAGGAGCTACAGAAAATGATAAAGAAACAGATATCATGTAGGAAAGCTGACTACAGAAGGAAGTTAGAACAGGATTTTAGAAGCTCTGATTCTAGAGCAGCATGGAAAAAGATGCAACTGATCACAGGTTACAAGAAAAAACTCAAAAATCAAGAACTCAGTGCGGATTTTGTAAATGAACTCTGTGATTTTTATAGTAGGTTCGACACTCATGACTTTTCTGCTGAAAACAGTTCTATGCTAGAACTGCTTCACACCAAGGTTAGGGAATCTGATGATGATGTAGTGGTTAATATTAACGATGTTCGAATTTTGTTCGCTAGGGCTAAAGCTGGTAAAGCTACTGGTCAAGATGGGATTTCAAACAAACTTCTAAAAGCTTGCAGCCAGCAACTTGCTGAGGTTTTTACAGCTATTTTCCAAACATGTTTAGATACTGGTGACATCCCACAATTATGGAAATCTTCTATCATAACTCCTGTTCCTAAAGTAACAAAACCGGTAGAGCTAAATCACTACCGTCCTGTAGCAATTACGTCTAATGTAATGAAGTGCTTTGAGAACATTCTTGCTAAATCTCTGAGACGTCAGACAGGTCTCTTTGACCCTACTCAATATGCCTATCAAACCAATAGGAGTGTTGAAGATGCTGTGTTGGTCTTCTTACATAAGATATACCAACACCTTGAAATCCCAAAGGCTTTTGTGAGATGTGTTTTTATTGATTTTAGTAGTGCTTTCAACACTATTATCCCACATAAATTGGCTGCCTCTCTATCAAATTTTGATGTCTCCCCTAAATTGGTTAGGATCATCCTTAACTTTCTTGTAAATAGGCCACAGCGTGTTAGGTGTAATGGAGTTTCCTCTAGTGATACTTGTGTAAGTATAGGAGCTCCACAGGGTTGTGTGCTTTCTCCCCTCCTTTTCTCTGTTTACTCCAGTGGAAGCACTTCTCTCTTCTCTAACTGCTCTGTCGTAAAATACGCTGATGACACAGCTATATGCGGCTTTCTAAAGCATGGGCCTGAGAACTACTTTCAAGAAGTACAGAGTTTTGTAGAATGGTGTGATCAATCAAATCTAATCCTCAATGTACAAAAGACAAAGGAAATAATTTTTGATTTTCGTCGCTCTTCACATTCTCATGAGCCTATTACTATCCATGGACATCCCATAGAACAGGTCCCAGAATACAAATATCTAGGGACAATCATCGACAACAAACTGAATTGGAATCCAAATTCACAAGTTCTCGCAGGAAAGGCTAATCAACGGTTGTATTTCCTAAGGAAATTAAGGGAATTCCGAGTTGACAATACCATCCTGGTACTATTCTACCAAAGTTTGTTACAAAGTATCCTTACTTTCAGTCTCGTGTGCATGTATGGGAACCTGTCAAATGAGAATGTGAAGAAGCTCAATAGAGCTAGGAAAGTCGCTCAGCGAATTACTCACACAGAGTTGCCCACAATTGGTGCTCTGTATGAAAAGAAGGTTCTACTGAAGATTCATAAAATAATGCAAGATTCATCCCATCCTCTACATGAGCTCTTTAAGTTCAACCGTTCAGGTATACGTCTAACAGTGCCTAAAACAATACGATGTAGATTCAGACAATCTTTTGTTCCAAATGCCATACACATTTTCAACAATTCTGTAAAACGATGATTTTCTAATTTGAGTGTATGTAATGTGTGGATGGTTTGGGTGCATGCGTGGAGCCAGGTCGTAATCTTTTCTCCTTTTCTGTCCTCTCTAACTTTACCTGAAGCATTGTTTTGGGTGTGCACCTATCATTCTACCACTTTCTTCTCTTCTTATTTATTTCCTTATCTATCTCCTTTCCTCTATCTCTATTGTATTCATGTACCTGACTTCACGCATGCCTGCACACACACATGCATACATGTAAATTGGTATGTTATGCTCTGATCACAACTCTGGTTTTTTGCATGTCTTGTCATGTTAAGCAGAGTCATTTTCATGATAACCATTTTTCGAACAGTTGAGGTCTTTTGTCATGCTTTTTTGATCAAATTTTTAATCAATTTTTTAATCAATGTCAATATTTCAAATGTCAGTATTAAGTGCAATAATGTAACCTATAACAGTAAATGTCTTTCAACTCAACAAATATGTATATTTGAGAAGAACTGTCTTTTATGATAGTGTTAAAATGCCTTTCACTCTGTCCATAATGATGCGAAACAGTAATCTTTCAAACTTTTAATGAATGAACAACGTATCTCGAGTGCGTGCATGAGTGTCAGCTGCTATGTTCTTTCTCCCTCCCTCTTCCCTCCTTTCACTTGAAGCTTTGTTTTAAGTGTGCATTTCTCCCTTATCTACCACTTTTTCTTATTTCTCCCCTCTCTTCTACACTGCATCTCTTTGCATACATGTACCAGACTTCATGCATGCCCTCTCACATGTTTTTAGTATGTTATGGCCGCTGTCCCATGACACTTGTATATGTATATGTAAATGTGAAATGGCTAAGGCTAGGTTCCTTATTGAACACTTTTTTTATTCTAACTTTCTACTGCACAGGGTCTATCTCTAGCTTGCGGCTCTGAATTTTCGAATTTTTGAATGTTGACGACTCATTTGTCTTTTTAACCACGGGCAGTCATTGTTCTTGATATCCTGTACTCTACCTCTACCTCATCTCTTCCCTCCCAGAGCACCTCGTTTTCTATCACCTTATCTTTTCTCCCTCCTTCTCTCTCTCTCCCTCACATTTCCTTTCTGTTCTACTCCATTCGACTCCTCTCTCTCTCTCTCTCTCTCATTTGTTCTTTTCTCTCTCTCCTCATACCCCTTTTCTGGGAGAGAAGGGGTGAATGTTTCAGAGCACTTTTAAATTCATTTATTCAATGCATTCTGTGCATTATCAAGATTCATTTTTAAATGCCAGTTTTCAAGTTTACATGTCAGCTTTGTTAATGCTATTATTGCTATTATTATTGTTATTATTATTAGTATTGTATTTTCTTTGTATCCTCGAATGCATTTATATATTGTTTATGTTGTTTGTATATGTACGTCATTCGCCAGTGGAGGACGAATTTCTGTATTTTTTTTAAAATCAGACAATAAATTATCTTGAATCTTGAATCTTGAATCTTGAACAAAAAATAAATCCTGTCCTGAAAGGTTTAATACCGCATGACCTTGTGACTGACCTTGACGTTCCTGAGGCTCTCAAGGAACTTAATATCTCTGTTGATAAGCTGCTGCAGCTGTTGTCTTGGTTCCGACGATGGGCCGGTCGACGATGACGATGATCCGCCATCAGTCTGGGGTAGCTCGATGTCTATCTCGACATCCTATCCAACGCAATCAAATAATAAGCTCAATCATCTCAATATTTAACACAATACAATGAAATAGTAGTTTTATACTAGTCAAGTGTGTTATGCACTGAACTTGAAATGGCAAAAGATCTGTCAGTTTGCAGTCGGTCTTGAGTCAGTTTGGCAGTGTAACTAAGGTATTAGGCCAGCATTTCTTCTTCCTTCCTTTTTGAGTACAGACCTCTTTACAGAGTATTATCGTACTTTACTGGGGGTGTGTGCAGGTGGACCACTACATCGGGGTTTCCCCCTACTCTTATACGAATAGTGCAGTGGGTTCTTAACGTGCAAAGGTAGTGACTCTTCTCTACACAGGGCCTCCATTTAACGTTCTATCCGAGGGACGGAGTGTTTTTCACTGAACATAACCTGCATCTATGAACAATGGAAGGGGCACGTTAACACACAACGCAGGCTTCAGTCATCCGTCTGGGTGGGAGTCGAACCCGGGATCTTTGGTTCGACAGGCGGACGCTTTACCGACTGAGCCAACTCGCCTCCTGAAAATGTAAATGTAGACTACCCAGACTAAAAGTCTACTACCCATTCAGTCTATAGCTCATTTAGTCTAATTTCCAGTCAGTCTAGTTCCCAGTTTGTCTAATGCCCATTTCGTCTAATACTCATTTCATCATAAATAATAATCATCAAATGAATATTGGACCATGTGGAGAGTAGACAGGCTGGGTGTAGAACATATGGGAATAGATTACTTGGGTAGAAGAAGAACTGAGGGGCGTTTCACAAAACTTGTCATCATTGACAAATGACAGTTTTTGTTATGAGCTAGTAAAATCCTTGCTTCTGATTGGTTATCACCAGATTTGTCACTGATTTTTGTCATTTGACATTGAAAAATGGCTTTGTGAAACGGGTCCCAGGTTGTAGACCAAACTTGATGCTGTTTGATGCTCAGGTAAACTCTCCTCCCCCCCCCCCCCCCCCCCACCTGAAGAACCAAACACAACTCACCTCTTCTTTATGCAAGTCCGACTCAACATCCATGGGCTCTTCCTTGACATGAGCAGCCAGCATGAAGGCAGCTTTCTCCTGGCTGTCGGCTAGATTGATGACCGAGGTGATACAGGGAAGCGGCGAGGTGTTGATGTTGGAGATCAGAGTACTGGTGGCGCTGGATGCCATCAGTAGCTATAGGTAGATGGAGATAGTATCAGAGCAGGAGAGAAATGGCGTAAATAGGATTAAATCAGAAATTTCACAGATGTTGGATGTTATGCGTCAGTTTGTTGCTGCACTCGCTATCATAAGTATCATTTATGTCTGATATCTATCATAATTTCAAAGTTTTAGTTTTAGTTTTTAATTTAATTTGAATACAACTTGCCATTTCTTGTAGTAGTAGAAATATTTCAATCTTATGTCATAGGCTTTAGGAATTTAATCTTATCAATGTAAATCAGTGATTGTAATTACTTCTTACTTTTACCATTCCATTCTGTATTTTAAATCATTTTAACCTTGTAGTATTTTTTCTTTTAATATTCCATATCTATGTAATGGACAAAATAATAAATTTCTAAAACATATTTCTCAAGCATTGTATTCTTAAGTAAATATAATTTGTTATTCAATGTAATTTTCAATAGTACATTGTGACGTGAAAGGATATTGAGAAAATTCAGCCTTTGACTGCAAAGCATTGTCAAATAAAACCCATTATTGTATTGAATTGAATTATATGAATGTAGACTGACCTCTACACACTGTTTTAGCCAGTAGTGCGACCCCATGGCTTCCCAGTTCTGAGAGTCAATCAGGTACAGGAGACGGTCAAACAAACGACGTCTGATGCTGGAATTAAACACCTGCATACAAACAATAAATACATAATATTGAGGTAGCATAGTCAATAGAGTTTATCAATGTGAAATATTTCTATAACATACAGTTAAAGGGAGTGTAGTTTGGCAAATATTGGTTAACGCCATCTAGGTCTTCTTTTGGACAGCTGCACGTAAACGAATGGATTTGATTAAAGGTAGTCAGTGACTTACGCATGTGATTGCTGCAAACAAACATTACTAGACCTTCTTTTTTTACTGAACAATAAATAAAAAATTAAATGCATTCTTGCGTTAATAAAATTGTGTAAACACAAGATTCCCTGTATATCATTCAAAATAAAAGGCTTTTTTATGTCAATGTAGAGATAGAATTTGCATCTCATCACTGACCTCAAAGAACTTTGTTCTGATGTGTGGTTGGCTACACCTGAGTCCTGACAGGAAGGCCGGTTCAAGCTTGGATGTCAGCTCACTTCCCGCTAGAGAATCATCCCTGGAATATTAAAAGATATGGAAAATATATCAAAATCAAAAGATATAAAATAGAATGTATTAAATGATATCAAATCAAAGGATATAAACAATTATATGTTTTATAGTTTTAAAAGATACAAGGAGCATTGTGGTATAGTGGTTTGTTCACTTGACTCTAGGTTAACAGGTCGAGGGTTCAAAACCCCCAGTGTCTTTAGACATGGTATTTTATAATGTCTACATGTAGGTGTCTCTCCCTACCCAGGAATGTATATTTTCCTTTAACAGAATAGTGGTCTTACAGCAGCCCTTAGCTTACCTGTAGACCCAATTGACGAGTTCCAGGAACTGTGCGTTGAGTTCCGATTCGTCCGGGAACCTCTTCTCCACATACTGCATGAGTTTTACTAGGAGAATGGTCTTCTCTCTCGGGGACGGAGACTGGTTCAGCATCAGTGGAGTCTGAGGCACAAATAAAAGTATGGAGTCAAAATATTAAACATTTTACATAATGAAAGTTTGTATCATATTGTAAAGGTGTAGCCAAGAAGAAGCACTTGCTTAAATGAAGAAGAATAAATAAATAACAACAACAAAGCAATACATGGATGAGAAGACAACACAGGAAAACAAGAGCCTTATTGATGTTTCCATCAGAAAGGTTGCCACAATTTAACTTAAAGCCCCACTGCACTACTTATAGCTATTTGCGCCCTCTATATAGCAAATAATGCATAATCGGTGACCACTAGTCCCCCATGATCCTCTTTTTTCTTTTGTTAATTGAGAGCTGATTTGATGAGATATCCACCTGTCAGTGATCTTGCAGGGTGGTCTAATCCCTCCTAGCCAAAGTAGTACAGACGGCCTTTAAAGACGCATAGAAATGGGCTCTCATGGGGAATTTGACACCATTCAGGTGTTTACCCAATAACAGGCACTGTCAGTCACCAGGATTAGCCTTCAGTTTTATGACCAGTAGGCTGTAAAGTCATTATCTTACATTTTCATCACCAAAAGACTCTCAGAGAGATTAGGGGGGTGTTTCTTGATTGGACTACAGGTTCGCAGTGTGCAGACTTGTACACCGATTAATGGCTTTTCCACCAAGTCTGGTGTCAATGAATAATGACCTTCTGCACATGAAAACTTTAAGAATTTGTTAAACATCTTCTCGAGAGATAGTGGTGTTTATTGACCTTTGCTTTGACCCACTCCTCCACCATCTTGACGATGGTCTTCAGAACCTTTGCATCAGGCGACTTCTCAATGACCGACGTCAGGACCTGCACAAAGTTACGTCTCATGTCCGTGCTCATCACGCCCACTCGATTCTTCACCAGATCCAAGCTGATTATGAGAAGCTCTGATGCCACTGTTTGGAAAATACAATATAAACAAGTGTTGCTAATTGCCTTCTCGAAACAATATACTTCAAGTCAATTTAATATCATGTAGTCATTATTTTGTAAAGCATTTCAAGAAAACAATGAGCTAGAAGCAACATCCTGCTGCCAATTTTCATTATTATTTCCTCGATTGATTTGAGGACGTACAATAGATTCGGATCAATCGCAACACTTTAGCAAAAAGGAGAGCAAAAAGCAATTGATACCCGCGATACTGTGTAAGCAAGAACACAATGCATACTCAGAGATGTTTCGGGACTGATACTTTGTATCTTTAAAGAGAAGGTGGAGTTCTGGGAAGAGGTGAAAAATACCTTAATAATGCCTTAATATTCTAAATTTGGCACGTAACATCATACAAATTGGGACAGATTTTTATGCCACATGTTTGTGTAGTCCCATAGACATCTGTTTGTGTAAAGTGCTTGTAACTTTACCAAGACTAGGCCAAATTTCTTATCATTTTGATGATTCCAGAACCTTGCAGTACACACCAATACTTATATGCTAGATGATCAACATTTTCTGATCGATTCCACAACGGTAGTTTTACAATGCAATTGCATGACTAGAACTCAACTTCATCTTTAATTTTTATCGTAAAAAAAAAAAAAAGTGTCTTACGCGAGGTAGCATCGGTGCTGCTCGGACTGAGATGTTCCTTCGCCATCTTCTGTAGTGCTCTCATGAAGACGGTTATCAACCGATCGATATAGCTGATGTTGTTGGTACAGGCAGCCTTCAAGATCATCAAGGTCCCGAACAGACTGGACGTCGGCGAACCATTGGTAGCCCTAAAATAAAAAACGGATTACCGGTAATAAGATTTTGGTTCTGAAGCAATATAGATGATTGATCCAACATTTACTGATGTTGTTGGTACAGGCAGCCTTTTAAGATCATCAGGGTACCGAACAGACTGGACGTCGGCAAACCACTGGTAGCCCTACAATCAAACAACATAAAGTATAATTCTAATTCTGGTACAATGTAGATGATCACCTGACATTTGCTCATGTTATTGGTACAAGCAGCCTACAAGATACTGATCGGATACGCTTGTGTATTTATCTACTTTGTTTTTGCTGCCGTTATTTGTTTTATTCTTACCAAACAGGGCCTCATGGAAGATCACCAAATTGGTGATATGTGCCACCCTGTATAAATACCAGAAATAAATAAATAACAAGGTACAGAACAGACTGGAAGTCAACGTACCATTGGTAGCCCTAAAGTAAAAATGGATTTACAAGATTTTGGTTCTGAAGCAAAAAAGATTGCGACCAAACAATTGCGCCGGCAACATTTGCTGATGACATTGGTACAGATAGCCTTCAAGATCATCAGGGTCTCAAACTGACTGGGGGTTGGTGAACCATTGGTAGCTCTACAATCAAACAGGATTGATAATATTCATATTTTATCATCATATTTAAACATGACAGCCATAAGCATACTGGTCAGTTTTCAGCAAGGGGGCTGATATTACTTGCCGAAATATCGACCTCCCATGCAAAGAGAGCATGCAAAATTGAAGAAACTTTGTGGCATTGAAAATACCTTTTTTTTTCATCAAAAATAATTAGTTGAGAAATAAAATGACAAATGACAGCCCCTCCCTTGCATCGATGTTGGTTCGTGTCAAATGACAGTCCAAAGGATTATAACTCTGCACGCCATGTCAAGTTTATGCCTATGAAAATTTCAAATAATAGAATGACTTACTTTTCATAGGCAGTGAGACCTTCGTAGATGACCTTGCCTACACTAGCATACAGACTGTCTAGTTCCTCATACTTAGAAGCCACATTGGATGTACCTGAATAACAAGAAGGAATATTTGAACAAAGCCAAAGACAACCATGAATAAACGCAGAATTTTATCCGGAGGATATTACACGAGGAGGCACGTAGCTCAGTGGTAGAACAGTGGTCTTGTAACCGGGAGGTACCAGGTTTGAAACCAAATTGATGAGCAAGTGCTCTTAGGAAATAAATTTATCATCATTACCAAATCCCTCCATGAGGACTTAAGCCTTCGGTCCCCTGGTTGCTTTCTTACAAGCAAACATGTGCTTTCTAAGCAGTCAGGTAAAACAAACAAACAAACTCATGGTTAAAAGAAGAATTTTACACAGAGGTTATAACATGTTCTTTGAAACACAAGTTGTGAATTCAAACAAAACTAAGTAAGAAACATGATAATAAAATAACTGCCAATTTATGTTTGATTGATTGCGACTTCAAAAATGCATAACTTTCTTACTTTTAATCAGAATTCACTCAAAACTTTCACTGACCTGGGGGGTGTTTCACAAAGATTCTAAGTCGAATTTAACTCTAAATTAGACTTAAATATTGTGGAGAGCCATTTGTAGTTTTATAATGAAATATGTTCAATAGCAAAAATTCTAAGTATTTTAGACTTTTCATAAATTCTAAATCAAGAACATGAAATCTCCCATGATAATAGAAAATATGAATGATTTGAATCAATAATTTATGCCTTTTAATATAACTTTTATTAAATATTTTCAAGGATGCTAACAGCTTTCCATAATTATTAAGTCCAACTTAGGATCTTTGTGTAACACCCCCCTGTTCCTTTCATTTTTTAGCTTCTATTCAAACCAAATTAATATCAGGGTAGACTTCCCCTTTAACACACAGTCTACGGGAACCAGCTGGTGGGCTAGTCCCTGTATTTTAAGCATATTAGAATGGGAGAACTCGGTAGAGAACTCAGGTTTAATTATTTTCTAATTGTAAAACTTACTCGACTCTGTTGGGAATGTACTCATGAGTTTGACCAGCAGGGCGTGGACTGATCGTATGACCTTTGTGCTGGGGCAGGTCATGCAGGCTGCTATGCCTCGCTGCAAGGGCTTGAAACTTGACAAGATTGTGGGCTTATCCTATACCAGAAAAACAAGAGATAAATACAATGAAACAAGGTTGGATAACTGGCAAAATATAAAAGACTGACTACCTTTTTAGGGGGCCCATGAAATACTTTGATTTTTTCCCCCTGATATGAATGATTTTTATCTTCTAAAAACCTTTTACTTTTCCTTAAGTGGAAAAGAGGGAATCCATTTCCATCTTCACTCTAAATTATAGGAAGTTTGCTAGCCTAAAGTTTACAAATTTTCCTTCTATAGAATTGAATCACATATTTTGTATTGATAGCACTGAAGTCAATGCTCAAAAGTACTCTTCGTTTAGCATTACTTACATAATTTGACAAGAAAAAGATATCTATCAGACGTTTTTGAAGTCTTTTTTATGTGAAATCTAATCAAAGTGTGTAAAACTAGCTTCCTAATAAGTGGGAAAAGAGCAAAAATTGCTTGCACAAGAAAATATTCAGTAAGAAATAGATTAATGTCATATTATAGAAGTCTTTGGTTGTTGAAGTTAGGCTGAGAGATAGTGGAAAATTTTGAATCATTCAGTACGTACCATAACACCAAGGAGAAAATTGAGGACATCCAGCCCAGCACAGATATTTCCATAGTTTGCTACAGCTTGCGTATCCTTTGCCAGAGTATTTGAAAAACAAACACAAAACGGTAATTTTCACAGGTCCAATGATGTGGTGTCTACATTAGCATCCTGAAATATGTAAAACTAATGGAAAATGTTGGCACGAACATCACTATTGTCATCACCACCACCACCATCATCATCATAATCACCATCACCATCTCTTTCATCATCACCTTCTCCTTCATGATCAACATCACTATAATAATAATAATTATGCATTTATAGAGCCCAGAAATTATCCAACATTGAGTATATAATCTACTGTGCTACAAAAGCTCCTGATCAGATATGCTTAGATTACGACAGTTAATTGAAAAGATATGCTTTCAGTTTTTATTTAAAGATATTCACAGATGGTGATTTCCTGACTTCTAATGGTAAGTTATTCCAGAGTTTTGAGGCTGCACAAGCAAATGCTCGATCACTTAGCGTTATTTTTGTTTTGATAAATGGGATCTGCAGCAACAAAGTATCTCAGAAACTGCACAAGTTAGGATTGTGTTGATTAAGTCTGAAATTTAACAGTTCTTTGATATAACTGGATGAGCTCACAGGCAATTGCACATGCTTGCTCTCCAAAAAGAGCTCCTGATTGCTTGTTATTCTTAGGCATTTGTATAATTTACGTTACAATCTTCACTTTCATCATCATCACTACCATCACCACCATCTCCACCACCACCATTATTATTATTATCATGCCTCATATACTCTTTTACATGGATATAATCATCACTATCATCATCATTCTAAGTTCTCACCATCATCATCACCATCTCCATTATCATCATCACCATCATCATCACCATCTCCATTCTCATCATCATCATCATCATCACCATCTCCATTCTCATCATCATCATCATCATCACCATCTCCATTCTCATCATCATCATCATCATCACCATCTCCATTATCATCATCATCATCATCATCACCATCTCCATTATCATCATCATCATCATCATCACCATCTCCATTATCATCATCATCATCATCATCATGATAACGAACATACTTGTCAGTATTTTGTTACTTGTATAATTCATTTGTTCTATTATTATATTGTATTACTGTATGGTTTATATATATGTCATTTAATTTGTGGATATTTAAGTGGAAAATGAATAAAATAAGATAAAATCAAATCAAATAAAATCAAAATCATCATCTTCACAACCACTTTCATCATCATCCCTTTCATTTTCATTGTTACCATTTTTATTTTCATTAGAGGCCTAATAAACTCTTTCACATGTATATAATCATCACTATCATCATCATTCTATTTTCTCACCACTGAGAGGAAGAGCTTGTCCAGGAAGTTGAGCCGAAGTTCGCTGTTAGGCCACACATCCGGTCTAAGAGCCGTCTTGAGGAGAGCCATGCATCTCCTTGACAGCTGCTCGCCGGGGGAACTCACGGTCGTCGTACTGCTGCTGTCGTTCACCTGACAGGCCAGACGGATCAGGAAGTTCACCACGGCATCGGAGTAGACCTTCTCGATCGGTTTGCTCGCCTCGGATGTGATGCTTCTCACGGTCTGAAATACAATGATCATGGCCATTGTTGAGAGTTTGGGGGCAATAGTTTCAAGGTGATTTGACATTTCTTTGTGCAATAATTTCTCTAGTCTATATTCTTTTAAAGATATGGGCCCGTATTCTGAAGTAGTGTCTAACTCCTGTTTAACTAAACACTTGTCTAAGTCCTGTCTAAGTCCCATCTAACTTTAGTCACGAAGTCATGTCTAACTATTTTCATATTCTGAAGTCGTGTTTAAATAAAGTTAAACACGAAGTCCTGTCTAAGTCCTGTTTAACTTTAGACAACTGCAAGGGGTGGTTTCAGTCCTGTTTAAGGGCGCGATTCTGCTGCTTTTCAACGACTATGGTACACTCTACTTGCTGACCCCGAACTTGCGGAGGAGAACGATGGTACGTGCATCCTCTAAAATTTCAAATACACTTTGCAGGATTTTTTCTCGTGTAGCCTGATTTTTTTTCTCGATAATATTAACTATTCTTATCTAACGGTGACATCTTGGAAATTCCATAATCTATAAACTAACCATTCTGTTGGAGAAGTTTCTTTTCTGTTTTTTCCGAGCACTGAGGCACTGATAAGTGATATTATTAGTGTGTTTGTACTGTCCCCCAATCCAGTATGTGTACACGTACGTATGTACACACGTCACAGTAAATGCATGCAGTCTAGTCATTACATCACGATCACATCACCATGGTACCAGCACGCGCACAGCTAGCTGTGCGCGTTAATTTATTTATCCACTGCACGCACGCATGCGCATTGGGTCTATCGTCAGAATTAACGCCTACTGGGCATGCGCAGAGGTCTTGACTAAAAGTTAAACACGACTTGCGCAGAACTTAAACAGTTGTATAGTTAAACACGACTAAGACAGGACTTAAACAGTTGTTTAGTTAGACAAGACTTAGACACGACTTCAGAATACGAAATTTAGTTAGACAGGACTTAGACACAATCTCGCGTTTAAGTCGTGTCTAACTAAACAGTTGTTTAACTTTAGACATGACTAAGTAAGACACAACTTCAGAATACGGGCCATGGTGTTGGGATGGGTTTGGAAGACTGAGAGTTAGGTTTGGGGTTACGCATAGTTTGGTATCCAGGGTGGCATTAATTTGGTGAGTGTACAGAGTTCACTGTGGAGCAATTGCTGTCTCGCTATGACAATATTGGACTCATCTTCGACTCGTTCAATATTGTCATAGCTCAAGCAATATATTCTTGTATCACACTCAAAGCCATCCAATATTATATAAGACTTACCGATCCTGATGATGTATGTCTGACCCTCTTAGGGTCTGGGAGGAGATCGGTGGAAGCTGACCTCTTCACCCCTGCAGGAGCAGCAGGAGCAGCAGCAACAACAGGGGGCTCTTCAACTGGGGTGGCCGGCTATAACAAAACAAACATACAGTTATAATAGGATTTATTGTGGCATGAATGGCCTGCCATAGTTAAGTCCAAAGTTGGGATGAGAGAGGGAGGGAAAGGGGAATGAGAGACAGAGCAGACAGACAGCGAGGAGGGGGGTGAACAAGAGAAGAGATCTTACCTCTGCCGTTCCTTCATCCTCCCTGATCCTCTGAACCTCCCACTTGATGATGACCTCTACCAGCTCCACCACCAGCTTCCTGTGTTCCAGGGTAGCGTTAGGGGTGTTACCAAGCCGCTGGATGGAGTACACCATGGTCTGGATCAGGTGATGTCTCACGGGGTAGTACACCTTGTAATGTCTTACCAGTAGCTGCCTGCAGGCCAAAACATATAACACAACCATACCAGGAGGGTGTTTCACGAAGATCCTAAGTTGAAAGTATCTCTAAGTTGGACTTAAACATTATGGAGAGCCAGTTGTAGCCTTAAAATTAAATATATTCAAAAACAAAAATTAAAGTATTTTAGACTTTTTATAAATTCCACATCAAGGACATGAAATCTCCTTGATAATAGAAAATGAGAATGATTTGAATCAACGTTTTATGCCTTATAAAAATAACTTTTACAAGATATTTTCATAGATGCTAATGGCTTTCCATATTTGTTAAGTCCAACTTGGAGATAAGTTCTACTTAGGATCTTTGTGAAACACCCCCCAGGTGTCTTAGTCGAGCTGAGAGGTTTAAGCACTTGACTTGAAATGCAAAGGTCCTGGATGCGACCTCGACACAGCACTAATGTCCTTTGATGAGGCATTCATCTACATTTGCCACTCCATACCCAGGAGAGGAATGGGGAACTGGTGTGACAACGAAAGCCTTTTTGACAGACATGGCCATATACACTAATGTAATGCCTCATCTATTGGTTAAAGATTTATTGTTGATTTTTCATAATTAATCAATAACAAGTCAACTTCTATTGCCAATAGCAATGTAGTGGAGGCTGGCTGTTCAGAGTCACAAGGCCATTGACAAAAAATATAACCTTCCTTAGATTTTGTGTACATGACTTAGTCTGAGGCCACTGAAACATGGTCTAAATGTCGGACTTGACAAAAACACTGATTGGCACTGCTTTGAATCTTACATACTTGCAAACTTGAAGAGAAAGTGCCAAAGGAAGGGTTATTAAACCATTCTATGGCACATGATCAGGCAACAACTGCCCTGCAGTCAATATACTACACTACATCTCAATCATTAACTTCAGCCCGAGACCAAACACTGCATCTTACTCTATTCCTAACCCTTAATCAAACCTAAAACCCTACTGCAACCCTGACCCTTATCCTACCTCTGTTTCTTTGACGAGAGAAAGCCAACAGAAATTGTCCAAAGAGAACATGTCTGGTCACTTTGAATTCAAGTTATAGTACTTACAAATCGTGTTGAAAAAAAGATTCTACAAAGCTTTTGATTTTCAAATATTCCTTTCCTCAACATAAAAATCATAGATTCCATGGTTGCTAACCCAAATGAATATCTCTACTTTCTCCTTAATGCTCAGGAAGAATATGCAACAACAAATATTAAGAAATCCCCCAAAGCCATCTGCACTTTCTACCTCAGCAACTCCAGCAACTACACAAAAACCTAGACACTAATGAAAAGAGAAGGTGAAATGAGAGATGACTTACAGCATGTGTACGAGCTGTGCAATAGTGTATCCCTCTTCTACGATGATCTTCTTTGTCCAGTGTGTGAGCATAGCGTTACCATCCTCCATCCGCTGGGGAAGCACAGGGGTCAAGATGTCCAGGGCTTGGCGGACAACCGATCTGGCTTCGGCAGCATGAGCCTTCAGGAGACTGTGAAACACCTACAATTACAAAAGATAATGAACTCTAATTTTAGCAAAAATATTAACAAAATTAAAATTAAAACAACCACAAAACCACAAATTGTCATTATCTTTACAATCATTTCCAATATTTTTACCATTATTTCCATTCTCTCTCATTCCACCTAAATTTATTTATCAAATATCTGCATAAAACTACCACTGAAGCATGACATAGAAACATGAGTAAATTACAAAAAAGTAATGTGTTACCTGTCGTCCTATTCATTTATGGACAGCAAACTTACCATATTGCAATTAACATGTTCAGAACCATTATAATCACATTTCAATATCCTTATCATTTTGACCATCTTTACTGTAATTTTAATACATTATTTATCCTCTTTTAACAATCAGTTTAGAATTACTTGCATTCTCTCTCTCTCTCTCTTTAATATTGCCATATTGATTGACTTTGGCGATCATGCTGTTCCACAACCCTCGGCTCCTAGCCTTCTCTTTTAGCACCACTCCCAGTTCTTTCACTCCTCTCTCTTTCAACAATCTAAAGTATCCTCCTTCTTCTTCTCCTACTCCTTCTTCCCACAATTTTCCTTGCATTATCACTCCTAAATCAAGAAAATAGTGAAATGAGTTACCTGTAAGACGATTCGTTTATGGATGGCAAACTTGGCAATGTTGTGAGCCAGGAGCAGATGGCCATGGTACTTGGTGGTCGGGTCAACGCAGTTCTTCTGAATGAGACACGGCCAGGCGAAGGTCATCAAGCGACGGAGCTTTGTACCCTGCTTCCTGCAATCACACAAATGATAATAATAGAGGGTTCTTGTAAAGCACTCATGTCTGTCAGACTTAACAGACCTTGCGCTCCACAACATTAACCCGACTTTCAGCCTATAAAGTTAATTCTGCCTTTCTAAACCAAACCTTAAAGGGATCCGGTAACTTTGTCATAGATCCTTTAAAAAAATCCTTGATTTAGCTCATGCTGCAATGATATTTATAAACCTTGAGATCAGTCAGGAACTCCATGACGTTTACAAGCCGATCACCCGTCTGATTATCAAGATATTTATGATTGAAAATCTAAATCAAATTTTTGTGTTTGATAAAACGGTTTTCATAACACTACAGTCTATTGGGGGAAAACGAGTATGGTAAAACCGGTCACTCAAAGGTTTTTATTTTTTTGAGGCACTTCTTGATCATTTTGAAGCCCATTTTTCTTATGGCTTCAATATAACACCATATCACAGACACTGATAACATTGTAAAACGATCCCTTTAAAATGCTACATGGTCAGATTTCACCCTAGTTGAACCAAGAGTAAAGGAATTCTTGTAAAGAAGTCTGGCTTTGTGTAAACTGACTTGTAAAGAAGCATCATGGAGCCTACTTGGAATTCCTTCATTTGATATAAACTTTGAATCGTTATTGAATACAAGAATAACATATTTTGCCATTAAATAATATATGTACATGTATATCTGTAAATTGCTTAGTAACAATCTTGATGTACCTGCCTTATTATTATTATTAAGAAAAAAGGACTTACTTGTCGGCAGCATCATGGATGTGTGGAGCGGCTCTCTCAACCAAGAGGGCAGCAAACTGAAGCAGGAGGATCCTGACGGAGTCTGACGTGCCGTAGGGATTTTCAGGGTCAATGACCTTACTGATGAACACGCTCACAAGGTTATCGGGGCTATCCTGACCTGGGTTTGGTGGACCGCCAATCAACTGGAAAAAAATGAAAAAGAAAATACATCTCATCATTATAATCATCACAATGTTCAAAAGGGATTCTTGGGGTCGATGACCTTACTGATGAACACACTCACAGGGTTATCAGGGCTATCCTGACCTGGGTTCGGTGGGCCCCCTATCAACTGAAATGAAAGAAAAAAAAGAAAAAATCAACCTCATCAATATAAACGCAAGCTTCAACTTCTACATGCTCTTTCATATCCTTTTTCATACTGGGCTTCGAAAGTTTAGCTGCTCATTAAAGGGATCCGGTAACTTTGTCTCAGATTCTGAAACAAAATCCTGGATTTAGCTCATGCTGCAATGATAATTATAACTTTAGGTTAGTCAGGAACCTCATGACTTTTACAAGCCAATCGCCTGTCTAATTATCAAGATATTTATGATTGGAAATCGAAATCAAATTTTGTGTTTTCCTAACGGTTTTCATAACACTACATTCTATTGGGGAAAACATCAGAGATAAAATGTTCCCTAAAATGTATGGCTCTTCAAATGCCTTAATATTCTAAATATGGCATGTAACATCATAATCGGGATGGATATTTATGCCACATGTTCGTGTAGTCTTATATACATCTTTCTGTGTACAGTGCTTGTAACTTTACCAAGAACGGGCCAAATTTCTTAACATTTTGATGATTCCAGAACCTAGCAGTACACACCAATACTTATATGCTATATGATCAACCTTTTTTGATTCCACAACGTTTCTTTCACAATACAATCGCATGACCAGAACTCAACTTTATCTTTAAAGAAATTCTGTACTGTGACTTACACTGTCTCCCTCTCCCTTATCGAAGGAAGCAGCAAACATTGGAATGATGACATACTGCAGGGCCTTGGCTTTCAATTCTTGAGGGAAGCTCTTGTCATGGAACAACTCTACAAACTTGAAGAAGATGTGTCTCTTCTGTTCAACGGAGTAGCCCTGTGGTAATGCAAAATTACAAAAAAAAATCAAATAAAATTGATCCTTAAAGGCACCGTTTAACAATTTTAAATCTGAGATGCACGGCCCTACAAACCAAAACAGAAGCAATTTTTCAAATTCAAGTTCGATTGTAATCCATTAACAGGTTCTCAGAATATCGTGATTACAAGCTATTTCTCATATACATGTATGACCCTTTGATCTTTGACCTCATGAACCCAACATGTACTCTGTTCATTGGCTCTGCAAGATACATAAATGTCTTGAGTTTGATTGTAATCCATCCATCGGTTCTAATGATAATCAATCACAACTTTTTTTTTGCATACCTATTGGGCCCCATGACCTTTGACCTTGACCTCATTACCCCAAAATCTAATCAGTTCATTGCTTCAGCAAGATACATAAATGTCCTGAGTTTCATGGTAATCTGTCCATCTGTACTGATGATAATGTGATCACAAGCTATTTTTGGCATAAAAATAATCTCTGTCATGATTCAAAGAAGTGCATACGTCTATGATGCTCCATATAAGGTACAGTGTATCTTGTTTCGACATTTGGAGAGGATACTCAATATAAGTGTTTCTTGTTATATTTTTTTTAAATATTTATATTTGAAGTGTTATCGCATAAAACATAGCACTTTTCAATCCAACAAAAGACTTCCAAATGTTGGAGAGGGTACCTGTGCAACTGTCTCTTCTAAGAACGTTCTGAAGAACTGGAAGTTTGGCAGGTAACGGTTGCTGAAGACGCGAAGCAACTGGAACAGTAGCTCGACATTGGATGGATGTTGCCTGTAGATAGAGAAAGAAACATTGAACATTTTCTCTAAACCCATTGCCTACTGGAACCCGGGTGGCTCCTGTATTAAGCCTATGTGAATGTGAGAATCCAGTAGTCAAAAAGTTAACAGCAGAGTTTACAAGTACTTCATCAGATTTCCTCGAAGCAAACATTCCATTGCTACTTAGAGCATTTCACTGAACGCCATCAGAACATTAAAGGAATTGTTATATTTGTTGAAAAGCTGTGTAACTTTTTCTGCCATAAGTTTTAAAATGTTGAAATTATTTCCTTGAAAGTGCAAAGTTTTATAGTTTACACTACCGTATGTATATTCTTCCAAAGGAATGAAGGCCCTAAAATTTGTGAGTGGCTTACGAACAGCACTTCACACAAGCTCTAGTCACTCCTTTCTACATACACGTACCAAATATCAAACCAGAATCATAAAATGCAAACTCACTCCATACTTTCCATATCCTTTGCAAGACATAACAAGGGGGGTGTTTCACAAAGATCCTAAGTCAAACTTAACTCTAAGTTAGACTTAAACATTATGGAGAGCCATTTGTAGCCTTAAAATAAAATAAATTCAAAAACAAAAATTCAAGTATTTTAGACTTTTTATAAATTCCACGTCAAGAACATGAAATCTCCTTGATAATAGAAAATATGAATGATATGAATCAACATTTAATGCCTTTTAAAATAACTTTTACAAAATATTTTCATAGATGCCAACGGCTTTCCATAATTGTTAAGTCCAACTTAGGATCTTTGTGAAACACTCTCCTGGTCTATCATATGGAGAGGATTCAGCGACTCACTTGGCATAGTTGAGCAGACACTTGACGAGTAGTTTAGGCTCCTCCCAGTGGGAAACACCCTGGTTGTCATGACGATGACGTTCCTGGAATGCATCCGATACCCAGATCCGGCGAAGGTGCACAAACTATACCATGGAAGGAAAACAGGAGTTAGAGCAAGCTTCATATATGTCATCCTATGATCAGTGCTACATGTAGTACAGCTGGGCCCGGTTTCATAAAACTTGTTACCAATAACGAGTTCCAATATCTGTTATAAGCTACTGAAATCATGGCATCTGATTGGCTGAGAGCTGATTCGTCATAGAATTTCAGCATTTGTTATCAATAACAAGTTTTATGAAACCGGGTACTGATCTACAAAACAGATGAAACTAAATATTCTGCTAATTTCCTTCAGGTTGATAGAACAAAAATATATTTTCAGACATTTTGATACCCAACTTGAAGCATGGAAGGTTGAAAGTCATGTGCAATAATGTTTCAGCTCCTATATACATACAGTTATCAACTAAATTATTCATGCCCCTAATCATTTTTTGTTTTCGTTTTGTTTTAACTCAAGAGCTAAAGGTGGACTGGTTTAACTAGGGCCTTTGATGAATACTTGTAAATGTTAGCTTGAATATGGCACTTTCTCATGAAACATGAATCAAATTTTCACACACTTACAAAATTACAAGGAGCCTAACAACTCACTAACACAGGTGGATCATTAAACAAACAAATTATGACAAAGCAATAAATGATGAGATCTCGGTCTTACCACGGTGGGTGTTTGCGGAAGCCACTCCTTATCGTGCTTCACCATAGTAGCGCAGATACGGATGGACTGGTACTGGAGCTCCAAGAGAAACTTCTCTGCTGTGTTTGTTGGGCGAGCTGGAGGCTGTGAGGGGTCATGAAAATAAAAATAAACAAATAAAACTTGTTTTGCAATTTCAAACAGACCAATCATACATATGTTCATGTACATGGGTATTAGCATGCAGATGTAATGATAACCTGCCCCATAAAAAATAATTCTGATGTGTTATACATATCCTTGATCTTAGACAGGCTACATTTTGCCTAACGATGCTCTGTATGAATCAAGCTCATTAAAACAGGTTGCTGTCTACACAAACAGGCATTTCCTGACAATTTGATGACTGAATTTGTTGATCACTTTGGATAAGAACTCACCTGTGATTTACTGAATGCTAGGTTGATTAGTTTGCTTGGGTTCTTCTGGATTGCTGACCTCAGAGGCTCGGCTAACTCGTGCTTCAACAAATACTGTACACAGAGAAAAATCAATCATTTTCATTATTTCTGCACAACTCATATTAATATATGTATAAAACATTTTTATTTGGATGATTTAAACTATAAATACACTTGACAATTTTGGAAGATATGTGAAAAGATTGTTTAAGCAGCAAAATCATTGTCCGCATGAACAAATTTATTACTCTCCTACAGTGTAGAACAGATTTCAAGACATACATTTGGCAGTTTCCATGGTCATGCGCTTACACTGTACTTGAAAGGATATTCAATTAATGCGTGTTCAAATTGTGCATGGTATTTATGATGATAACTTTTCCACATAGGGGATTACTTCTTAAGTTGGTGGAGGAATTACGCATAAAGAAAGACCTGTCCGTTGTAAAAGAAAATTCTATTTTGGGTGATCAGTACCACCAGTTATTGGGTAAAACCCCTGAATACTGTCAAATTCCCTTTGAGAACCCACTACAGTGAAACCTGCTTTAGCGACCACCTGTAAATAGAGACCACATTTTTGTTTCCCTTGACAATCATTCATCATAGAAACCTGTACATAAGACCACCTGCCTCTAAAGACCATTTTTCTTGTCTCCCTTGAGTGGTCTTTATATACAGGTTTCACTGTATTACATGTCTCTTCACGCAATTAGACGGAAAAGGGAAAGAGCATATTTACATTGAACATGCGACTGAGTTGATGGTTCTTGAGGTTATTCTCCTGCAGGAACAGGTCCACGGTCTGTTGAGCATAGCGGAGCAAATACTTCAGCAAGGGCTCACGAAATGGACTGCCAACCTGTAGATAAATCAAAACATGACATGACCCTTGAACTTTGACCATGGTTGAATGAAGGGTTGAATGAATGGTTGAATGAATGGTTGAATGAATGGTTGAATGGTTGAATGGTTGAAAGGGTTAAAATCAGAGCAGCAAAGTAAATGTTGTAAGAATGTATGAGCGCTCTCAAACGACAAAGGTATATTCACAATTTTATTGGAACTTGCATTGCATTTCATTCCTCTTAAAGGGACTTGGTAACATTGTTCAGATGAGAAAAATGTTGCTAAGGTAGTGACTTCAATGCAAGATGTACAATTAAAGATAATCTGAAAGTTTGAGTGAAAAACATTACTAATGAGGAAAATTGGAAAACTAATCTGATAGATTCCTTAATTCTCCCAACTATATTATTACAATTTAATTACATTTTAGGCAAACGTAAATTGTCGGAACTGTAGGAAATCTATTTAATCAGATGGTCATAGCTCAGCCAATACAATCGATTGATATTTAACATTTGGACATTATTTTTTATGCTCTTTCCGAAAATGAAGAAAAAATTGAGAAATTCTAATAATAGATTTTTATGATGTCACAGCTTCTGTACTACTCTATTGGTAGTATTATTACCTCCATGGTTAGAGCGCCCTCTGCTTTGATGACCAGCGTGAGGAGGTGTTCAAGGATCTTGGCCGATGCTGCCGGGATGGCATGGAAGATGTTGAGGATGGCTGTACAGATCTTCAGGCTGTCGGTCGACTTCTGGCCGTTCTTCTGACTGATGACCGTCGTCTCGAGCCACTTCTTCAGATGACCCTAGTAATGCAAGATGTTGGTATCCTCGTTAAATCTCATGCATAATGTGAGTCAAAAAGATGCAACAAGATTCATTTAATAGTTTAAACATATTTGTGGCTTACACCCAGTAAATACATGTAAGATTGATTGATCGATCTGTAAATCTCGCTGGTTCCAAGATTTTTTCTGACTTGTTTTTCAATTACAGATCGATCAATCGATCTTATTTACTGGGTGTAAGACACAAATATGTTTCAACTATCGAAATTTCTCCCAGGAAGCATTACATTTAAGATTCATTTAATGCTTCGATCACTGAATAACAAAAATTTGTTGAATTTATACATGCATAGCACCTAAAAATTATATGATGTCTCAAAGCGCTTCACATACATGCATATATCAATACCCAGTTCAACAGATTCAGGCCTGTCTGTACACAATGTATACACTGTCTCCACTCCCTGTGGAGCATTCCAGCCAGGTGCCTTGTTACAGATACTCACAATGCTGAACAAACCACAATAACTTTAGATCATGAGCAATTATTAGTTATGTCATTTCTGATAAACTCAAGGCAAGTGCCTCTGTGTTGAAATTGATATTAAATGACATGAAGGCAACATCGCACTGCTTTACCAACTCTCACTATGAACATGAGAGACAAGGAAAGCGGACAAAATATACAGTTCATTTTACCCTCAACAATTGCTGAGGTAGACAAAGGAACATCCCTTCACTGCTATTATGTAAAAATGTGTAGAACAGGCGTCAGATGCATATTCACCTGTTCTACACATTTTTACATAATAGCAGTGAAGGGATGTTCCTTTGTCTACCACAGCAATTGTTGAGGGTAGATTGAGGAACTGTATATTTTGTCTGCTTTCTTTGTCCGTCATGTTCATAGTGTCTGTAAGGGATAATATATGAGATGTAAACTTACCAGCATTTGTTCACAGAGCTTCTCATTGAATGCATTGGGGAAGAGCTGTGTAAGGCTATGCAGTCTCTGAATCACGTTGAGGTTCAACGTCCTATGGTCGCCCAACATCAGGAGCAGTGGACGAACACTGGTATGGACCAGCTCCATCTCTACTGGCTGACCAGCAATGAACTGAAGGAGAAGAAAATTGTATGGAATTTCAAAGTAATCGCATATTTTGATGAAACAGTGGTGTGTATCACATAAGTAATAAAAAAGGAAATTTCATCAACAAATACAAGGGGAATAGTTATGCAAAAGTTTAATTTCAAATTCTATAACTTTGGTTTGGTGAATTTTTCTCTATTTACTGAATTCAACTTGCAAATGGGTCAGACTTGCTCTTTAAAGTTGAGATGTCTTACCTTCTCCATACACTTAGCTCCAGCCTCTTGAAGTTCACTTACATTGGAGTTGAGAGCATTGAAGAGAATCTTAAAGATCCGCTCTCTGGCCTGAGGAATGTACCGACATGCTGCCAGGGCATCTACATTTATTAAAAAAAGGAAAAGGATGGCAAATTTAGATCTTGGCTGTGATTTGTTCTATTTATATTTCATTGATTGTTGTCATGAACATTTTCTAGAATACATTTAAGTTAGTATTGTCTATTGGGAGCCAGGGGAGTACAAATAATACAAATAATTCCTCTGGCTCTCAACAGAGAGATTAAATTATATTACATTGTTATGTTATGTTATTTACGTTATTTGTAGCTATTTGTTTATGATATGTTAATGTACCGCTGTCAGATTCAGATTCTCAGAATGAGCAACAAATTGTTGAAGATCATTTTTGTGTGCTTAAAGGGATCGTGTAACTTTGTCTCAGATTCTGAAACAAAATCCTGGATTTAGCTGCAATGATAATTATAAACCTTTAGGTCATTCAGGAACACCATGACTTTTACAAGCCGATCACCTGTCTCATTATCAAGATATTTATGATCGGAAATCAAAATTTAAAAATTTGTTTTCTTAACTGTTTTTATAACACTACAGTCTATTAGGGAAAGTGAGTATGGTAAAACCGGTCACTCAAAGCTTTTTACTTTTTTGAGACACTTCATGATCATTTTGAAGCCAATTTTTTTTTAGGGCTTGAATATTACACCATATCACAGACACTGATAACATGAAGGGCCATGCATCTCAGATTTAACATTGTTAAACAATGCCTATAATAATAACTATGAATGATGGGTGATGACTTACTAAGAGCACTGATGCGTAGAGGCACTAGGGATGGAACAGCCTTGTAGCATGGAAGCTTGACAAGTCCCGAGTCCTCAGTCTCACAGAGATTCATCAGCTGATAGAAAAGAAACGATAAAGAAATAAATAAACTGAATATTATATAGGGGCGTGGAAAGAAATGGTAATAAGAGGCCACTCTGGAGAGAGTGCTTGTACAAATAACCCCCACATACATGTAGCCACAGATATTAACTTTCATGAACACATATCTAGCAGCCATCTCGATGGGTTTTGTACAAATGACCTTTATCTGGCCATGTGCAGATGTAGTATCACCGAAGCGACTTATCCAATTTGAAAGCTATCACACCAATTTCTCTCATGTACTGAGACAACTTTGTGGGATAAAAATGCATACTTTTCACCAACACTTTTTATTCGGATATACTGACCTTTTCTTATCTAATGAAAATAAAAGAGAACTACATTAAATTGAAGGATATACCAAGGGTTGTACATACTGCAAATGACAGATATTCATTTATGTAATGTGCTATTAAGATAATGATAAATGATTTGTTTGTTTGTTTTATCTGACTGCTAATAAAGTATGATTAGGCTTGTAAGTAAGCAACGATGTGACCTAGTATGAGGATTAATGCCTTACCAAAGTTCATAAAGCCATCCATTACAGGGGAAAAAATACACGGGGCTCAGGGCAAATTAGCCCCCCAGATGCCCTAAAGAGCCCCCAAAAGTCTTAAAAGAGCCCCCGAAAATCTTAAAAGAGCCCCTTAAATTTTGCATTTGGGCAGCATCTAACTGGCGGAAATCATCAAATGACGATGGAAATGCCATTAATCACAAAAACAACTAAGCATAGAGTTCAATGCAAAACAAATTAAAGAATGTTATTTTCATGCAAGCAAGCTTGAAAAGTAACCCCCAAAGTTATTAAAGTAATTTTTTCCCTGATCCAATATTATATAATTATTAGTAGGAGGAATATTGTGATCATACCTCAGTGAAGAAGACTTTGTGTTCAGGGATGGTTGGATCCATGGTGAAGAGCCTTGGTTCTAACGTCGTACAGAACGTATTACTGTCCATCAAGCCTCGCTGTGCGTTGGCAGGCTGATGACGCAACAGGTGCTTCTTGGGAGGGATCATGTCTGCCAGGACCTCCTTGTGGGGAGACATGATCTCCATCACCTTCTTGTCGGTGAAGTCAGCAAGCCATCGCAGAGAATCCATTGCCTGGATTGCAAAAGAAACACAATGATAAATGCCTTGATGGACACTACAGGATAGCACATTGACACAGAGGTAAAATCATAGTTTTGAGACACATGATTTGGTGAAGTGACTTCCCTGACCATCTCTACATCTATGACCTACAACCTCCCTTTTGACATCCATTTCTCTTTCATACCTGTTCTCTGACAGTTTGGTTGGGTGAAGTGACTTCCCTGACTAGCTCCCTCGTGACATCATGGAAAGCTTTCTCCTGAGCTACAGCTAACTTAGGATTCTCTACATCTACAACATATGACCTACGACCTCCCCTTTGACACCAACTCATCCTTTGTACCTGTTTTCTAACAATTTGGTTGGGTGAAGCGACTTCCCTGACAAACTCTGCAGTGAAAGAGAGAGCTTTCTGTTGTGCGTCAGCTAGCTTAGGGTTCTCTTCATCTACGAACTATGACCTACGACCTCCCCTTTGACTCTCAATCCTCATTCATACCTGTTCTCTAACAGTTTGGTTGGTTGAAGTGACTTCCCTGACTAGCTCACAAATGACATCATGGAAGGCTTTCTGCTGTGCATCACCCAACTTAGGGTTCTCTACATTTACACCTATGACCTCCCTTACGACATTCAATTCTCCTTCATACCTGTTCTCTGACAGTTTGGTTGGGGGAGGTGACTTCCCTGACTAGCTCCCTGGTGACATCATGGAACGCTTTCTGCTGCGCTACAGCCAGCTTCGGGTTCTCAGCGTCGGCTCCTGTGGGTGGGGTGGCACAGAGCTTCAGAACCAGGTCAACGTTGCTCTTAGCCATGTTCAACGCTCCACTCGATACCTGCAAGGAAAATTCAATGTATTCTTTACTTCTCCATATCCATTTACACTTGTTTTTTTGTTTGTTTTTTTTCTTCAGGAGGAGGGGAAGGGGGGAAATCTTGTGATTTCCTAATGGAACAAGGAGGTTCGTATATTAAGCTGATTAAGCAGGCAGCAGGTCTTGGGACATTTCATACAACTACTAGTACATGCTTCCCACAGAGCGACTATCCATGATTTTCCATGATTCCTTTTTACCTTATATCCATGACCAGATAAGTACCATTTTGGTATGAATTGTGGTATCCCAGTGGCGTACAAAAACCATGCCGGGTGACATTTCAAACTGTCTTTTCGTAACTCAAGAATGAAAGGAAATGGTTGAATTAAGGTCTTTGTTGAACACTTTTAGATGTAAACTTAAATATGTTGCATTCTCAAGAAACATAAATCGGGACACATCAATTTTTCACATACTTAAACAATTTGCAAACGTTGGTAAGGGTCTGAATACTTTAGTTGTAAAGTATTCACAATCTGAAGTATGTAATTCCTGTTGCAACTATTGACTTCTTCAAGTTCTCATACTACCCAATAGCAATAAGGATCTGGAATCATCTGCCAGGCTCAGCAGTCAATGCAACAGGAATAACCAACTTCAAGGAGGCTGCTTTACCCTCCATCATAATGATGCAGCCCCCTGTTGGTTCCCAGATCATATATACTAGCGTGGTTTTTACTTGCACTGGACTTAGCATATTTTACTGTAAATTAACGAGTGCTTTGTCCACACACCATTCCTGCAATTCATGACACTCCTTGTAGTTACTTGCCTCACCTACCATCCCAGTATAACTTTCTGAGTGAGCTGCCAAAGGGATTACCCAACCGAGTACCAAGTATGTTCTTGCACTCACCTCTTTAGTAAGATCCATCATGACGAAGAGAAGTGCCTTGAGGAACAGATAAAGATGGCTCTGAACCCAGCACATGTCCATGTTCTCCATCATGAACTTGATAGCGATGCATCCCCCAAGCTTAGCGTACCAGGCTCGTTCATAGCAGCAGTTACACATACGGTCAGCAACGTACTCAAAGATGGATAGCGAACAGGCCTGTAAGAGAGGATAATAGATACTTGGCAATTAAATTCTTCTTCTGATTATTATTATTATCAAGTTTTTGGTTCCCTACACTCTTATATGAATAATGTGATCAGCATAAACTGATCAGCACATTTTTGGGAGAAGCAAGAGTTCGAATCAGGTCAACAAACTTTGGGGTCAGAAGTATCAAAACATGCGCGTAAAGATCCGACTCATGTGGTGTGCATGTGAACATTTTCTAGTGCGGAAATAATTTGGCAAAGTTATGCGTGCAAATGAGCGCGCTTTGAATAGCCATTCTCGCTTCATTTTCCGTTCAAGGCAGTCGATTGTTTTAGAGCTGCAAAAAAAAAAAAAAAAAAAAAAAAAAAAAAAAAATAGCGAAATGGGAAAGAGAAAGACCAATGAGTGCGCCAAAGGCGGTGCTAATGCCCAGCAGAAAAGACAGAGAACAGCTGAAAAGAGTCGGAAAGGCACTAGAGCCAGCTCAATTAGCAAGAAAACTAACAATTCAGCGCAAACTCCGGCCAGCAGTTGCTCAGCCACAAGCATCAACAGCCGGGCGAGGCACCGTCGTCAGGCAAGCAGCACAGAGAGGGCACGGGCAGTGCAGTCTCGGCCGCTAACAGTAGACAGCGGAGTAGGCCTACCTGAAGCGATCCCGGCATTACCGGCAGCAGGCATCCCACCAGCAATTTCGAGCACCCCACCACCACCAGCAGCAGCCCTGAATACCCAACCATCACAGCCGGGATCACAGTTGCAGTTACAGTCAACAGGTGAGGTACGGATAGATCTAGATCTTGATCTACCCACTAGTACTAATGCTACTTCAACCGAAGTTAGATCTATACACTCTTATATGAATAGTGTATTGGGTTCTTAACATGCAAAGGTGGTGACTCTCTTCTACACAGGGCCTGAATTTAGAGCCCTATCCGAGGGACAGATTGTTTACCACTGCAACATAGCTTGCGTCTATGAAACAGGGGAGGGGCAAGTTAACACACAACCCATGATCTGCCTGGATTGGATTCTAACCCACGATTTATGGTTCATTTGACTTTCATGGCAAGCTGTCCAGTCTTACAGAGCTCCTTCTCTTCATGAGCCATACACAATGATATAGTATCTATTTTATACCTCAAACATAGATTCCTATTCACTGATTGGTCAAAACTATATCACATGACAAGGCGCATCTCGATCTATCATTGCACCAGAGGGTGTTGGAGTTCAATTGACCTAAAGGTCAAATGATAGAACGCGTAACCCCTCTGCGACTTTCGCACACACAATATGGTTCAGGTTTTAAGAGCGCTTTCAATTTCGCAAGTTGCTAGGCTACAACTACATATAAGTTGATCAATCACACGGTTTGTAAAAATTCAACATGGCGAGTGACTTAGCAACTGATCCAGCTCCAAGACTTGGATTTGGAGCAGTTACTCCAGGAAGCACAGACTAAAAATACAAAGACACAAATGAAGTACAGGGTCTCTATCTTTAAGGATTACTGCTTAAAATGCCTGGTACAGAGAGCTGTACTGTAAGAAAACGAGGCAAGCGATTCGTTATGGCCTGCAAAGGCATTTCCGAACCACTCGCAATGTTGATATTGTGAGAGGCACTCAGTTGAAAGGTTCCAACAAGATCTTCAAAGCCTTTCTGGAAAATTTGAAGAATAATGGAAAGGGTAACGTCAACCGACACAAATCGGTGAGCCCAAGTGATATGCAATGCATTCAAGAAAGCCTGGATTTGAATACTGCTGAAGGGTTACAGCAGAAAGTCTTTTTTGATATTATAATTTATTTTGCCAATTTTTCAGTGAGAGATAAACTGACAAAAAATCACTGCGATGATGATGAGCAGTCACAAGCTAGACTCATATTTGAGATTCCAGGTCACCCAAGATGCCCAGTGAGTAATTTGATCAAGTACAAGAGTAAATTGCACCCTCTTTTTCCATGGATGTGGCAAAGACCAAGTTCAAAGGTTAAGGAAGATGATCCCGAGTGGTATGTAAACATGCCAATAGGAAAAAATCAGCTGGGAGATTTTACCAAGGTCATATCTGAAAATGCTGGATGTAGAAAGTACACAAACCACTGCTTGCGCGCTACGAGTGTCACATCACCGGATAAGGCCGGCTTCGCTACGAGACACATCATGACAGTTTCTGGGCATCAATCCGAAGCTAGGATCAAATACTACAGTCGCACCAGTGAGGCCCAAAAAGAAGGAATGTCTGATGCAATTTCTTCAGCCCTCTGTGTCAGGCCAACTGTAGATCCACAGCCTGGGCCTCGCAAAGTAAGGTCTAGTCCTACTCCTAGGACCAAGTCTTTGTCCAGCCCAGTACGTTTAGCACCGGCAGCTGTTAGCCTGGAAAACCGTTCAATGTGTGACAGCCAGGTCGAACTTCACCAGCCATGTTGCAAGACATCACAAATTCTCCTGTGACGGTCACATCAACAAACACAGATCACACAATTTCTAATTTTCATGGCTGTGTTGTAAACATTTATAAAAAGGCTTACATCTCGGCCTATAGGACTGTAAATATGTTCCTGTGTTGCACAGCAAAGACTGTAAATATATTACTGTGAGAAGCAAAGATTGTTCATGTTGGATTTCTTGTAGCGTTGGATTTTGGAAACTGTTTTTTGAACTTTGAAAGACTGTAAATTTGTTACTGTGAGGAGCAAATAGACTCTTGATGTTGGATTTTTCTTATTCTGATGAGTCAATCCTCTTGATCTCACTTCCTGTTTGTTAGAGCTAGACCTACAGCTAGACCTATTCATGAATCAATGAAAAGGATGAGGTATACAAAACAAATATGGATTGCTCTGTAATCGTATGGTGTTGGAAATTATCACTCCCTCGGTGGTGTTCATACCGGCCCTTCTACATGTATCACCCGCTCTTTCGCCTCGGGGGCGATAGAAGGGCCGGTATGAACACCACCGAGGGAATGATAATTTCCATCATCCTCATGAGCAGTCAATATTTGTATACTATCGTATCTTATTGCATCCTTGAAACAGAGCAAAGAAGAAAATTGAATTGGGCGGGCCACATCAGCCGTAGAAATGGCAATCGCTGGAGTGCAGCAAATACCTCACTGGACACCATATGAGGGAAAGCGTAACAGGGGACGCCACAGAAAAAGATGGAGAGATGAGCTGCAACAGTACTGGGGAAAGGTTAATTGGTACCGACAAGCACTGAACAGAGTCATTTGGAGACAGCATGCTGAGGCGTTCATCCTCCTGCAGTGGATCAACAATGACTGAAGAAAAAAAAAGTAAAGTATCTTATTGCAACTCACCCTAGCCTTACTGCCCATCACAGCAGCAGCGGTCTCTACAATGACTGTCATGGCAAGCTGTCCAGTCTTACAGAGCTCCTTCTCTTCATGAGCCATGCAGGCTGATATAGCATCGATCAACACGTGAGGATCCATGTTGTCATTGAGAGACTTCTGACGACTGTGGGCGGTAGGAAGCGGGCCTAGGAGAAGAATATATCATTGTGAAGTAAGATACATAAACAATTATTTTCTGTAAACTCTCTATTTGTTGAATTCTTCACCCTTTTTTGTAATTCTAGCGTATACAATATGAGTAGTGCCATAAGAGAGAATGCACTTAAGAGAAAAACAGAAATTAATGATATTTTGGTACAGATAAACTAGAGAGTTATCCAAAAATATGTCACAATCCACAGACCAAACTGCCAATTTGAGATTTGTATAGACTTTAAGTGATCCCACATTTCAAACATTCATAACTTTCTTATCACTGGTTGTATTCATATCAAACTTTTGTTTCTGCTTTCATACCAATGAACTTGTTAAAAGGGTTGGATTGCCCTTTAAATTAGGAATTCATTTAGGATAGGAAATTGACAAAGAGCAATCCCCACTGGAGCATACATTGTAGAACCAACAATTTACCTGCTTGCTGAGCGACTGCCACCAGTGTAATGTGCCTCACGACATTCATCATGAAGGGAAGGGAACTAGGACGAAGATCTTTGATTGTAGCCGAAACTGTATCAAAGAGGGAGACATGCAATTTGCAGTAATTAGTACACCCGTATACTAGTCACTCAATATACATGGAAAATTAAGAGTAAAATGAAACTTCACTTAAGTGTACTGATATTGCCATTTTTCCTTTCTTTGTTGCTTTCTCATCATATATGACAATTCCCTGATGTTTTTTCTCACTACTTTTTAATGATTTCAGCATGAATGTTAGCATTTTCACTGTTTTATGTACTTGGTATTATTTTTCACTCTAATTAAAAAAATATATACAATTCTAAATTATAGATTGTACGAATGCAGTTAACATTTCTCACAAAAAAAATCAGATAATCCATTTAGACTTCCTGTTATTTGGCGAACTCCTGCTAGCATTTACAAATGCATTCATTTGATATTTCTTGAATTTCTCTGCAGTACTTACCAATCATGGATGTCAATGCATTCTGGAAGCATATCCTGGAGAGGTGATCGTGGCACTTGTATGCATGACTAGTAGTCCTTGGAATCTCACCATCATGGAAACTAGATAATTAGAAATAAATCATTGACATTTGTTTTCATAAAAATACAATTTTTAAATAAAAAAAGATGATCCTAAATGTGTGACTTTAATCATTCAGAAAAAGAAAAAGAACACTGGCAGAAATGCAATATTTTGAAAGCAAAACAGACTTTTACATACCTGGCAACCTTTCAAAGCAAAATTTAGGAATCTCTCAAGGCAAAATAAATATTAGAGGCTATTTCTACAATAACTTTTATAGAGAAGTATTGGGGAAAAAAGAGGAATCGCAGGTTCATATCATTACTCTGAAAGTCAAAATATAGGAATGGTTGGAAGCTATCCTTTTAGAAACATGAGTAAATCAACAGATAGCCTTACATGTAAATGAATGAATACAAATATCTTTAAAGAGAATGAATGATGGCATAATATTTCACCTAAGGTACCATTTTTTTTTTTTTAGCCATCTTTCTTTATATCTGCACAAGCCTTACTTTAAGTACGTACAAGGTCTAAGCAAAATTTTATTGAGGCATATTAGTTTAAATTGTCTCAGTTTTTGTTAAATTCAAATTAGTGGTTAAGTGGATACGTCACCAAACCGTGAATGACATGGTTCGCGGCTCAAACCTGCTGCAGTACTAATACATTTGCCACTCTCCACCCAGGTGAAGTAGATGAGTACCCGGTAGGAAGAAATTCCTTGAATGCTTTAGCATCTTATTATGGCGACTCAGCTACAGCCGGGTTAAAAATATATCTTGTATTAAATGCAGTTGAGTATATACATATAGCAGCTGCACTATATAAATGGACCTAATTTTATTATAATCTCATATGGCTCGGGGCGAGTTTCCAATTTACAATCAAAACTTAATCAGCTCTTAAGAATCCTTACCTTGTGTGGAAAAGCAGCTGCTGAATAGTCCTCTGTTCATCGCCCAAGCTGAGCATACTAACAATGAAATGACGGATGACTTCCCACGCCTGACGACGATAGAACACGTCGGTCGTCGGGGACGTTAGCTTACTCAGAGCAGTCTCTATCACCTGGAAAATGGGAGAGACAAAACATACGTTAGTATTATCTCAAGCTACAATATATATTATTCACGTATGATTACATTTACAACAAAGGGTATGTAATACCAATACTTTCAATTAAACAATTTGGTTTAAAACTTGTGATTGCATGTGACATCATTATCAATATCGTTGTCATCATCATCATTATCGTTATCAACATAAGTAGTGTGATAATCTTCATACCCATCATGATCATCATCATCACCATCATTATTATCATCACCATCAACATCATCATCATCCCTGTCATAACCATCACCATCATTACCATCTTGATCAAGCTACAATATATTATTCATGCATGGTTGCCAAAAATTATGTGTAATACCAATAATACCAATGAAACCATTTGGTTTAAAAGTTGTGCTTGCAAATGCGATTATCATCATCAGAATCATCAGAATCATCAACACTATCATTATCAACATTAAATTTGTGGTAATCATTATAACCACCATCATCTTCATCATCACCACCACCATCATCATCATCATCATCATCATCATCATCACCATCACCATCATCACCATCATCAACTTAATCATCATGATTTCCATCATCATCACCATCTTGATCATTATGATCACTATCACCAAAGAAAAAAACAAACCAAAAATCTCAAAAACGAAATCCTAGTTTGGTGTGCAAAGAATGAGGTATGAGCATTATTGATGTTGTATCGACTTTTTTTTGTTACCTTGGATACCGGTAGATGAACTGGAGTCTTATGATCAGGGAAGAGAATGGTGATACAAGGACCGTCATTCTCATCATCTTCATATGTCAACTGTAAAAAGAAATTTAAACATTACCATGAAGAAGAAACAAAATCATACATATATATTTTTAACCAGATTGTCTTCCATCAGTTTCGGACAAACACAATTACAATACATTTACACATAAAGAGTATTAGATAAAGAGCCCAATTCAAACATGTAAATGAATACAAAACAACAAATATTACAAAGAAATCAGACCTGCACGAAATATTAAACTTTTAAGAAAAAAAAGGAAAAAAAAAATTAAACTATAAGGCTCCCACAATGCCTCCGCTTGCCGGAACCAACTGGACAGCAATTTAATTTAAACGAGGCAATGTGGTATTGCAGTTTCTGTCTCAGGTAATCGAAACACAGAAATATTCCCACTATTCATTCGTCTGGACAATCTTTTCAAAACTGTTTCAATAGTATAAAACAAAAGAAGATTGGTAGCATCTGAGTAATATCAATCATTATAGAGTTTACCTCTTAACCTTCATTCACTTACAACATAAAAATAACAAAATTGAACCATCACTTTCACAATACAATAAAGGGTATTAAAATGGAAAAACAGTTACATATGGCTAAAGTGGGTACCGGGAGTAGCCGAAAAAAGGAGAAGTTTCACAAGGCTGATCTAAAGGAGTTATTTGAAGTGAAGATTTATGTTGAAAGTTCATAATTTTCTCTGATGCCCAATGAAAAAATAAGAAAGCATAAATAGTTAAACTAACCCTTTGTGGTTCTCTAAGCATCTTGCGGTTGCCTCCACCCAGCTTGCCTAACACGCGGAACGCCACGCGAGCGATCTGGTCGCTACGGTTACGCAGTGTCCTCCAAAGGGCTTGCATCAGTTCCGCTCTCACCGGCTGGATGTGCTCGTAGAGAAAGTCGGGCTGAAGATTGTCCACACATAGCTCCAACGTTCTCAATCCCTGCGGTAAAAAATATCGAAACCCCTCATTGACAATGGGACTTCTAAGGAAGCTTGGCGATTTTTAGGGGCTTGCGAAGACGCATCCGGAAGGCAAAATGCATATTTGTTAAAAATCATAACTTTATCAAACCCATCTGAGGAAGCAGATTGTTATGATTTGGAGCGAGCTAATGCATATACCATCTCACTGACCTCATGTTAGCTAAACTTTAAAAGACATCACTATTACACTATTATGTAGAGGTGTTGTGGTCGAGTGGATACGCCGCCGGAATGTCAATCACAAGGTCCGTGGTTCGAGTCCCGCTGCAGCACTAATGTCATTTGGCAAGACATTGATCTACATTTGTCACACTCAACCCAGGTGAAGTAAATGGTTACCTAGCAGGAATTAATTCCTTGAAATGCTAGAGCGCTGTATAAACGGCAGCTAGGCTAAAGCCGGGGTAATAATAAATGCGCCTCAGGATAGAATTATCTAGATAGACGGCGCTATAGAAATGCCTATCATTATTATAATTATTTTGTATTTTGTGTTCCGGATGCGTCTTTTTGGATAAAGAAGTTGGGAAGGTACAGTTTTCCAAAAGGGTATGACAACAACAAAAAAGGTTTCCAGAAACACTTTTGAAGGGAGAGGGAACAACTAACCTGGCTAACGAGAGTCTGTGATCCGTTGAGAGCCGAGACTAACGGATCCATGAGCATGGGTAGGTATGGAAGCAATGAGCTCAGTCTCACAGGTACAGTCAGACAGAGCTCAACAAACAGGTCCTTCATGTGCTGCTTGTGAAGGCCACTCTGAAGCTGATTCAAACCTGTTACCAAAACAAAACAAAAGAGAAGAGATTACTCAACAAAGTTACAGTATATCAAGGGTGATGTATAATGTAGATAAGTGTACAAATTACTATTAGATATTACAGCTCTTTCGTCATATTCTTAACATATAGTATTACTCTTTGAATATATTGTAAAAATGTACTTAAAACTAGATCCCACATATAAACCAAAGATTGTTCTTGAATAGGTTCCACTTTGTGCATTTTAGAGAAACTGCTCCTGAAGTGGTGGAGGTGTATCATAGATTCAGATTTGTTCCCCTTGGGAGACGAATGCCTCCTCTTGTACATGACGGAATGCAATTTGGTGCAAAAATTAGTAATGATAACATAATATCTATGAGCACTTATCCATCATTTTCTCAGTTGGTTTTACAACATTCTTTGTCTCCCATGCTTATATAGTGCCTCCAAACAGGCGTGTCATGAATACAGCATTATTCTGGGGTTATTGCTCATGTTTGACAAACTTGTGTCTTTATAGGGCAAGAATGAAAGACTAGAACAGACATCAAATATGCAACACTCTCCAGCATATACATAAGTATCATTATTTCCTACACTAAGGCATCTAACAGAACTTTTTCCCTCACTGACTACCAAACAGTTGAGCTATCTTTTCTTTAATTGCTGTCTATAATGATGTCAGTTCAGTTCATTCTAACATGGAGCAGGGATGCCAGTTAGAATTGATCAGAGGGACTGAAAATCACATAGAATGAGCTAGTTAATACACAAAAAAAGCCTAAAATACCTGTATGGTATGAAAATAACTCGCCAGGTCCTGAATTCAGGAATTTGCCTGAAAAGTGGCATCCCTGATGGAGAGAATATCCAAGTTTGTGATTTATAAAAATGGTTGATACATCCATTTTATTTTCTTAAAACAACCATAAAATATATTTCTATTTCATATCTTCTAAGTGAAAGTGGCGATGGCAGACATGTTACCTTGGAGGAGGTTTGGCAGGAGGGGCAGGAACTCTTGATACAGGAGATCGTGGCTACCTCCTCCGATGGATCGAAACAGCGCCCTCAAGAGGAGGAAGTAGTTGTAGGGATCCTTGGCCGTGGTCGCGAGCTCCATCGATCGGTTGACTATCTTGTGAAGATGAGGCTATAGGAAATGAATAGGAAATGATATTAATAACGATGAGAACAGTAAAATATTTGTAAACTGCAAAGATTGGTTACGTTTTTGGGTGTTTTTCTTTACTAAACAATGAAAGGTGGACTTGTTAAATTAGAGGAAGTAGTTGTAGGGATCCTTGGCCGTGGTTGCAAGCTCCATGGATTAGTTGACTATCTTATGAAGATGAGGCTAATGGTGGAAATGATTACAACAAGAGAGAGAACAGTAGAATAGTCATAAAACTGCACTTGTAAATTTGATCTTTCTTTTTTTTTTTTCTCTCTCTTTTTTTTTTGGGGGGGGGGGGGGTTGACTATCTTGTGAAGATCGGGCTGGTGGAAATGATTGCATCAACAATGAGAACAGTAGAAATTCATAAAAATGCACCCCTTGTAATTTTTTTTTTTTTTTATTCATTTGATTTTTTTTTTGGTAAAGGTGGATGGGTTAAAGTATTGCTTACATACTTTATATACATTAAAGAGCTATGGAAATAAGATTACCTCATTATCTGAGAATTAATGTAATTCTATAAATAAACATTTTTTTAAAAGTAATATACTGGTATCTAACCCCAAATCTTAATATTTCCATACCTTTAGCATTTGTTCATTCTCATTTGCAAAGAGGGAGACTGAACCAAAGACTAGCTTGAAGAGCTTCAGGTACAGGTTGGAACGTTCTTGATTAGCTGTTATGAAAGGGAGGAAAAGAGTACACTCACACTTAAGCATATTTCTAATATACATCAATTGGACGATCGGTTATTTTCGTGATGTAACCAAATTTAATGAACACGTCCTTGTGAAGTGCCCCGATACAAATTATTTCAGGAATCCAATTACTTTTACAAGCCGATTGCCTGCCTGATTATCAAGATACTTATGATTGGAAATTGGAAATCAAAAATTTCAAAAAAAGTTTTTCCAAAGGTTTTTATAACACTACAGTCTATTGGGGTAAATGAGTAAGGTAAAGCCGGTCACTCAAAGATTTTTAACTTTTTGAGGCACTTCATGATCATTTTGAAGCACAATTTTTTTAGGGCTTCAATAATATTACACCATATCACACCATATCACACTGATAACACATACATGTAGGGCCATGCATCTCAGATTTTTAAAACTGGAAACATTGTTAAATGATGTTTTTAAAACCATGAACATCTCCATACATATTATAAAACAATTTCAATAAAAACAGCGTTACTTACTGCCCATCTCCTCCATCCTCTCCAGGAGATACTCCACTAAGATGGTTGCAAAGGTAGCAGACGTGGTCAGATTGGCAAGGAAGGAGTTTGCTATCAGCTGCAAGGCGTAGTTCTTGTAGATCCGTTCCACCATGTACTCAATGGTCGTCTGGAAGATCTCTCGGAACGTCAGCGGATGCATCATGTTGAACTGGATAAATAGTAATAACATTTCTAATTGTTATTTATTGATTTGTTTGTTTGTTTGTTTGTTTGTTTGTTTTCTTTCCCAATATAAATTACACATTTATTAATACAAGCATGGGTTTTACGCTAATCGGGGATCGAACCACGACCTTTAAATATCAAGTCAAGTGCTTAAACCACTCGACTTCAACACTTACCACTCCAGCGAAATGTTCCAGGACTTCTTTCTCTTCTTTGAGTCTGACGCTCTGAGTATTGGCTGCTCGTATACTAGTCTGTCCTGTCGGGGAGATCTGGATCTGATAGATATCCAAGGCCTTCAAAGCTGGAAGAAAGAAAAGAAAAGATATACTGCTTATTCTATTGCAATGATAGTGAAAATGAATGTTTCTTTCATGCGGCAATTATAACATAACAGACCAAAGTGCTTACGGTATCATTAACCGAGTTTATGATTCATTTACAATTCTGTATCATTTAAGTTCTCACTCTCCATCCCATTGGGGGAGCATCCCAGCTAGGGGCCTTTTGACAAGTGCAAACATGATCATCCAATCAAAACTAAAAAACAATGTCAAAGATATTTCAATGCTAATTTCTGTTTTAGCATTACGTTTATTACTGTCCGGCATTGATTATATTATGTGGAAAGAAATGAAAATAAATTTGTTCTGTATAGAGCGACTGCGACTACTACTACTACTACTACTTCTAAATTTGCATCCTTCCAGGTATCCATTTAACACCTGGGTGGAGAGGAGCAATGTAGATAAAATGCCCTGCTCAAGGAAGGAAGTGCCATGTCGGGGCTCGAACCCGCAACCTTTGCATTCCTAGTCAAGGGATCTCTCTCTCTCTCTCTCTCTCTCTTCCTCTCCCTCTTTCTTTCTCTCTCTCTCTCTCTCTCTCTCTCTCTCTCCCCCCCCCTCTCTCCCCCTCACTTTCTCTTTCTCTCTCTCACCCCCCCCCCCCCTCCGTCTACCCAACATTGCATCTCAACATTAACAATATCGGATATCCCAATGACTACAGCATGTAATGATGGTTGGACATTTCAAACATAAACTGTGGACAGAATCCAACAAAAAGAGAGTAGGGGGGCATTTCACAAAACTTGTCATCAGAGACAAATGACAGTTTTTGTTACAAGCTACTGAAATCCTTGCTTCTGATTGGTTATCAGTAGATTTGTCACTGATTTTTGTAATTTGTCATTGAAAAAAGGCTTTGTGAAACGGGTCCCAGGACTCACCATGCTTGACTAACTTGATGAAGACAGCCGTTTCTTTGGGATGAAACTGTTTGTTCTGGTTCGGATCTGTAATAAAAAAAGAGGGTAAATATACCACATAAATAACTACCAAGAGCTTTCAAGACCTTTCTTTATTAAGAGAAATCTCTCACAAAAATGAGATTAATGCGTCTTAAAGTGTAGAACTACATGTACATGTAAGCGTTTCCAGTCACAGTTTAATTCTTCAAAGTTCATTTACCATACTGATGTTCATTTTGAAGATTGATGTGGCACAGAAGGGCCAAGTATTAACAGTCAGTACCTAATTTAAAATCATGTCAGTGTAATCACCACAGAAATGGTAAAAAAGCTCTGAAAGTACTTTTTGCGACTGACCTGTAGAGACCTTGCAAGCACTCACACCCCACGTGATGGTCTTGACGCCACACACCACCGTCTTAACCAAACTCCTGCAGTCTACCACCGAGTAGTTATTGAAATGAGTCAGGCCGGTGGGAAGGTACTTCTTGGGTTTGCTCTCGTCTTTCTCACGGGTAGGGAAGAGGGAGGAGAGGGGGGCGGTGGTGATGGAGGACACCCCCGGGGTGACGGGCGGGGCCGGTGTGGTGGGGGTTGCTGGTGGGATGGTGGCGGCGGTGGTGGAGAGGGAAGCGAAGGACATGGTTTGGGGTGTGGTCGGGGTAGGTGGTGGGGGTGGTAGTGATACTGATGCTGTTGATGATGATGTGGTGGTGGTGGTGGTAGTGGTGGTGGAGCTGGATGCGGTTGCGGAGGATACTGAAATGGAGCGTGATACCGGAGGTAGCATCTTCTCTTGCGCTGCCTCTTGTTGTTGGCGGCTGGGAAGAAAACACGATTTCCAAGTTTAAACTTCATTTGTTCCACATTTTACAAAAAATATAGACATACATATATAATGAAAAATACATGTAGTATAAATGAGCATGATTCTCAATTCTTATAGTAGATTAAGTAGAATGTGAGGAACCTATTAAAAAGCAGTGCTTGTAAATTATAGGTTCCTTGTAAAATGAGTATTGTAGATGAAAAAAACGTAGAAGTAGAGAAAGACGTAATTTAGAGTTGAGAATTTAAAACACAATGGAATAAGGACATTTGTATACAAAATAATGCATAAGCACCAATACCCAGAGTCACCCGGTCAAAATGCATTGTTAATTTTGATGTTAAAATTTCATGTTAATCTTCCTTCATCTTACTCTGGGAAAGAATGATGTGTTTCTCTAGTCTTAATAATTTGAAGAAAATGTGACCGAATGAAAGGAAATGTGCTGTAAAAGTCAAGAAAATTCATTTTGGCCACATTCTACCAGCGGCAACCATAATCACTTGACTGAAAACCATTTTTTTTTTTTTGTATTATATTTCTGCGTTTTAAAAATAGAAAATAATCATATACATAAAGTAACAATTATTTCTTCATTATATTTTTAAGTACATTAAATAAGATGCATACAAACACAAATATTTTTCAATGAAAAAGGATAAATTACAAAAAACGCAGGAGACCGCTATCATGAGCAGTAAGCTTGAAATCGATGGCGGCCTTGTATATAGGAACCTAATTTATCTTCATTTTTTTTTCCATTTTATTTCCAACTGAATTTGTTATAACTGTCCATAGCTCAAAATCTTCATCTTCATCTCCCTTGCACAGAACATACCAGAGAATGAATTGATTTTCTTTTTGTCCTCTCCAAACTATAGGTTTGTGTGTGTTTTGCGAATTTCTTTCACCCTTCTCTGTATTCAATTTGAAAATTGAGTTTACCACTGCTCGCTTCATACTTCCACTTTCATTCATTTGCACACATGTTCCTAATTATTCTAACTTCACTTTATGTCAAGCTTCTGGAGTGTTTACATATAACCACATCATGTACATCAAAGTTTTATTTTGTGAAAGTTTAGACTAAATGCCTCTATTCAAACTTTTTGTTGGTACAGTCAAACCTGTCTATAAAGACCGCCCAAGGGAAAAACCAAAAGTGGTCTTTGTAGACAGGTGGTCTTTATAGACAGGTTCCTTTAGTACATGTTTCAATGAGAAACTATTTTCAAGGGAAACAAAAAATGTGCTTGTTGTAGACAGGTGGCCTTTGCAGACAGGTGGTTACTAAAGCAGGTTTGACTGTATATATATATGAGAAACTATATTCAAAATAGAAATTTATTCACCATTTATCAAAGATGACAGGAAGCTGGTTATCGGCGATGGTGTGGAACTTGAGCACAAAGACCTCGAGCATTCTCATCAGGATCTCCCGAGCCTGCAATACAAACAATTTCTGTTGTTTGTTTTTAAGGGGGTGAATAAGGAGAAGGGAAGGGGAGGGGGAGAAGATGGCAGGGGCAGGATGAGGATGAGGGGGGCAGGAGAAGAGAAAGAAATGAGGAATGAGTGAGTGCAATCAAAAGATCAATGTGATGAAATGGTGTATGCTCAGCAAAGCTTAAAGCCCCACTGCACTACTTGAAGCTACTTGCGCCCTCTATATAGCAAACAATGCCTAAGCGGTGACCGTTAATTGAGAGATGATTTGATGAGATAACCACATGTCAATTGATTTGGATCAATCACATCTCTCTAATACACATGGCCCTGGTAAAAGCAATACAGAGATTAAAATTGACTTACAGTGCAGTAGATAGGTTGTTTGGTCCATCAAACTCACACACAAAAATTGCTAGAAATCAAATTTCACTGAATATCTCAACTAACCGTTGCACAAAATATACAATCCCCTGTTATACATGTTTAGGAATTTCAATTTCCTTCTTCTTTTTTTTTGGGGGGGGGGGGGGGGTGTTTTGGTTCACTTGACAGTGCCTAGATATCATTTGTTTGTTGCCTCATGCATTCTGTGAAATTTCCTTTCATTGTGTGATGATGTTTAAAGTTGATGTTCATTGATTTTAAAAACTAACTTAATTTCATTATTGCAAAGTTGAAACTGTGATTCGACAAGGTTATCAAACTTCAATGCTAGGAAACATTCGAGGTGATTATTATTATAAATTATAAAACGCTTAAATACAGCCCCGGCATAGCACCTGAAGAGCTCTCCGAACGCTCCTGAGATGTGTGAGATCACTGTATGGACACGATTTGCACAAGCAGACGATGTCCCATGACATCACACACATTTTCAGTGCCTGTGTTTACATCTTCTCTCGAGTTCTTTCTCTTACTTCACTACCGTCAGGCTAAAATTATAATCTATTGCCTCACTCTAAACCCCGCACACGGTTTTATTTTGATGACAAATGCACCGATACAAAAATAAAGGAATTTGTCGCTTGTAAACAAAATAAGACGGTATTGAATATTCAGCTGCACACAGCGCGGTATGTTCGGCGTTTCAAGAGGGAACAAATGCCGTCCTGATATCATTCCGGGGGGTTTTCAATTCGAAAGTCTGGTTTCTTTGATCGTTAATTAATACATATCCTTCGTATTTACAAGCAAAAGATTTTAGTTATCGGAATCGGGTCATATCCCCCTTTGAATGGTTTGACATGCCATTACATTTATATACACTAAACTCATTATAATTTGAGAAATAATAGCTTTGCAATTATGTTCATTCTCTATGGGATGTCGTCTGCTTGGGCAGTGTTGGTCCATATAGTGACGTCATTAAAAACATTGTTATTTTTCCGGCGAATCTCTCGCATATCCCAGCTGCTACTGGAGGTGGTTGTATTTGTATTTTTATAAATCACCCGATATGTAGTTGACCTAAAACTTGTACGATGGCTATCTGTTAGCTTACCAGTTTCTAGTGATACATTAGTTGACATATTTGTGATTTTCTTTGAAGTTCACCTTTAAGAGCTATTTTAAATATTAAAACTCCAAGAGAGGGCCTGTACCTGTAACTCTAAATTAGTAAGCACTCACGCAGTACTAATATATCAGAATAAAGCTTTAACATGAGTATAAAGCATGGCAAGCAATAGCATCTGTTGTCATTATTTCATTGAAATGAAAGTATTAAAGCATGCAAGAAAATGATACGAGAAAACCTAATATAATTGTTTTGAATATACATGTACATGAAAATGATGATAATTAATTGGATTAAAAAGCATACAATGTAATACAATAAAACGTGTGTTACTTTAACATTTCAACAATATACATAAAAGTAATAATAGTTGGATTATAGAGCGTTTAGCTTGGGATATTGACCCTATTGTGACTGAGGGGGGGGGGGCATTTTTACCCCCCCCCCCGACTACTTAAATCTTTTATGATTGTATATAGTCATTTGATTTTTGAAGTTGTGCAAGATGCTATAATAATAATAATAATAATAATAACATAATATTCCGTTTTTAAATAGCGCTTAAACATCTACGATGAATAATGAAACTCAATTTATCACAGCACACTTCGAAATTGTGTATCAATAACACAACAAACATGAGTGAAAAGAGTGTGGCAACACAGCAGATTTTCATCGATTTTCATGGAGCAATAAAACACAGTTTGAGGATGAAACTTTTGACATGAAAATAATTGATGAAAATATTTAAATTGGCAACATACACATGTTCTAGAGGGAAATGGCAAACTGAGCAATGTCATGAATGAATATATCTTTAGTAAGGTTTTAAAAAAACCATTAAAAACAAAATATTTGGTTGATAAAATGCTAGGAATCAAGGAAATTAGTGTTGCCACATGAAGCGGCAAAGCTAACTTCACACATGGCAAACATTCACAATTTTATCCTAAATTCTTACTTCAGATGAACAAAATTTTGTTGGCAGGTCGTAAAAGTTTTTTGTTTCTCTTTAATGTTATCAATTTGAAGAGATTAAACTGATTGCACTTGGCAAATAGACACACTTTATATGATGTAATCACTATAAAAAAGGGGGATGCCAATTTTGAGAAAACATTCAGCCATCTATGAGTAAACTTATGTTAGCCCCGTCCTGTTCGTTCTTCTGCCGGATGCATTCGACCAGGTTGAGGAGTAGTTTGCAGCAAATTTATTGAAAAAAGTAATCACTAAAAAAAAAAAGTTGCCAATTTGGATTAAAAATTCAACCATTGATGGGTAAACTTGCGTTAGCCCGTCCTGTTCACTCTTCTGTCGGATGCATTCGACCAGGTTGGGGAGCAGTTTTAAGGACGTTTATTTCAAAATGTAATCACTAAAAAAAAAGTTGCCAATTTGGATTAAAAATTCAACCATTGATGGGTAAACTTACGTTAGCCCCGTCCTGTTCGCTCTTCTGTCGGATGCATTCGACCAGGTTGAGGAGTAGTTTGCAGGACATCGTCTGGATGTTACAGGGCAGGGATTCATCATGGACGTTCTTGGAGAAGAGATGGACGGCCATAGAGAGGTGCTGCAGAGGTAGCTGCTGTCTCACATGGTGAACGAGATCAGCCAGGGTGCTGTATGCTAGAGGTCTGTAAGAGCAGAAATAACACATGTTAGCTAAAATAAGTAGTTCATTTTTTAAAAACAGTAATTCGTTGATACTAATGGTCTTAGGGGATAGAAATAACTTGTGTTAGCTCAAATAAGAATTCAATATAAATCAAAACATTAGTTTGAAAACATTATTTTCAGTATATATCTGAATTCATTGCTATTCTAAGTTAAATAAGTAATATCATAACAACATTATGTATATCATTTAATTGGCAGGGCATCAAAGTTTGTTTTTTTATGTTACCAATTTAAAGATATTAAGCTGATTTCCCCTGGCAAATAGGCATATATTGCCCAATTAAACTCATACAACAACACCTCAAATTAATGCCATCCAATTAAATGAAAATATAAGTTAACAGTTGGCAGTTCATCTAAGTTTTCAATAAATGAATCATCAGAGATACCAACCTCTCGACACAAAAAAACAGACCGAGTATCCAAAAAAAAAAAAATCAGATTTTGGAGAGAAAAATCAAATTTTCACGAAAACTTGACACTACCACTGGCCCGGGCCAGTAAAATTTCAGAAAAATGTTTGCTCTTTCATTAAAATTTAATGTGAAAATTGTAAAGCAAAGTTTTTGTTGGGGTTGCGGGGGTTGACTTGTACAGTTTCTCTGCGATTCCACTGTTGTTATGGGTTTTAATTTAATTTTTTTTTTTTTTTAAAAGATGAAAAATTTAAGATTTTAAGATCGTATTTCACTCTTATTATCGTACTAAATACGATTTAATCGTACTGGTTGGCATCTCTGAATCACCCACTGCTTCTCACCTTAGAGATTCCTTGCTGGTCCATCCGCTACCGACCAAGACATGCTCCTCAAACAGCTTGTCAATACTGGGAACAAACTCTGTAAAAAAGAGATCAGAAACAAAATTAAGAGTATAATCATGCCTTATGCAGTTAAAGCAGAGGCTAGGGGGGTGTTTCACAAAGATCCTAAGTCGAACTTAACTCTAAGTTGGACTTTAAAATTACGGAGAGCCATTTGTAGCCTTAAAAACAAATATATTCAAAAGCAAAAATTCAATAATTTTAGACTTTTCCTAAATGCCACATGAAGAACATGAAATCTCCCATGATAATAGAAACTGAATGATTTGAAATCAACATTTTATGCCTTTTAAAATAACTTTTACAAAACATTTTCAAAGATGCTAACGGCATTCCATAATTGTTAATTCAAACTTAAAGATAAGTTTAACTTAGGATCTTTGTGGAACACCCCCCTGACAACTACTATGCTAACATTTTCCAGTGGCTTTACTTCATCAAAGATAGAGGGGTAGGGATGCAGATTATTTTTTGCTAGGATTAAGGTTAGAATAGGTTAGGATGTGCAGTGATTTGATCGGGGTTGAAAATGGAAATTTGGTAAGTGGAGGACACAAATGGTAGGTGTCCTCCACAATTGTTTTGGGGTCGGTGTATTGACTACACAGACCCTAAAACAATTGTCTCGAGAGCACATGCTTATAGAAGCAATAAAATCATAGAAAGGCATCACAACTTGACAACAATTCACAATATGTGTGTGTAATTGGGTTTTACAGATGTGTATCAATCAAATATTATTATTTAGAGAGCTGACTAAGTGAACATACAGCTAGACCAACCTGCATCTCCCACCAATATTGATTTTGATAATAACGAGTCAGTGATTGGTAAAAAAAATAATGCAGAGGTAGGCTTTAGAAGACAAACAAACAGCTTGTGAATGCGGCCAGGAACAATAGACAATCGAACACCTGCTACTCTGCCCATTCCTGCTAGAGCCATGCACCAAAGATAACATGGAAGCTGTGAATTGCCGTGCCAAAGCATGTGTGATGCACTGGACGGGACTTATGTAATGACTCGGTAAGAAGAAGATAAAAATAGAGAGCCAAAAGCATGACTCACTGTTCCTGAGGTCTGTTCCGAGGATGTGTCTGGCTGCGATCAGGAGTTCTTTACGCAGATGGGCAACCTCACTGGGACAGTTGCCAAACAATCCCAGCATGCCTTTCACCATCTGAGGGGCATACGAGTTCACCAAGTCCTAAGAAAATAAAAACAGGATATTGTTTTTGAGGATGTTTCTACCAGTTTGTAGAGGTGTTGTGGTCTAGTGGATAAGTCGTTGATCTACATTTGCCACTCTCCACCCAGGTGTTAAATGGGTACCGGTAGAAAGGAATTCCTTGAATGCTGTGAGCATTGAAATCGGCAGCCTAGCAGAGCCGGGTAATATTCGGAGCACCTTGAGCACCTTGCAAGGTGGATATGTGCGCTATATAAATATCTGATATTATTATTATTACCTGGAAATGTAGAATTGGCCTCGTTGATATCTCAACAGCCTTCGCAATTATCAGAAATCTTCTTCTCCTTCCATGACCAAAACAATGTCTTTGGAGGTCTTTGAATTCCTTCAAAGCACATTCAAAATGGTTTCCATCAAGTCACATTTAACATTTCAACATGACCTTGTTATGTCTTTAGCCTTATAAATTCTCTCACGGAATCTAATATGACAGAAAACAAGGTTTTGTTTGAGGTAACTACTGACAACAATAAAAATATCGCCAACATCATCTTAGGTGGTAAAAAAGGAAGAAAAACAAAATCAACATTTTACTTACACTATTATTTTAACAGAAAAAAAAAGATCAAAATGTTACTAACATTATATCAATAGAAAACAAAAATCCAAATTTTACCAGCATCATGTCAGCAGAAAACAATACCCACTTTGTTTTCATTATTTGCAATACATTTATAATAAATGATGACAATTGGGTATTAGTTTATTGGTTCATTACCTGGTATATCTTGATAATGTAGGCCAGGAAGGATAAAGTCTTGATCTGGGCAGCGATGAAATCCACATACATCTCCTTGTTGAAATTAGGTGATGCTCTGCTCATAGAAAGAAACAAAAGAGAAATATTGTCAGTTCACAAACTTTTTTTGTTATGCCTCACATTTAAAACAGAATAGAACAGGGTTATTTACTTCACAAAGACCAAACTCGAATGTCATTAGTGGTATCATCTGCTAAGAGCCAAAAAAAGAAAATCATTTAAACGAATCAAGATTTGTGGCAATGATGTCCTCTCCAAGGGACTTTTAATGAGGATTGATGCCCTTACTAAAGGGCACTGTCTTATGGACTTGGTTTTGATCCCGAACCTCCCAGTTCAAAGACCACTGCTCTACAACCAGAGGTGATAGTGAGCACTAAAAAAAAGAAAGAAAATTGGGGAAATTGAGAAGAATAGAGAAAATAAGGGGAAAATCAGGAAGAAAAAAAATGAAAAAATGTCAGGTAAAAAAAATTAAAAAATCAGGAAGAAAAAAAAAAGGGAAAAAATCAAAAAAAAATCAGGAAACGATTTAAATCGGGTAATTATCAGGCCTGTACAACTGAGCCATTGCGAAAGAAAGAAATAAAGAGAGAGAGAATGACAGAATTCGTTTGACTCAAAATACTTAATGACTGGAAATCATCTAACCTTGCTTGTTGGGTGGGTTGTAACCCAATGGTATTCATGACCAGGGGTATGAAGTCCGCTACGACGTTGTGGACATTCTGCTTGTAAAGCTGATACATGAGAACTACGATGATGGGATACTCGGCCAAGACTTTCAGCGAGTTCACCCCTTTGGGTAGGATGGTTTGCTGAAGATCAAAACAAACAAAACAACATATAAATATAAAATTTATTTAATTGAATCTTACGTGCAATAACTCACCAGGCTCTTCACCCTCCCCCTTGTTCTTATTTTCATGCTTCCAATAGCACAACATTTAGTTTGAATATCATTTATATCATATATGAGGGATGGACTCTTGAATAAGGACTATACTCCTTTGTAGCTCATCCCTTCACTCTCATTATGTTATGATTTTGTTCGGATGTATGATATTTATGTATGTTTATTCTGTATTTGTATATGTAACTATTGTATATATTCTGTATTTTTAATGATGAGTGTAAATAAATGAACTTGAACATAAACTTGAACTTATTCTTCAAAAACTACTTATGGAAAGCGACATTACCAAATCTTGGAAAAACATCAGTCCTTTCAATGCATTGCCCCCTGTCTCTTGAACATACTTCCTTAAATATTTTGAGAAATAGCCATTTAGTTGATTACTTTGAAAACATACCTCTACAAATTATAAGTGTATACCTCCACCTTTCTACATAATATGTTCATAGACTAAAGAACGCTACCTTGTATTATCAGGAAAATTGGCAAAACTGTGATATTTTCTTTTTTTTAAGTACCGATATCTCCTAATGGGATGTGTAAAGAAGACAGAAACTGGGCACCTTTTACACACTACAGGACTACGTCTAAGAATTAGAAGGGAAAAAACGCAAAAACCCATACAATTTAATCAGATCGGTATCTGCATCAATCGCTGAGATACATATAAGCTCTACATATTGTAAGCAAAATTGGGAAAAATGCTATTTCATTTAACTTCTTCACAAACTTACAAACTTGAATATTTGTGTAATTCCCTTATCTTTAAAGCCCCACTGTACTACTTGTAGCTACTTGCTCCCTCTATATAGAAACAATGCCTAATTGGGGACCATTGGTCCCCCATAATCCTCTTTTTCTTATGTTAATTGAGAGCTGAGTTGATGAGATAACCACCTGTCGGTGACCAGCAGGGTGGTCTAATCCCTCCTAGCCAAACTAGTACAGACGACCTTTAAAAGACAGATTATTTGATCCAGCATACCTGAACTTTCTGTCCGTCAGCTTGTTGTATAGTGATGATCGTTTGGCAGGAGAAACCAGCCTTATCAACGAAGAGCTGAATGTTCATAGGGTCTGGAGCGGGCGTACCGGGTATCACGTCAAGGAAGTAGGTTTTCTGAAAAAACAAAATCGAAATCGATGTTCAATTCCTTAAAGTTTATTCATTTCCATAAAAATCACATTACGAGAACACATACATTTGCAAAAGGTACCGGTACTGTAAATAACATGCAAAATCTTTCACTGGAATATACATAAGTACATTAAAATATTGAACAATCATGGAAAAAGGGAAGTTATAAAAACCCAAATAAATGAGTTTGTTGAGATATCTCCCCCAAAATAATTCAACAAAATGTGATGAACATATTAAAGTTTTGAAATTTCATAAATGTACTTTGCCTCAAAGAAAACTGGTATAATGGACTATCAAATCATTAGCTTGGTAATTCATAAATTTCTGAATTCTCTCATTCTCTAGACTCAACATGAATGTAAGGAAACAGCTGATTTCTGTATTCAATGGGAGAATATAAGACATATAAGAAATTTGTCATAACTGACTACATTCTCATTGGCTGCAGCTAATAACAATAACTTTTTACAAAATTTACAAAAATTATTATCAATGACTTAATTAGTGATTTGTCATTACAAAATCAGTATCACAGGTATTGAATTCCGAGGACTTTCCTGCGACAAATTCATTTCAATGTGCATTGTTCAACTTAAATAGGATCTGATTTAGAGCCTAGAGGGTCAGTATCTTTGTTAACTGGAATTAGAACTTTGGACAGTGATTCAAATGGTCTACAATGAAATACAGATTGTTGGTTTGTTGAAACCTTCATATGGGGTTACATGTATTTGCTTACCATGTTCACTTGAATGTCCTTGTACACAGACTTGACAAACTGCAGGAAGTGTTGCACCTGTAAACAAAAATATTAAAAAAATAAATGAATAACAGGTAGTTATAAGAAATTTGACAGGTTATATAATTTACCCTTTCTTGTCATAATCTAAAATATGATAAAATTTCATAAGCAATTCTTCCTGTCCCCTCCTCCTCTTTTGTTGTCATTTTCCTTCCTCTCCTCCTCCTCCTTCTTCCCCCCCCCCCCCCCCCCTCTCTCTCTCTCTCTCTCTCTCTCTCTCTCTCTCTCTCTCTCTTTTCCTCCTCCTCCTCCTCCTCCTCCTCCTCATCCTCCTCATCCTCCTCATCCTCCTCCTCTCTCCTCCTCCTCCTCCTCCTCCTCCTCATCCTCCTCCTCTCTCCTCCTCTCTCCTCCTCCTCCTCCTCCTCCTCATCCTCCTCATCCTCCTCATCCTCCTCCTCTCTCCTCTCTCCTCCTCCTCCTTCTCATCTCCTCCTCCTCCTCCTTCCCCTTTCTCATCTCCTTCTCATCTCCTTCTCATCTCCTTCTCATCTCCTTCTCATCTCCTTCTCATCTCCTTCTTCTCTTCTTTATTCCATCTTCTTCTTCTCCCCCTTTCTCATTTCCTTTTTTGTTTCTTCTTCTCCTCCTCCTCCTTCACTTTGTTGCTATTACTCCTTCGCCTTTCTCTTTTTTCTTCACTGATCACTTTTCACCTATCACTCACCTCTGGTTGCATGGTTGGTCTGTAGTACTTGTGAAGCTCAATGATGATCTTAAGACAAACCAAGACGTTCTCTTCATTCTCTGCTTCAAGGAGGATGAACATCAACTCAAGGATCTGCCTCACAAACGTTCTCAGCTGTTCATTGGTTGGCATACGATGTAGCAACTCCAGCAAAAGTTTTCGCAGGTGCTATCAAAATAAAATTAAATAGTTCTTTTCTTAGCAATCACACCACATATAGCTCTTGATAAGGCATAACAAAAAAAGATGTTGTACGGCCCGTTGCGACTGACCCAAAAAATCTTGAAATCTACGGTCGGCTTTTTAAAACATTTTTTTTTTAACCGTTTTTTTAGAGAAGAAAATATGTATTAAAGCAAAAAACTTAGAAAAATATCAGCCCAAAGAGACAGAAAAAAATTCAGACTGACCGACCCATGATTTAGCACCTTAAGGGCAATATAACATCTTTTTTTTAAGGCCTGAATTATTACAACCATGATATGAAAATGAGCAAATACATATTCTACCTACTAAAGAGAAATTTAGAAGATGATAAATTCATCTGTTTAGGTACAGAAATAATATTGAATCAACAATGGTTGAAACATTGTACGATGAAAACTAATCATTTCTTACAGTTTGTCTTTACAGGCTTACATTCAGAACGTTTGGTTCCAAACTACAACGTTGCTATGAACCATAATAATGTACTGTAGGCAAATTCTCATTCTCTTCTCTTTCTTTTTTCTCTTTAAATTGAGAATATTTCAACCCCTTTACCTGAAAGATCTTTTGACTAGAATACAGACCCCAGTGTAAACAAGCAAGTTATAACTGCACAGTTTCCTTCTATCTTGATTACTACAATTAAAATATCAGTCAAATTTCAAATACACATACCTGGAGAGGGGACTCAGCAATAAATGGAGGTTTCTCATCTTTAAGAACTCTGGATAGCCATTTCTATCTTCCGAACCTTAGATCAAATATTACACTATTAACCTAACCATTGATATAACCCTAAATCTAACCTACAGTGTAAATATTTTGACAAGACACAGCCCAGAGCAAATGTTTGGGTCATTGAATAGCACGATGGATATGTAGGGACATACCTGTAGAGGCGACTCAGCAATGAATTGAGGTTTTTCATCTTTAAGAACTTTCAAGAAGTGTGGAATAGCCGTCTCTAGGAAGCTATGGTATTGCGATGACGAGATGATAACCTGAAGAAAAAAGAAAAAAATTAATAATTCATCAAACTTTAAACTGCAAAAACAATACTATAGAAAAGTGGAATAAGAAAGACTTTCAATTCAATTCAATTTCAATTCAATACAAATGACCATTTATTTTCCTCGTATCGTAATAATACAATAGAAAAAAAATATAAATTCAATGATTTTATAAAATTTTGTGTACCGGTAGTTAGATAACAACCATCACGTAATACAAAATACACATGATTAGACGATCAATGAAACTGTACTGGCACCCTTCCCGTATAATCAGTTATCCATGATACAATTAGCGAAATACAGAGGACAATGATAATTGTCTGAAAGAATACAACACCGCAAATACGTACCTCAAAATTTTCACTGATCTCCTGTGCAGCTTTCAACCTGGTTTCATCAGCTAATTTGAAGAAGAAAAAAATAGTCCATCAAGAAATTAGAACCCTTCAAAACACCTCATCAAAAGAAGAAAAAGATTGTGGTCATTAAAGGCATCTTTTAACAATGTTAAATCTGAGATGCATCACCCTACGTGTTACCACTTACCAGTGTCTGTGATATGGTGTAATATTGAAGCCCTAAACAAATTGCGCTTCAAAATGATCATGAAGTGCCTCAAAAAAGTAAACATCTATGAGTGACCGATTTTACCATACTAATTTTCCCCATTAGACTGTAGTGTTATAAAAACCGTTAAGAAAACAGAAAATTGATAATCAGACAGGCTTGTAAAAGTCATGGGGTTCCTGACTGACCTAAAAGTTCATAATTATCATTCCAGCATGAGCTAGATCCAGGATTTCATTTCAAAATCTGAGACAAAGCTACCCAATCCCTTTAATCACTTGCAGTCAGATCTTTTCAGCTATAAGAACATGCCAAGTATTCATAAAGAACTCCATCGGTCTTCACCAAGATATCAAAACTTGATTGTTCCTATAAGGAAAATAATTAAAGAACAATCAAGTCTTAATATCATGGCTAAATGACCATGGAGATACTTCATCACTTGGTTCTCCTCGCATGTGTGTCATCATTCTGCAATTTTTTACATTAGCTAGAAAACAGAAGAAAATTTCAACTTTAAAGAGAAGGTTGAGTTCTGGGAAGAGGTAAAAAATAATTTGTGAGCATTATCATTGTTATTATGCAAGGGTGGAAGAACATCAGATTAAACATGTTCCCTGAAAAGCATAGCTCTTCAAGTGCCTTCATATTCTAAATATGACATGAAACATCGTAAAAATCTGGCTAGGATTTTTTCTTCATGTGTTTGTGTAGTCCCATATACATTATTCTGTGTACAGTGCTTGTAACTTTGCCAAGATTTGGCCAAATTTCTTATCATTTTGATGATTCCAGAACCTTGCAATACACACAAATACTTATATACTAGATGATCAACCTTTTCTGATAGATTCCACACCGTTTCTTTCACAATGCAATCACATGACCAGAACTCAACTTTATCTTTACGATGGACAGATTTCCATCATTTATCATCTTTGTAAACTTACAGCTATCAAAAAGTCTTGAGCTGTGGTATGGGAGTTGTGTTTTGAGAGAAAAGTGCTATTATTTATTCTAGATTGTTTATCCTGCAGTAGATTGATTAATTGAACTAGTGAAATAAAACCAAATGCACACATAACTGGGCATCATCTTCGATAAAAACCACGACTCCCATTCGCAAATAGTAACCTTTGCGCACATGGTTTCGGGCCTACTTACCCAGATTTCCTTATCTTTCTATGCTCTTTACGCAGCCACAATACTTTTTCTTCCAGTCATGTCATTTATTTGTAATCTTGAACATTCAGTGTAACTTTTGTTAGATTCTGTCAGAATTTATTTTCTATATTTACCAGAAGTCAAGTTTATCTTTGAGCATCCAGACACACAATTCACCCCCTGCCAAATATTAGAGGAAACAACTTACAGTGACATAGATCAAGACAGGTTTTAAAGGCAGGCGTTACTACTTCAGCCAGAAGGGATTAGACCACCGAGCGAGCCAGCGAGGTCACTGTGACAGGTGGCTATCTCATTAACTCAGCTCTCATTTAACAATAGAAAATGAGGATCATGGGGGACCAACAGGCATCGATTGGGGAAGTTTTCTATATAGAGGGAGCAAGTAGCTACAAGTGGGACAGTGTGCCTTTAATGAAGACGGGATAAGAGGAATACTTACATGATCTTGAGTCTGCAAGGACAGTGACATTGTTGCGATATTTATTCATTACTGAGGTTGGGTCTGATGATCCTGTAGGCACTGGCATTCTTCTTCATCTGATCTCTTTTAACATCATGGACCTACAAACAAACATAATCATACGTCATAATTTAAGACTTTTTGAAAAAAACATTTAATCAGAATAACACATTTCAAATTTCAAGCCTCACCAATCTTTCTAAATTCTGATCAAAAGATACAGCTCCCCAAAATCTAGACAGCAATAACCATCTGATTTGGGTCATTTCTTTAATAAAACTGACATTTGTTGTCATTCCCCAATACAGATGGCAACCCAGAGATCTCGTACCGTGCGGGTAAATTAGAGCCACAGCGGAACAGCTTTTCGTTTCCGACATTTCTCCCCCGATTTTCTTTATTTAGATCTAATTTTCTGATTTCTAAATCAGATGTAAATTAGGTCGGTATGTCATTTGTCCTAATTACAGTTTTCAAAATTTGATAACTTAATATTAAATAAATAATTTACGGACTTACTTATATGAATTATCCAATTTGTACCTCAGAACCGCGAAGCAGTACGTTCATGCATTCAAAATATTACCCGGCGGCCGATATATTTCCGGGTCCACCTACCAAAACATAGCCAATGGCCAATCAGAGCACTCGTTTCGTGGGAGTTCGTTGGTCAAGCCGGGCCGACTCGTATGTAGCTACGGTAGCTATTGGACGTTCGAAAAGAAAAAATTAATATTCATCAACTAAAACCAAGACGGATAATGTTGACGACGAGACTTTCTCGGATTAATCATTAATTTAGGATCTAAATGAGCAAGCTATCGTAAGTCAAATAAGCTATTTATATGTTATTTTTAATTAGACTCTAATTATTGTCATATTGCAGCATGTGTGAGGATGTAAAGAGTGAAAATCTCGTAGCATATCTCATTCATCGCGGTCCTGCCGAACCGAACCATTGGTTCCGTACAGTCCCGATAGGACAATCTTCAGTCTCTATAATCGGAGGTCTAGTGGTAGGGTGTCTGATCGCGTACCCAATGTTGTGTGCTAAAACCCTTCCCATAGAGATTGTACGCTTCCCTATGTGGTCTACGTGCATTGTGCGACCATCCAAAATTGGTCAATGATTTTATGAAAAAATTTGAAATTCAAACCTTTATAACAAATGATCCTGAAGGTGAAACTCAATAAATGAGGTGTCATATGAAAGAGCAGGTTTTTCTCCATATTCCCCATCGGGGGCCACCCCCAGAATTCTAAAAATATCTTGGTCAAAACAGCGATTGAAATGTTGTTTGCATCCTAGCTCCAAAATTTGCCACTTTCCTGAGCTGCCGCCCGGCGGCTTAAGCAGGGCTAGACGTAAGGATAATATCCAGATGCTTTTTTTTTCGCTAGCCCCAAGGGATCATTTGTTATAACAGTTTGAAAATACCCTTCCCACATTTTTGGAATCAGCTAATTAGGGAGGCGTGAGCTCCGCTCAGTCCAAACCATGGTTACATCGCGTAACATGTGCGCTTATAGTGAATGAAAGTATGGGTGGCCGTTCCCGCCATAGAAACCGGAAGTGAATACACGTTGTAGTCAATGGCAATATCGCGGAGAGTTGTCTCCGCGATATTGCCATTGACTACAACGTGTATTCACTTCCGGGTTCTATGGCGGGAACAGCCACCCATACTAGTCAATGGCACATATCGCGGAGACAGCGTGGCTCAAGCTTGCAAGTCGCGCATTGGCTGAGCAACTTGCGTACGATATGCATACGCTTGCATATCGCGCGATACAGCTGTTTGGCTAAATTTAGCAAAACAACATAACTCTGCGTGTACGTCTTTTTCGTCGATTCTGAGCAAAATGCTATGAATATTTCAGCGTTTTGAAGGGGCTGTATCTTTTGATAGAAACATCGGCGAGACTTGAAATTTGAAATGTATTATTCTGATTACATTTTTAATTCAAATATCAAACAAAAATGGTGAAAAACGATCCCAAATTGAAAATTGAAAAATCGTTCAGACACCCTACTAGAACGATTTTTCAATTTTCAATTTGGGATCGTTTTTCACCATTTTTGTTTGATATTTGAATCAAAAATGATATCAGAATAATATATTTCAAATTTCAAGTCTCACCGATGTTTCTATCAAAAGTAACAGCCCCTCCAAAACGCTGGTATATTCATATCATTTTGGTCAAAATCGACGAAAAAGACGTCCACGCAGAGTGATGTTGTTTTGCTAAATTTAGCCAAACAGCTGTATCGCGCGATATGCTAGCGTATGCATATCGTACGCATGCTGCTAAGCCAATCCGCGACTTGCAGCTTGAGCTACGCTGTCTCCGCGACATGTGCCATTGACTAGTATGGTTGGCGTTCGTCGCACAAAAAACCCGGAAGTGAATGCACGTTATAGTCAATGGCAATATCGCGGAGATGTCTCCGCGATATTGCCATTGACTATAACGTGTATTCACTTCCGGGTTCTATGGCGGGAACGGCCACCCATACTTTCATTCACTATAAGCGCACATGTTACGCGATGTAACCATGGTTTGGACTGAGCGGAGCTCACGCCTCCCTAATTAGCTGATTCCAAAAATGTGGGAAGGGTATTTTCAAACTGTTATAACAAATGATCCCTTGGGGCTAGCGAAAAAAAAAGCATCTGGATATTATCCTTACGTCTAGCCCTGCTTAAGCCGCGGGGCGGCAGCTCAGGAAAGTGGCAAATTTTGGAGCTAGGATGCAAACAACATTTCAATCGCTGTTTTGACCAAGATATTTTTAGAATTCTGGGGGTGGCCCCCGATGGGGAATATGGAGAAAAACCTGCTCTTTCATATGACACCTCATTTATTGAGTTTCACCTTCAGGATCATTTGTTATAAAGGTTTGAATTTCAAATTTTTTCATAAAATCATTGACCAATTTTGGATGGTCGCGCAATGCACGTAGACCACATAGGGAAGCGTACAATCTCTATGGGAAGGGTTTTAGCACACAACATTGGGTGCGCGATCAGACACCCTACTACTAGTGGAGCCAGACGTAGTCTCAGTGGAACAACCGAAGATTAGAGAGACTGAAGTTTTCGGTCTACCCAAAATCTAGCATTCTAGGCACTATTCATCCAATTTTTGTCAGAATCGACGAAAAAGACGTACACGCAGAATTATTTTGTTTTTCTAAACAGCTGCATCGCGCGATATGCAAGCGTTACGTTGACGCGTGCAAGCGTTGCTTAGCTGCAGCTGCAGCGCGACTTGAGCGCGATCGCAAGCTCCACCTCTTTTCAGTCTTTTGCCTTCATTGTGCATCCGTATGCGGGTCCGTTCCCCGAATAGATCTACACACACACAAGCGAAAATCATGTGTGATCCCTTGGGGTTACCAAAAAAATACGCACATAGGCCTAGATATATTCCTTACGACTGGGACTACATATCGCGCTTGGCATCATTTCTAAAAAGTGGCAAACCTCAGAGGTACGATGGAAACAATGTTTAAATCCCTGTTTTGACCAAGATATTTTTTAAATTCCGAGATGACGCCCTTTTAGAAATACAGAGAAAAACTTGCTATTTCATATGACACCTCGTTTATTGAATATTACCTTCAGGATCACAAGCAATAAAGGTTTGAAACTCCATTTGGTAATAAAAACATTGACCAATTTTGCATGATCGCGCAACGCACGTAGACTGCATGCATAGGGGTGCGTGCAATCTCTATGGGAAGTATTTTAGCACACAAAATCGAGTGCGCGTTTACTCATGACATTAGCTTAAATTTTATTAAAATAAAGTAAGAGATTTAAGTATCTGAATTTGATTCTTACCAATCTTTGAACATTGAAAGATTTCAGCTGTCAATTATATTGCTTCACATCGCTTTTAATTTGGCGTTCTGAGCTGAGATTCTAATTCACCGACAACAAAATTAACCGTGCCGCCAGATCAACTGTGTAGATCGAGGAATGCAATGTACAGCGCGCGTATAGAGCAGCATGCACTCGACCTATACACACAGAAAGTGTACGTTAAAATAGCTAGTCAAATATGACGATTGTACCAGACTCTTATGAAAATATCGTAAAGGAAAGATAGTAACAGAAACGAAAAATAAACAAAGTAACGAAAGTTAATTTTTGCATGAAATTAAAAATTAAATTTACGAAAAATAAAATCGTTTTTATAATTGGGAAAAGTACATTAATCAATCTCTCTGTTGTTGTCCCTCCGCTTTTCGGAGATCAGCGAGTATATCGCATTCGAAGTACTAGTAGGCTGCTGTAAATATGTTATAAAATCCTTAGTTGGAGGGTATGGAGTGCAGGCGATGGGCATGAATTTTGTCTTGTAAGGTAAAAAAAAAAAAAATAATAATAAATTTTAAAAAATTTAAAAAATTAAAACAAATGGTATATGGTCCTATATCATGCATAGAGTAATAAATTTAAAAAAGCAAAATACATCTCGCTGCTCTATGCATGGGGCCTATAGACTAGTGCTCCATTCATCGATTTGTTATTGATCTAGGTCCGTTACCATGGGCGATACCAGGGGGATGGGGGATATACTGCCCCCCCCCCCCCAATCCCCCCCAAAAAAAAATTCAGGTGGGGGAGGGGGTGGCCTGTACAACCTTCCCCCCTCCCCCAATAATTCACCATCAAAAAAAAAATGAAGAGAAAAATTAATGATGAGGGCCCGATGAGAGTAGTGAGGTAATACAAAGTTTTGGGAAATTTTGAAAAATGGCTGGATAGTGATTCTTTACAATTTTTGATATATTTGGATGCCCCTCTGGATGTATTATAAGCACTAGAAAATTTAACCCCTAAAACACTTTTGCTTTCGAGAAAAATTAGATATACAAATTTACCGGTGCTCCTAAATTTTTATCAATTTCAAATAGCGCCTATACGGCAATACAATGGCAGCTGCGACCATGTCAGAATATGTAGTTGTGATATAATAATTTCCAAACGGGAATAGCCAATCGGTCGATTTTAGTCAAGAAACATCGTTTTATAGCTAAATCAGTATCTTGACCTTGAAAGATATACAACATAAAGAGTTTATTATTCACAATTTCATTACCGTACTTTAGACTCGATTTCGACCGCGACAACGATCACTGAATATTGTAGGATCGCATTGCTCCCAATATGTTCATTTGAACCAAATTCATGACCCCATACCAAAACTTTGTATTACCTTTAAGGCTCGCAAGATGACCATACACATTTTGCTATTTAATTTAATAATACAAATAGAAAACGAAATAAATGAGACAACCGTATGTGAGACAAGATTAAATTGAATTCTCGCTCATACGGCTTCATCAGGAATTGATGGATTTATTCAATTTATTCAATCAACAGCATCATAGAAATGCAGTGCGCAAAATGCAAATCCAGCAGCGTTAAAAAGCAACGAGCTAAATGTTAAACGCGAATTAAGCGCGAAAGTGCAAAAAAGAAGTAGAGAGTATGAGAGAGAGATACTGAGAGACAGAGAGAATAATAACCCAGGTAGCAAGCCCATGTGGGACCCACATGGGTCCCATATTCTCTGAAACATGGGCCCCATATGGGCATTATTGCCAAGAAAAAATTATCAACCAATTCCTCAATATAAAGAACTCTTAAAGGTAAAGGAAAGCATCTGAGCCAGAATATCACGACTTTTGGCCAGTTCAATCTGAAGTGATTTTTAAAGCCATGTGGGGTTGATGATGCATTTTTTTTCATAATGCAAGTAAAGTTACAAAATATTGTAAAGACGGTCAGTTTGTCCAAATGGCAGCATGTAGGAGACGAAACTTTCAGTTTGTTCCCTGATTCATACTCCATATCTATTTTGTTTTATTGATTTCATCCATTATTTTCTTTGTTTATTTATATCTCTACATGTAAAACATTTGAAGAACTATTTTCCGAAAGGAGCAAAATCTTTTGATAGCAAATGGAGATAATGATATACATTTACCTCTATTTACCTTGAACAAAATTATTAACCTAAAATACGAGAGAAATTATGAACACATGCATCTTTTAATAACAATTTTCCATAGACACCTGAGCAAAATCCCAACAAAATTGGGTAAACAAATTAGATTTCTTTCTTAACTTACGCACATGGATCTAGTGCCTCTTGAAAATGAGCTCTTTGTAATGTACATAAACAAGCAATACAACAGAATACTCGAGTTCGATATTTTGGAGAAAGATTATTATGTCACAACTTATTTTTGTTTTATTGAAAAGCTGATGTAGGCCTATGTATTGTATTCAAACGTAACAGGCATAAGATAGTTATAAGGTGTTTTTGAAGATTAGAATGTTATTAAGTTTTAAGTTTTGTTTATAACACCCACCTTTCCAATAATAATGCACCTTCTCAGACTGGCTGTAGTTTTTGAGGAAAAAAATAGTGCTCTGGCCAGGGCCTTATGGGAATATTATGCTTATATTTTAGAGCGTATCTGGTATGATAAGAGGTGTCGTAGAGGTGTCGTGGACGAGTGGATATGTCACCGGACCGTGGATCACAAGCTAATGCGCTTAGATTAGCAAGTGTGCGCTTGTAAAAATGACGCCTGGCTGGAATGCTCCCCAGGGAGTGGAGAATGTGCATACATTGTGTGCGGGTAAGCCTTGAATCCGATGACCGGGGTAATAGTATATATATATCTGTAAGGCGCTTTGATAGGGCCCTCCTGAAAAAGCGCCATATCAGAAATAGTTATTATTATTATTATTATTATTATAAGTATATCTGGGTGAAGAAGTTTGTTGTTTGGTAGTTGGAACGTAAGCTTTATATTATGTTTTTAAGAAACAGACAGTTTCCAGGAGTGGAAATTTTCTGTCATTTTGAGAACCAAATTTTGCATGAGTGATATTCTGTTTTATTGAATTGGGTTTAATTAAAGAAGGGGTAAGAGGACACTTTTTTTTTTTTTTTTTTTTTGGTCTCAAAAAATCGCAACGACTCAGCCATGGGCATGATTTTTTTTTTTTTTTTTTTTTTTTTTAATAATAAAAAAAAAAAACACCAAAGGGGGTTTTAGGGGGGGTTCCTAAAAAATACACACATAAAAATGCCAAGGGGGGGGGGTTTAACCCCCCCCCCCTGCGTACGCGCCTGTGATGCACATTTCACGCATGAGTGATTAAAAACAATTTGAATAGAGGAAATCAAAAATTCGTTTGGCGGGCGGTATCAAAGTACAAAGAGTAATTTTCAAAGGTAAAAACGGGGCACTTTTTACACCCTCAAAAAGAGGCAGTCCTTGCAAAGATGGAAAAAGTCAGTCATGAGAATAGGAAATGGGCATTTGTAGAAGGAAAATGGGCCCCATCAGATTTGGATAGGGGCATTTATAAGAGGTGAAAAGGGGCATTTATGAAAAGTGGATACGTCCATTATTAGAAAGGAAAAGGGGCACGTATCATTGTTAAAAGGGAAAGTATCATAGGTGAAAAGAGGCACTTATCGCACCTGAAAAGGGGGAATTATCTGAATCGAATAGGAGTAACTTCTCGTACCTGAAAATTGGGCACTTTCATATTATTAGGACAAGGGGCATATGTGAAAATATAAGGTGTGCTTATCCGAGATAAAATGGGGATAGTTATTAAAAGGGGAAGGGGCACTTCTTACAAAGGAAAAGGGGAACTTGTCAAAGTAAAAGAGGCACCTCTCAGATATCATAGGGCAATTATCAAAGGTGAAGGGGGCACTTATCAAAAGTGAAAAGGGGCACTTACTAGAGATTAAAAAGGGGAAGGGTAACTTTTACAAATTAATAGGGGCACTTGTCAAAGTAAAAGGGGCACTTTTTTGGCCCTCGAAATTTAAAAAATTGCAACCCCCCCTTGGCCGGGTACCAGGGGAGGGGGGCCATCCCCCCCCCCCAAAAAAAAAGGTAAAAATCACGTGTTTTTACACGTTTTTTTTTCCCAGGGGTGGGGGCTGGGCCCCCCGCCCCCTGGATCCACCACTGATAATAATTCAAACAATATAATGTTTGTTTAAAATAATGCTTGCATTTCTATTGCGTAGCAACACACAAAGTTGACAAAACTGAGACTTATAACTCCGTTTCGTTAACGATCAGCCATGCACAAAGCAGATTAAAGACTTGATGCATGGCTGATCGTCAACGAAATGGAGTTAAGTCTTTTATCAACTATATTTGTTGCTACGCCAGGCAGCCAGTGAAAACGTACTCCTTCAATCAAATTATGGAAATGCAAGCATTACTTTAAACAAACAGAACTTTGTTATTTCTGGTTCTTTTTTCCTGATTGAGGGATCCCCCTGGATCCGCTACTGCCCCCCCCCCCTGCGTACGCCCCTGTCCACAACCACAACCACTGTTGGTGGGGGAAATATATCGACAAAGAATTGGCATAGATTAGTAATGGTCAAAGCCTCATCACATTTTCATTTTGATGGATTTACTTTTTTCTCCGTAATTATTATTTGACGATACCATAGATTCGGGTGGCATTCCTTCGGATCCATTTTGCGAATTCTGGAGTCTCACCGTCATTATATCAAAGGTATGTAGGTCTATGTTTTGAAATACAATAATTGCTTTCACTTACTATTATAAATCAGGTTTAACTCATAAGATTTTAAGGATTGGGTTTTAACTGGGTTTTAAATTTGATTAATGTCGACGTCTGCGACACCCGTACCCATTCACATCGTGTATAAACTATAAACTAAACGGACTAGCTCCGCAGCTCGCAGCTCCGCGGGCGAAGGTCGAAGAACGCACCCAGTGCTCAGGCCAGAAGCACACGGCAGGGACAGCGGAGCTGAGCCGATGTCCGATATGATTATCATTATGGGCACCAGCAGGATTATCATGTTTAAAACCGATTAATGTTGTTATCGTACTTGTAAGGCTAAGCTCCTAACGTGAATAAATGGGATTGTAAAACAGTCTAGATCTAGACCCTAGATCAAATAAATGCCTTTAAACTAGTAAATCTCCTTCGTCCTTGTTACCATGGAAACAATGTTTCAATCGCTGTTTTGAGCAACATATTTTTAGAATTTTTTTGGGGGGCCCCCTATGGGGAATATGGAGAAAAACCTGCTCTTTCATATGACACCCCACTTCAGGATCACGAGCAATATTGGTTTGAATCTCATTTTGGTAATAAAAACATCAACCAATTTAGCATGAGCGCGCAATGCACATGGACTGCATATCTCTATGGGAAGGATTTTAGCACACAAAACTGAGTGTGCGATCAGACACCCTACTAGATCTAGCATTGATTTAGCAAGCCCCTCGCTTTCATGATTTTGCCCAACATAGCGTCACAGGTATTTGATATTAGACATACAGCACTACTCCTTTATTTAAAGAAAACGGCGCCATGCGCTGCAATGTATGACACAGTGACTATTATATCTGCCTGTCAAGTTGACTTGTAGCATTATTATTAATCAACTGTGGATGCACATGCAACATGGAAGTTGAATATCAGTTGTTTCAAATGTAAACAAATATCACAAGGTCTAAACGTTGTATTTCCATTGATTTTTATTAACAGCCTTTTTTTAACAGCCTTTCCCAATCATCAGGGGGGCGTTTCACAAAACTTGTCATCGGTGACAATTGACAGTTTTTGTTATAAGCTACTGAAATCCTTGCTTCTGATTGGTTATCAACAGATTTGTCACTGACTCGCTGGCTTTGTGAAACAGGTCCCTGGTCATCGTATGAGAATACACCATGAGTTCAACCGTTCTTGATGCATTGTGGGAGGACAGGGATGTACGTTTTGACATCAATCCCTCGTAAGTCACTTTATTAAAAATGGAAGCAGGCTATAGCTCTTCCAATTAAGTACACTCTGAATTGGAAAATAACATTTCGGATTCTCTCTGTTGTTTTCAGTGCGTTAATAGAAGCCTTGACTTAAATGCAGAATATCCCACCAAGCATCAGATTCAGTACAATGTATTAATGGCTTTGGTCAGGGTTAGGATTAGGGTAAAGGCCAGAGTTATACTAAAGGATCAAGTTTAGGATCAGAGTTAGATTGGTTAGGATTAAGGTCATGGTTAGGCCTTCGGTTTAAGGTTACTTGTGTGGTGGGTTCGTCTACAGATGTTCCAAAGAATATTGCTTCAAGCCTCTCTTTAGAAAAAATGTATCAATAATAAAATCAAACGTGGGCTATTCAATGTTCACTTTTTCACCTTTCACTTTTTTCACCTTCACATACTGGTAATCCTTTTCAAACTGTTTCAATTCCTATGATAACATTTACAAGAAGTAAAATGCTAGAGTATATGTGGAGAATAGAAGAGAAGAGCATATATTTTCATTTTTTATGTGTAGGTAAATATGAGCAGCATCATTGGTAAACATGTAAATAGTAATGTTCTATTTTTTTTCTCCATATTTCAGCCAAATGAACATGCGTCCAGGAGAAAGCATTATAGATAAACTGGATTCTATAGAAGACACAAAGGGAAACAATGGAGATAGAGGTAACATGGTTCATTTGATACTGTTCAGCAGGAAACTCCGCTCAAAAATTGAAGCCTTGAACAACGTATCTTAGAAATACAACTGTTTTTCTTCCTTTAACTTAAACAGATACCCTCAATTTCATTGTGAAGTAATTGTCATGAAATATATATAATTAAGACCCAACTTTACACTGAAAGAATCATTATATGTCAAATTTGATAGTATATTCATGAAAAATTGTTCTGAAAATTGTTGGCACAGAAGGGGGTTTACGGTATATCTTTCAGCTTGTCTCTCAAGACAGCATTTGAAAGTGGTTCTAGAATATTGTTTAAACTTTACTTTTGTTTTGTTTTGAACAATGAAATTGTCATGTACATGTAGCTCAATAACACAATGTCATACGATTCTTCTAAGTGAAGCTTTTCTTAAGAGGCATAATGACATAAGTACGTTTTGAATAATATGAGTAATTTCTATTTCTTCTTGTTTTTGTTTGTTCTTTTAGGGCGTTTGCTGGTTACAAATCTGAGAGTAATATGGCATTCCACATCTCTACCCAGAGTAAATCTCTGTGAGTAATATAAGGCTTTTGTCTTTCTCTTCATTGAATCTTTTACATATGAATGTTTATTTCTTTCATGTTTTAAACCTGATACACCAGTATAGAACTTTGAAAGAAAAAACAAAATAGATTTTAACAATTAAGTGAAAAAGGGGGCAAGTGATGCTAAATCAAGACCACAAATAATTTCTTTCATAGCTTTCTTGTCACTTTTTGCTTAATTTCTTGAGAGCTTATTCAGTGCTGTTTTAATTTGAAATGTATAGGTCATTATTAAATAAGCTACAAAAACCAATTTTGTTCATAATCCACATACATGTTCAGGTGTTTGGTTACAGTACTGTATGAAAGTAAACTACAAAATAGTGGTATACCTTTTCAGAAATATTTCATGCTATTGTTTTTGTTTTTGTTTTAAAGTTAAATCATGTATTTTTAGGGAGCTTTGAAATCTCACCTTTCTCAATGTGAAAGAAGTTAAATAGAGAAAGAAAAGTTCGGAAGGGGAAGGAGGCGATGGAAAAAGAATTTTTTTTTCTTCCAAACTTCAAATCTAATCTCTCATTTACTTTCAATTCTATTGCAGCTGTGGGTCTGAATTGTATCATTAACATCACAGTGAGAACTGCCAACTCAGTGAGTATTATTAGCCAGTATTCATTAAAGTATACCTAAGTTTAGTCCTGGTTTTAATCCTGAATAAGTGTGTAGAATCAACCTATGGATTTATGGAGTGTCAAGTATTAACCGTTTCATCGTGAAATCAAGTTCTTTTAATTTCTTCACTCAGTTAATAACAACAAATATAATAAAAGATATATTGTAACAAATTACATTTATTTGTATGGCACTAGTTTAAGAGGTAGACAATTGGCACTCCCATTGACTAAATGAAGTAGGGTAAATCGTGTCTGCTTATTTGAATATATAGACTGAAATAATAATAGCCATTATCCATATACAATATTAATAAAAAAGCAAGTATCTTATACAAGCCTTGTAGAATGGTTAAGATCAAAAACATTTAATTTGATTGCAATATAATGAGGCTATGATGTTTTAAACATAATTTTTGCTTGTTGTATCATGGTTAGCAAATTGCCTGTTCAAACCAAATGTTTGCTGGGAGGTCAGATCTAGTTTTCCTGTGAAAGTAGTTTTATTATATACATGTTAAACAAAAATACAGGAGTACGATGCCTATTTACTTTCAATCTTGTAACTGTTCAGAAATTGAGAGGACCCACAGAAGCATTATACCTCCTCACAAAGTGCAACAACACAAGATTTGAGTTCATCTTTACTAATCTAGTGCCTGGTTCACCAAGACTATTCACTACAGTCATATCCGTCCATAGGTAAATCCTTGTTATCTTTCATGTAAAATTAAATATTGCCAATGATGAATATTATCATTATCTCTTGTACAGGATCTGTTACATTAGAAGATCTGGGATAACAACATTATTAGTTACGGTACTGGGTATTATGAAGAAAAAACATACCAACTCCTGTCATTCATGATAAGAAAAAGGTCAATGTTTAGGTAGAAACAAAATTAACATGTTTTACCCTTCTGATTTGAAATCAATCACAATTTATCCATGGCAATGATTCTAGGAAGGATATTTAGAATTGAAACTGAAATAAAGTTATGACCAGTCCTATGGAAGGACTGTTTTAAGGTGGGTGCATTCAAAGGTGTTGAAGAACTGCCCTAGATTATTGACTTAGATGTAATCTATACATGTATGGAACATGGAAAGTAACCTTTCCTCTGTCAATAATCATTGTGAACTTTGATTTTGTTAAAATATATATATATATATATATATATATATACAGGGTCAGTGCTAGGATTACATTGGTTTTTAAGTAATGGGGTTTAGGATGTATAATAGTGTTTGGTAGGGGATTTAACTTGTAGTTAGAAGTTTGGTTCATGTGGGAATTTAACTGCAGAGCAATTGTAGCCAAATCATGTGTCGTAGAGCCATGTGTGAAGGATTCATCCGACTCATATGGTTTATTGTTGGTGATTACTATTTTCTCTCTTATACAGAGCTTATGAGACCTCTAAGCTGTATCGCGATGTGAAGCTACGAGGGGCTATCATCAGCAACAAGTCATTGAGAATGCTACCGTTGGAACAGGTCTATGACAAGGTGGGAGGCGTCTGGAACCTCTCTAGTGACCAGGTAAGTTTGTTTGTTTGTTATTTACCCAACTGCTAAGAAAGCATTGTACGCTTGTAAGTAAGCAACCAGGGGACTGATTTCTTTAAAAGTAATACAAAGTTTTGGGAAATTTTGAAAATTGGGTGGATAGTGATTCTTTACAATTTTGATATATTTGAATGCCTCTATGGATGTATTAAATGCACTAAAATTTAGCCCCAAAAACCTTTTTGCTTTCGAGAAAAATTTAATATACAAATTTGCCGGTAAATTCTGATAAATTTCAAATAGCGCCTTTGCGACCGACCCATTTTTTGGCACCTAAAGGGCAATACAACATTTTTTTTAGGCCTAAGATACAGGACCCAATAACCTTTGCCTTTGTGCTTATACAAATGTTCTACTTGTTAAGTCTTCTTCTGAATGTATTCTGTTGTTCGTTGTAACATTTTACAGGGCAACCTTGGTACTTTCTACATCACTAACGTAAGACTCGTCTGGCATGCAGTCATGAATGAAGCCTTCAATGTTAGTGTTCCATACCTTCAGATGGTGAGTCAGTCTTTTTAGCTATCTTTTGTAGTATATGAAAACTATTTTTATAAACTAAAATGATATACGATGGATTTGCTAGGTGCATTGCCTCGCTTTTGCCACTGGGGTTGTTGCTGGATGCAGTATTTTGCCCCAGATATTTGTCCGTTCTGCTTTTGTGTCAAATTGTAATACATCAAGAACTATTTGAGACTGTGTGTTATAAAACAACTTCAAACTTGATGGAATCAGTTTGTAACACCTTGAGATGAAGTAGTTGGATTTCAGAGTAATTAACGTAGGTCAAAGTTCTTTAGAATCAAGGATTTCTTCATGTTATTATGATATATCAAAAAACTATTTGAGGCATTAACTTCTATTAATTAAAATCTATACAACTATACAGCACTTTATCGATTTGGGCTCATTATAATACGCCAACAGGACTCTATATAGAATTTACATTAAAAAAAGAAAAATCAGTTTTTATTGTTCATTAGTTAGTATTTCAAAACTTTCATGATGTGTTAATTTTTTGTCAGACTGCATTCTCATTCAGAGATGAGATTATGATTCATTTTAGAAAATAAGCCAGCATGTTTTGATCTTGTTATTATCATTTTAAAGACAAATTTAAAATATTAATTTTCATAATGTTTTCATGTGTGTATTTGTCCATTTTAGAGAACAGTGAAGATCAGAGATTCTAAGTTCGGACTGGCTTTGGTTGTTGAAACATCTGTACAGGTAAGTGAGCAGTAAATCAGATATGCTGAGTATTTACTTTCATTGGTAATGGTATGCATTTTACATATTTATTTGTTGTTTTTGTCCTCTGCATGTCCGTCTAGCTCCCACATGACAGACTTTCAAAACCCTTCTTAAAACTTACCCGTTTGTAATTTTTGATATTAAAATTAATCTATGTTATTATTGAATATGTTACTCTAATTTATTTGTCAAGTAATTGATACTGTATTAACTTTGCTCACTATGAATTCTATTAGCTACATGTCTTTAGTTTAAGGTTTTTATATTTTCAACCCTATTTCTTTAATTTATCATTAAAGAAATAGTGATAAATTATTTAATTATGTTTGATAGATTATTATATTTTATAATCTAGTTAATAATATTTAATAAAATATTTTATTTTATTTTAATATGTCATTATACAATAAAATATTCATCATCCTCTTTTTTTTTATTAGAGTGGAGGTTATGTACTTGGTTTCCGCTTGGACCCGGCTGAAAAACTCCAGGAGGTAGTGAAAGAGATCCAGTCCCTACATCGGGTCTACAGCACAAACCCTATACTGGGCGTCGAGTTCGAGGTCGATGATGTCCCAGCTACTGCAGAGGAGCTGGTGGTTGAGAACATCCAGGATGACATCGACATCGTCAATGACGATGAACAATCAGATGCCTTTGCAGTGAGTATGGAAGGAAAATTAAGAATTGTAGTACGGTAGTCAAAAATGGAGGAAAATGACACTGTCAACTCTGCTAGGGAAAGATCTTTTTTTAAAGTTTGACATAACAAACACTAATACATATTTTATATCGCACATTTCCTAGGGGATACTGGGTGTGTACAATATATTATCATGTACAGTCAAACTTGTCTATAGCGACCGCCTAAGGGAAACAAAAAATGTGGTCTTTGTAGAGAGGTGGTCACTAAAGCAGGTTTGACTGTATTACAATGACATTGGCCAAGCTGCTTTAAGATGGTGAAAGCATTAAAGAAATTACTTCCTACAAGGCTTCCATTTCTATACTTTCTATACTTTCTATCTACTATGTAGATTAATATCTTGCCAAAAGTAATTTTTATTTCTGGTAATAAATCTGTACTTCTGAATCTTTGATTATATTCTAAAGTGGTTACTGGTTAGGGTTTATTCTAGCTCTAGCCTCCTGTTTTGATAAAGCACTTGATCAGTCAAAGGATTTCATCATACCAGTGCTCAATCACTTCACCTGGGTCAGTGTGTCTAGATCAATAGGTTGTCTTTCTGATGGAAGTTTGAATCTTGCCATGGACTTATCATGAATTGTTTGATGACTTACATGTATCCACTAGACCACAACACAAAATGCAATGTAGAGGTGTTGTGGTCTTGTGGGTAAGTCACCCGACTGCAGATCACAAGGTAAAAGGTTCAAGTCGCGTCACGGCACTAATGTCCTTTGGCAAGACTTTAATCTACATTTACCACTCTCCACCCAGGTGTAAATGGGTACCTGATATGCTTGAGTGTTAGTTACTTTGACAGCTCGGCTATGACCGGGGTAATATGTGTAAAGCGCCATGACGTCAGAGCCTGGCGTATACCAGCGCTGTCTAATTTCTCAATTATAAATTCCCATTTGTTTGTATAGGCCTACTTTGCCGATGGTGACAAGCAGAAGGATCGACCCCCGGTCTTCTCTGAGGAGCTTGGCCTGGCCATTGAGAAACTCAAAGACAGCTTCACCCTCTCCAACCTGTGGGAGGTCGTCGATCACAAATGAGACATCGGTCGGTCGCCTACTGGATCAGGGGGGTGTTTCACAAAGATCCTAAGTTGAACTTGACTCTAAGTTGGACTTCAATATTATGGAGAGCCATTTGTAGCCTTATAATGAAATATATTCAAAAGCAAAAATTCAAGTGTTTTAGACTTTTCATAAATTCTACATCAAGAACATGATATCTCCTTGATAATAGAAAATATAAATGATTTTAATCAACATTTTATGCCTTTTAAAATAACTTTTACAAAATATTTTCCAAGATGCTAACGGCTTTCCATAATTGTTAAGTCCAATTTAGAGTTAAGTTCAACTTAGGATCTTTGTGAAACAACCCCCAGGAACATTAGACAATGAGCACAAATTTTTGAGAGCTTTGCAAAGACTTAGAGATTTGTGCATGCTGTCCCGCCCCAAAGTTCTCTATGGCTCTGCCCCGCCCCACCCCCATTATATGAGGTTGTACCCAGCCGTATGTAGTCTGCTCCAGACAACAAACCTTTAAAGCGGGACTGCATTTCCATGTAATGGAATCATTTAACATTTTGAAAGTTTCAAGAATGATCAACTTGTACCAAGGGAAACAGTAATGATGATTTTTAAGAGTACAAAGAATAGGAATGTTTCTCTTCCTGTGGCACCCAAGTGACTCTAAATCATATATATCATAATTGGATGACTGAAACAAAATTCACACCCACATCAACAACCTTATTATTTGTCCATAATAAGTTTAAGACATATTTTCAAAAGCTAAAAAATGACCGTTACCCTAAAGTTCTGATAAGTAGCATAATAAGATATTTTACCTCTGTAAGAGATTTATAATCAGGTGAAAATGATGTTGGTGACTATGAAAGCCACATTTAACAAAATATATTCATCTATTTTGTTGTAGTCCCTGTAAAACATTGTAATGTTGCATTCTAAACACTGCTAAATAGCCACACTACTTAAAAACTGTCAGTCCAAAAGATTCTGATTCCGATCACCCCCCCCCCCCCCCTCCTATCATTTTGATAACACTTTCAAATTTGTGAATGTGCTGTAATGATTATGAAAATGCAACCAGTCACCACATTTTTTTTATTTATTTTTTTCCTCTCTATGCTTGATGTTCAATACTGCAATCTTGTTTTCAATATATCAGCTTTAAAAGTCATTTCATGTGATACGCGTATGGCATGCGCAATACTGGAACTTTACTCTAAATGAAAGGTAATATCAGTAGAATATTACTAGACTTTTGGCACACTTTGCATTAGGTTTGCCTATAGTTATCTTCTGTGTAGGCCTGTGTTATGAACTCATTCTTTCCTTGTAACCCCTTTGATTGTCTCATTTTGGGCAGATCATTAATTGTATATCTTTTATTTACTGATGTACAAAACCCTCCTTTAAATCATATTTTCTTGTCTGTATTTTGTGAATACAGTCAAACCTGTCTATAGCGACCACCCAAGGGAAGCACAAAAAGTGGCCTTTGCAGACAGGTGGTCTTTGTAGACAGGTTTCATTAGTACATGATTCAATGAGAAACCATTTTCAAGGGAAACAACAAATGTGGCCTTTGTAGACAGGTGGTCTTTGTAGACAGGTGGTCACTAAAGCAGGTTTGACTGTACAAACCTTTTGGAAATCAAACACAACATGTATTGTGTGATAGGAGGCAGAAGGGCTTTAACTCATATTATTTTACTCGCAGTTAATGTTCTTGTGGTCCCAAACAGATGATATGGCTATGCTTTCCTTAGCTAATTAATCCTAATGCATATTATCTGAGCATTTCAAATTCACATGAGCCCCATCCCCCCCCCCCCCCCACTCCTCCCATAACATAACTTTGGGAAAGGATGAAATCTGTGGGTCTTTGAGCTAGAAATGTTTATTGACCATCTAAAAATGAATGGGTGTAAAATCATGTTAAATTTGAAATGTATTCACTTTCTGCACCTTGCTTCTCAATTCATGTAAATTTTGATTAAATTATTGTGTGTGTATATTTGCCTTTGTAAATATAGAGTTATCTTAGATTAAATTGACATGAGTCATGTAAAAGTACATTGAATTGCCTGATGAACATTGGTGTTTTTTAATGATGTTACTTAATAATTTAGTGATTCAATATTGTATAACAGTGTTAGTTGAACATGATTAATTACATAATTGTTTTGTACACTAATGAGGAAAGGACATGATCGTATTGGAGTTCAGAACATAGTGAATGGTCTGTTAAAACTAGTCAGATAATGTAAATAACACACATAGCAGAGAGCAAGAGAGAGATAGAGGAAATAGGGGAGAGAGAGGAGATAGAGAGAGAGAGAGAGAGAGAGAGAGAGAGAGAGAGGAGAGGGGTAATTAGAGAATTTGTACAAGGCAGTATTTAGTAAGATATTTGGTGAGATGAGGAGGGGAGGGGAGAAGACGTTTGCTTATGAAAAGAGGAATGTTTGGGAGACACAGTACGAAATAGAGCAAGACCGAGAGAGAAAGATATAAAGAGCGAGGGGGAAGAGAGATACATGTATACATAGGATAAAATAAAATCAATTATATAATGTTGCTAAAATACTGTTTGGTCGCTTTTTTAGGGGGTGGTGTCGACACCGTATTTCGAGCTGGCTGAAGTTGTATGCAATTTTTACAGCAATCAAAATTGTTCACGGTTCATAGATTCAAAGGGGTTATAAAGATTGAATTCACAGATACATAAATAGGCCGGTCAAGCAGAAATGTACAGCATTATCATGCATGATTATCAGTTCAAAGAGTGATTGAGTGCTGCGATAATTATTCATAAAAATGGGTTGAAAACAAAATCAGCTTTATATCTGATAAAAGCAAACACGTCACCATGTAAATTTTCATTGCTTTTAAGAGCTAGGCAAGCGAAGAGCGCATGAGTCATCAAGAATGCTCAAAGTCGGTCTATTTCATCGATGGATTTGTACATTTCACCTTTTCTCTAAATGGCATCAAATTGACGAAGTTCCCACTTCTCGTACGCGAATGTTTTATTGATGAGGAAACAGTTGTCAAGATGTCGTCTGCTCGGTAAAAGACGAGTGCCGGGGTCAAATTTCGACCCGATACATTCTCAGTTCGAGCTTGTTCTCACATTACTGAAACGCATCCGATATGAGTCACGTCGGTCGGTGCTTCTGAATTCCGCATTTTGATTTGTTTCCTCGTATAAAAAAGGAGAAGGGAAAGTGTCTCTAAAAAAAATCAACCCTCCTTCAACACACACAAAATGAGAGAGATTTTTCCATGAATTTCCAGTTACAACTCCATCCCTCCCTCCCCCGGATTACAAAAATTAAAACCTACCCAGGCCTGTTTTTATCAAAGATTTTGGCGACATCATTCTTCAAAAGACACCCCCCCCCTCCCAAACAAAAAAACCAACAAAAAAAAAAAATCAAAAGGGGGGGGGGGGGGTTTCAAAAAAACACATACACAAAACATACACATAAAAAAAACTCAAGGGGGTTTAACCCCAACCCCCCCCCCCCCCCCCCCTGCGTACGCGCCCATATATAAGCAAGATACTTCCAGGGAGGTGTTGATACTTCTTTACATCAACACTAAAATGTTTTACCTAAAGCCAAATATCCGACTAGAAGAGGAAACGTGTCGATGATTTATAAAAGCTTTCATCCATTAATTCATCCATGATTTGTTAGCACTGCATAAAAAAAATAACCAGTTGATGATTTAAGAATCTAAATATTTTGAGGTGTGTTGTTAAGTTGGATGCACATGATTATTCAATTTTCCTATTTATAAGCAGGTTTTGAAAATATTAGTAATTACATAAGTCGTCGTTTTCACTTGTAGAATTAGAGGGAGAATTTTTATGCATGATTTAGACAAAAACAGTTATTGATAAAGAACACATGATACCGGTGCTCATGCTGAAAAAACGGTGGTCTATTCGATGGGGAATCGGGTCCGAATGTCCCCCGCTAAAATGATTCTTGATCAATTAACATGATAAAAACATTACGATATCAGTTTTAGCCTACCCCCCCCCCCCAAAAAAAAAGAAGAAGAAACGAAATAATAGAAACATTCACGAGAAATATGTCAAGTATACAATGATTAAGCAACACAATTCCATGGGTCTCTGTCGGAAAGATGAGAAAATTGTAAGATGTTCACGTGTTCATCAACTACCCGCTGGGGTTTTAATACTTCATATAATTTAATACAGAGCTAACGACATTCTGGCTCTTAAGAGACGTTTAGTTTCTTATGAAATACGTAAATAATATTCGTCCCTCATCGGAAAAGGGAGACAACTTTCTTAAAATAATAACCAAGCAAACAGAGAACTTATCACAATTTTATCAAAGAACTGTGCACTCTACGGATTCGACATTATTTTTTTTCATTCAAAAGAAATAAATGCATGAATTAAAATGAGCGTGAAAATTTGCTTTACTTTCATACTGATTGTTAAATATCATATACTCATCGCCAAGATATATCATTTTGCGGAGGATAAATAAATCATCTTAAATAAATAGGAAAACAATCGACCATGTGTCTTTTATGTTTAATTCAACTTGAATTTTCCAATTTATTAGCTTTCAATAGCCTTTCATCACGAAAAAATCAATCTTAATAACGAGAGAAAAACTTGTCTCCAAGATGATTGATTCGAACCCTAGAAAAAGTCTTCACAAAGCGTTTTTCATCAATAAATAATGTGCCCTTTAACCAATAAATCTATCTTCCTAGCAAGAAGCGATGAGGTTATCGGTGCAATGAAATTGACGAGGGCAGGGAGAGACGATGGGTGAAAATCTGTTTTCTTTGAGGAGTCATAATAGGGATCACTTCATCTGGGGTGGAAGCACTTGCTTTACTGGAAGCCACTCTCAAAAGCATGAACAGTTATAGAGGTTTTTTTAATGGGGGGGGGGGGGGGGGGGGCTCAACCTCCCAAAGAAATTATTCAAGCCATACCACCCAAACAAATAAAAAAATCGTGATGCACATGTAGAATATGAATGTAAGAACCCAAACCCCCCAAACCCCCCCCCCCCCCAAAAAAAAAAAAATGTATTGAAAAAAGGAAATTCAATT